AAGTTGGCCGCAGCTCCTCGGCCATGCCGCCGTCCCGTACATCGATCACGGCGCCCACGCAGAAACTCAACAGTCATCATTCATCGATCATCACACTTTTCCAGTTCACCGTCCCACCTCTCGGAGTTCCTGCCTCCAATCTACCCTACCAGTCATTTTTAGAGGTGCCCCTCATCCTCGGCGCGAGTGAACGAAATTCGAAATGGAGCATCTGTTGAGATTAATTGTTACGTGACACAGTCACAGGGAACTACGGACGAACGATCTCTCAATCAGTCGGGCTGAGGAGCAACCAATCACCCAATCGTTTCATCGCGCATCTCCTCATCATCGTTATCATCAGAATCGTTGTCCGACCCATCGATATCGGAGAAGGAGCATCATCGATAGCAACTCGAAAAGTCTCATTCGTTACGTAACTTGTTGTGCTCTGCTCGTTTTTATCGGTCGGATGGTTATTTGACCTCGAGGTTTTTTCTACCGTTGATGAATGCAATCAGTGTTACATCCGGAACTGTTGTTAAACTGTGTGCGTGTTTGTGTGAATATCTGCGCGAGTGTGCTGCCGGCGTTGTGTTTGTCGAACTTACCGATTGAAGAATCTAGCAACAGCAACGTACCGTGAGAATAAGAAACGAACGTTGCACACATCGCGGGCTGAGCGGAGAACCCGGGGAGACAGACGATACTGAAGGAACGCCTCCGCCCACGCACCAAAAAACGAACCAGGGAGCAGAAATTGAATACAAGAAGCGGCGCTGGATCCTACGACGCGAGTTAGCGGGGGAGCAAGGATCCGACTGAAGGAGAGGAAGACGGCAAAAGAGGAAAAGTCACATACAAGCGAACCCACCGTGGAACAATTGCTCGCTCGCAGCCTCGATCGCCTCCACCTGTGAATTGAGCTCCTGTTTTTCAACGAAGTTGTCAAGCGCAACGTTCAAGAGAGTTTTTCTTAAGTGAACACAATCGAAACAAGTATACTTTCTGTGGGTGCAGAATATGTGCAACGAAACAGGAGAAGGCTTCAAATACCCAGCACACACTCGGAAAGTTACGGAAAAAAAGTCTCGCAATGTCTGCCGGCGACCACACGGCCGATTAATGAAGCCATAGACGCGTAAAATAGCCTTTGCCGATATAGCCAGCCACCCAACCAGCCAGCCAGCAGTCCTCAGCGAGTGGATCTGGACCGCTCAATCAATCGCCACGGCCTCATCTGTGACAAGTTCCCACTAGGAAGAAGCATTGGAGCTCATCGAACTTCCCATCGCATCCTGATTGTTCACGATGCACGCGATGCGAAACAACTCCTCAAGGAGTGGTTGATTCGAGCTCGGATCGTGAGCTTCAAGTCAACGAAGAAAATCTCTGCCCGGAGTCGGATTGAAACAATTTTACGTCGAATTGGAGCAATTCGAAGTCGGGTCAGAGCTAATTGTCCAGAGTGTTAACGGAACTTTCTGAAGCATCGTGGAAAATCACTTTCCGAAATCGAGCTGAAGCTTCCCGAAAAAAGGAGGTTCGGAGTTCATTTAGACCAAGGTCGGCGCACTCGGCGTCGATTCGTTAGGCTGCCACCGAAGATAGCAGAAGAGTCGAACAAAAACCCGTCTTGAGCAAAGTTCTCTAGCTATAAGGAAACGGATGAGGAATCTAGACGGACCACGTCGACAACGACACGGCAGCACAGCGAACCCGGATCCGACCCATTTTGGAACTGGGAACCGCCGGAATTAGAAGAGTAAGCGAGGATCCGACTGCTCCTCACAGTCAGGAAAGCGTTCTCCGAGACGGAGACGAGCGAATTTTCGAAGGAAGAGAGAGAGAGAAATACTGACTTAGGCAGGTAATGAAATCTGCGTAGAACGACGGTTCGTCCGAAACACATCGTTCATTCAACATCGAAAACATGAGAATCTCATTGATCACCTATGATCACGACCTGGAAGCCTATGCCTACTGCTAATAGGAAGACTCATCGCGGCTGTTCCGGTAGGAGAGAAGCGTTGAAGCGCGATCTAGCGCAAATGCGAATCTTAGCGAGGACAAGACCTCAAACGCATTCACAACGTTGACGAGAAGAAGGAAACGACGACGGAGCCGCGTCGGAGGAGAAATAAGTCAAAGTCGAACCATTTTCAACAAGCAACCACCAACATCTAGCGAAGACAATGCTATCGTCGCCGACCGTTTTCTCAGGCAGGTTGACGCCGGAACTGCACAGTATGGCAAGCTCACATTCGACTCATCGGCAAGAAGACCGCTACAGCGCTAGCACGGACAACTGAACTGAACTTAAAATCGAAAACTCGGACCGTCCGCTGGAGCTCGCGGACGGTACAAGCCATTCGACGACGAAAAATACGACGGAGAATAAATCAACAACTTTCTCCCATCGCCTGTCCTACTTTGTCCCCCCGGACGAAAGCACATATTCTGAATCAACGACGTACCCGATCACCGCCGCATGCTGGCGACCACACTCCATATACAACGAAACGTTGTTGAACGTGAGTAAAATCAAATGCAGTAGTTTTCGGTACTCGCAGGAGAGGAGTCGCATCGTCGATGGCTCCCCGTGGAAATCACTTCCTCTCGTTATCGTGGGTGAAACGCTCTCTCAACTAGATAGACTGAGGTTTTCCTGGAGAGGACTTGGGAAGGGGAGATCAAAATATCCCATTTGTTGTGCATCAGTGCTATTCATCGTTCCCCGCAAAGATTTGGACCTCCCCAGACGCCGTTCTGATGCGGGGAGCTCGGTCGTTTGGAGAAAGTCACGGGAAACGAATATTTCCTCGCCGAGGTGTCCACTGCGCCTTGCAGGAATCGAGTCGTGCAATATGTGACGTGTCTTTCGAAAGTTGGCCGAGTTCTCAGTCAGTTATTTTCGTGCCTTGGGAAAAGTCAGCGAAGTGAACGGTGCCGAGGGAAGCGTCGACTCTAGCGGCGGTGGCGGCCAGGGCAGCATCAGCGAAGGCCACCGCCCTACTTTCCGTAAGCGCGCTCCGGCCTTCAGCAGCACGCTGACCTACATTCGCCCCTAGCCATCGGAAAGCTATTTGTCCTCCGCTGTGAGGGGCTTATTATCTCTTGCTCCCCGACTCGTTTCCTTCCTTTCTCCGTGATGTCTCGATGGTCTGCTCAGACGATCTTCTCATGCCTAGCAATCACCCGTACAACCACCCACCCATCCTCTCACCGTTCTACGCAATCATACACCCACCCACCCGACCACCACCCCACCGTTCTGTTAGCGATTCACTGAGCGCTCAATAGAGCTCAACATCCGAGCCATCAAAGGACCATTCGCACGCCGAACCCACAATCCGGACCAACCACCGCTTGATAACGTGTTGGGGTATCGGAGTAGATTTCTCGACGCAATTCCAGTCGAGAGCTCGACAATGGAGGTGTATTTCTGCCCTAGCACCTATCAGCTTGATCGAGCGGTAGAACTTCCTCGTTCTCGGCACTTTCAGCCGGAATCAGAGTTCAATTCCATCGGCGATTCCACTGGGGTTTCGAGAGGGTGACCTTGAAGAGAACGGGCGTATTGCCGCAGCTCTTGTTCTCTTCTCCTTGTCTCTCTCGGTGCTCCTCCTACCGAAACCATCTGTCGTCTTCTTCCCCCACGAAAAGTTGACTAAAAGCCTTCCGCGTTCGTCCGAACTATTCGGGCGTTTGTGGGCGGCGATGGATTCTGAGGGAACTTCCGCGGACTAGGGAAGGCCCGACTCACCCTCGCTGTGTGCGGTCCCGGTCAACCCCTGGTCGGACGCCTGGTGGGCTGCCTGCCTGCCAGTCCGCTCGCGCATCCGCCCGTCTGTCCAAGCCTTCCTCGTCCGAGAGCTATCCAGACGGGGCCGCGGCGGGACCTTCCGCCGCCGCTGCCAGGAGCAGCGCAGCCGAACAGGATCAGTGAGCAAGAACAAGCTGCGGGAAAAGTGGGTTAATGGAGTCGCTTGGCTGTTGGCGGCGGCGGTAGGGTATGGATTCGCTCTCCTACACCGCCGCCCGGCTCGGCAGGCAAATGCGAGAGAGCACAGTCCGAGGACCACGGCTTCCTTCGGCAAGAGCGGCAGCCTCGGTCCGGAGGAAGCGGCGGGCTGACCGCGGCTCGACAATCAGGCACCTACTGCGACGGTGGGATGAACAAATGGCCCGCCAGAGGATCCACACTCACACACACGTTCGTACGGGGACGGAACAAACGCATCGTCCCCAAAACTTTCCAAGCTTCTGCGGGACGGGCCACCGTTTGACGTCATGACCACAGCCTCCGTCATCGTGTCAATTCAAACAACGATGACAGGAGCGACAGCGTCGATACGACTCTTTCGTTCGGTCGGTGCTCAGGCTCCGACTGCGAAAATGTGCATTGGCAAACTGAGAAGGTACAAGCGGGTCTTCGGGTACCCACGCCCCAACGGGCCAAGGGTAGGGTTTGACTCGTTCGTCCCGCTCGCCATCCTCGCTTTGCGCAGCGCCGGTGCCGTTGCAGTCAGAAGATAATTTTCCATTCGAACGTTCGGAGCGGACTTCTTCCCTTCGCGGTGCCTTACGAGTTCCTGGGATGACGAAGAAGAGAGTTCTCTCCGAATTATGCGCGGGCCATCTGTAATGCGCTCCTTCCGGAGCGGATCATCCGATTCATCGCGACTTCGCAGTGGTGGCGACTTCGCAGGACTGATCGATCAGGATCGGAGATATCGTTTACTGATTTTGCTATTAGTCGAGTGAATAATGCTGAAATCAATCTGCATCGAATAAGGAGGGTGGATTCGCAAGCTCGGATTCGTTCCAACTCATACACCTCGCCCCCTGTGGACCTCCCGTGCCTCTTCACGGTTTCGGCCGATTCAACGCCGTAAATTCATTGCAGCGATTGATTCGGAATTCTACCCCGCGCTCCGCGGTTTCGGTCATCGAATAGTGGAAGTCTCCACGGAGAGGTACACTACCAGTCAGTAAGCGTATCTTGATTTCGTTTTCAGACTTTCGGCTCTTTCCGCCGAAGCATCGAACTCCGGAGGGGAAAGACGGAACCGATACGCCTCTCGGCCATCAGACTCATCTATTCACAGCCCTGGAGTAACGGGTAGGTGGCTGACAAGCACACGCACTGCGTCCTAGAGCTCGATAGCGTGGTAGTTTCGCTCCGAGAACGTTATGCTATTCATCGAACGGGTATCGCCCGTCATTGAGGGCCTCCTTCTCCATCGGAAGCTAGGCTCTAGGCTCTCAGACTACGTGTATTCGATTTCAGGTGTGGGTCAGTTAGACATGGCGAAGAAAAAGAAAGGACAGAGTCGGGATCCGGGTGAGAAGGGACCTTCGGCACTTTGGCTTTTGTCGGAGGACAACCCGCTACGAAGATGCACCCGGTTCTTGATCGAATGGCCACCTTTCGAATTTATGGTTCTTATCACCATTATTGCCAATTGTGTAGTTCTAGCTCTCGAAGAACATCTGCCTAAGGGAGACCGAACGCCACTTGCTCAGCGACTAGTGAGTCATTCGATATCATTCACTCTTCTCGTCATCTTCAAGACGATACCGGGTCGATGAGCAGCCGACGACCGAATTTCTAATTTCTCGTATTCGCGCTTGCAGGAAGAAACAGAACCATACTTTTTAGCAATTTTCTGTGTTGAAGCGTCATTAAAGATTCTAGCCTTGGGACTTATACTGCACAGCGGATCGTACCTAAGAAGTGTCTGGAATATGATGGATTTTGTCGTTGTTGCATCGGGGTAGGCGTAAATTTGGAATAAGCTCCCGAATCGAGCAGCAATTCCCTCGTTCAACACTCCCACTTCGATGCTCTCACTTATTCCAGGATTGTGACGGTTATAATACCGGACAACATGGACTTAGATTTACGAACACTACGAGCCATCAGGGTTCTTCGGCCATTGAAACTAGTATCGGGGATACCGAGTAAGTATTTGTGCGCGGGGGTGATGAAATAGATGGTTAGAGTAGGATGAAATGAAGGAATGCATGGCCATCCGATGTGTTCGGTGAATCCTGCCCTGAGAGGACTCGAGACGGCCGGGCTCCTGGAAATTGTCTTTTCCGACGTTAATTTTCTGCTCGACAGGTCTTCAAGTCGTCTTATCGTCCATCATAAAGGCTATGGCACCATTGCTCCAGATCGGATTGCTTGTGTTGTTTGCAATCGTGATCTTCGCCATCATCGGTCTGGAGTTCTACAGTGGTATCCTTCACAAAAGTTGTTACAGTTTGGAAGATCCAAGTGAGTTCTCGACATCGCTCTTCATCTTCGGAGTCTCTTTCGCCCTCGGGTCCCGGTCCCGAGGGCACGTGATCGCACGCATATGCAGATTCGGAACCTGACTCGGGTGTTCTTTGCAGTGGACATCGTCCCCGAAGGCGAACAAGAAACACCCTGTTATCCTTACGTAATTGCGGCAAATGTACCAAACGGAGCCTTTAAGTGTGACAACAGTACCTCATTTTGTAAAGAGGGCTGGAATGGCCCTAACTTTGGAATTACGTCCTTCGACAACATATTCTTCGCTATGTTAACTGTATTTCAATGTATAACCATGGAGGGTGCGTACTGTCAATCGATTCTTCAATGCGCCGCAATCGCATTCACCCAGGAACTATTCCGTTCTCTCGGGGATGTTTCGAGGGAATCGCGGTCTTGAATCTGAGAGCAAAACTCGCATTCCAGGGTGGACACAAATGCTCTATTGGACAAATGATGCCATGGGCAACGCCTTCAACTGGATCTACTTCGTGCCACTCATTATCATTGGGTCCTTTTTCATGCTCAATCTGGTTCTTGGTGTACTTTCTGGAGAATTTGCGAAAGAGAGAGAAAAAGTTGAGAATCGTCAAGCCTTCCTCCGGATTCGACGCCAGCAGCAGCTGGAGAGGGAGCTTGACGGTTACGTTGAATGGATTTGTAAAGCCGGTAGGTATTCCGCTCGTTTCATACACGATTCGAAGAGTGCCGTATAGCCGGAGCTCTGATCGCTTTACCCGTCCCCGGAGCTCTGAGCTCGGTTTGGCGGCGCCGTGATGAAAAGCTATATTTTTCTTGCAGAGGAAGTTATCCTCGCAGAAAAACGTACGACTGAAGAAGAGAGAATGTACATCCTTGAAGGTTTGTTCGATCGACGCGCTTTCTTCGACCCGTTCCCCCTTTTTTTTCTATTTTTTTTCCTAAATTCACGTCACGAGTGACATCTGACTCTGTCGCCGAGCCGGAGAGATTTGACGTCGTGCTCTTTGCAGCCCGCCGCCGATACGCCGCTAAGCGTGACAAAATGAAAAATATGAGAGGCAAGTCAACCGACGAAGAAGAAGAGGAAGAAGACGACGAAGACGCTGAAGATGAAGGTACGATGCGTTTCCGAGCGGATTTTCGCCCTACTTATAAACGATCCATGTATATACTCACCCATTTCTGATTCGTCGAACGCAAGTCGTATACAAAGTACTGATACGAACATCACCATCAGAAGCGCTTTGCCGCAGTAGTTTCACTTCGGATTCGAGTTTAAATGCCTGAGAGACCGCCATGCTACACTGTGACTGAGTTGATATCTCACGGGAAGGGCTCCTCTCTCAGCTCGTATATCTCATCCCGACTCGACATGATTTTCTTGAATATTGAGAGTGGGCACCATCTTCTCCTCGAAAGGAGCGCGAGTCCCCTGAGGAAGCCCAGAGCCTAATTCCCCTGTTCCGAAGAATGGCGGTCTACGAGCGAAAGCCCATCAGACCTCGGAAGATGGTGGAACAAGGATCCGAAGTGAACACTCAGTCATTACACGCAGCCGGAGTGCACAAACACCACGAATTTCCCACTGCGATTCCCCCTCCCCCGATATTGAGTAAAAGGATGAATGATCGACAAATCGAGCGCTCCAATCCGAGCTCAATGGCTCAATGCGATCGATCATTCCAACGAGCTTTACATGCGGAACCTCGATAGTTCGATCGATAATTCATTCCCTTTCTCTCACCGACCCCTCTCCCCTCCTCTTGACAAGGAACGAAACGAATCTTAGACTTAGCGCATACAATAATTATTACGAACCCATTGCTAACAATTATGCCGCCACTCTACTCTGCGAATTCGCCGATTCTGCTGGACGGCCTGACACCTTTAGAATCTGAGACCGGAGAAGGTAAACAACGTTTCTCGGCCTGTTTCTCCTGGTTCACGTTTTTCTCGACCCCGTCCCTCCTCTTCCCCTCCTGCCACCCATGAGCCCGTACCTGTTCGCCCAGCATTTTCCTGTCCCTTGCAATTATCGTTGCCTTGCCGCATCGATCTGTACTGTGAAAACTCTTTCCCACGGAAATCTGCTCGACTGATGTATGCTCGTCTCTCATTGATCTTTTCGCCTCTGTACTTGCATTCCGCTGTTCGTGTTCTTTTCACTAATACACAGTTAACTTGATACAACCCGAATCTCTATTTTACCCTCGCCGTTCCATAGAACTTTAAGCCGGACTCCTCCTCGGCTTCTGACTTCCCTTGAGACAATCCGTGTTTCGCTTCTCTCCTGCCAACTCTTCACCCTTGATTCAAATTTTCCTGCTCTACGATTACGAATCCCATGCTGTCCCCCCGCTCTTGGAGTCTGTGAGCCAACCTGTTCTCCTTATCTTGCATTCGGAGCATCGAAACAGAACAGCGGGGAGAGGTGCGATCGAAGGCAAATCGCAGTGATATGATTCGACAGCCAGTATTCCGAGTCGGTGGACTCCGAGGGCTCTCGAGAAACCTGCGTATTTTCCCTCCGCGTTTCTGATCCATGAATTCAACAGAGAACGCGGATCACGCTATGCGTACATCCTCTCACAATGAAACTTGTCTTCGACGTCCAGCTCATCCCAAGCTCTTTAGACGAATGAGTCGGCCTCAGGCATCTTGAGGTCGTCTTTTGAGCTTAACAGGCACCCAGTAGCACTCCAGCCAAGGCTGTTGGTCCGAGCTATCGAAGTCCTTTGAGCGTCATTTGTATTTTTGTCATCGGAGTCCTTCCGAATGCTACCGAGCATCGCTACGTGTCATTTAGTGCATTTTAGCGCTCATTGAGTTCTACTAAGCGTTCGATTGCCTGTGGGGGTCCTCGCGGAACGATGAATGAGCAGCCGTCGGACGGAGAAAATTTCCCCTCTTCATTCCGGAGCAGAAAATCTAATGCGAAAAAGAAACGAGTCCGCGGCCCACATCGAATCTTCCTTTTCGTTCTGCATGCACAGCCGACACTCCACTGAGCTCCAGATCGATCGCGATTGTCTCACGTCAAGCAATCCTGAACTTTGTAAGCGAAGTTCTTCTCTCGTCCTCTTGACGCCAAGTGCCGAAGAGCAACGAGTTCTCCCGATGGATGTCGCGCTTCCCCTTAATTGAATTGAACCTGGGTTTTCGCACTCGATTTGGAGTCGATGGGTCGCTCTTGTTGATGTCGCTTCACTGTCGAGGCTGCTATAAATGGTCTGGGGAATCGGAACGAAGATCTCAAATGAGATTCGGGGAGCGGTCTCATCTGAAGAGACGTGGTGATAGCGAATCGGGCTGCTCAATGGGGCGCATGCATGCTCGCCTGCCGTAATGTTCACGTCATTGAACGGGTAGATAGCTCACCACGTTGGGAATCCTGCTGATCGATGCGGCTTAGATCACGATTTTCGGAAGATGCTTCGAAAATACGAAACGAAGAAACATTCGACCCGGAGCAAACATCAAATGAAGTGTTCTTCTTACCCTTCTTCCCGCGTGCTCTCCTCCTACCGTTGGCTCTTCAACCCGCGTGTCGTCCCGTGTGTCCTTCTGTGTGTACACTGTGGCGACCCGACGCGCGTCGTCTCCAACTGCCACCCAACGGGTGAACTGACGATTATCGTGGTGCAGACCAAACTTCTCGGAAAGGTGACTGAAGATTGAATGACTGGCAGAATGGTTGACGGCCTGAATGACTGATCGATGGATGGATTGATTGATCGACTGGTCGATTGGCACAATCACTGACTGACTGATTGACTGACATCGGAGTGATGGTGACGATGTCCATGGGTTGGGGACAATGATTGGAGGGAGATTCCGATGCAAAGCGAAGTATCCGCAGTTAGGAGAGAATGCGCGTAGTTTTGGAGCCAGGGGGTGCGTCCTCCGCTCCGTGGAATAGTTGGCCTCTCAAGAATGATTGCATTTAGCGAGCCGAATGGAGCTCCGTCCTCGATGAAGTGGTCCTAGTTTCCTCGTTGAGAGGTTGATCGCCCAATAGATTGCTAGGCTGGGTGATAGATCGTTCGACCATACTGACTGATTGTTGATGATTGTTCTTGCTAGCACTTGATACCCACCTGGCTTCTGCATAAAAGGCCGGCATGTTGCACTGCACTGAATTTTCCCTAGTGTTCTCACGAAGCTCGTACTATGATGGACTGTTTCCTACCACCTACCGTAGAAGGATTATTGACCCTACCGGCTTCGAATATGGAGAGATCGAAGATCAAATGAAAAAAAAACCCTCGATTAAATGCCAGTCTTGATCGAATTCGATCGATTGCACCGCTTGTATATCACAGCTGGACTAAGCAATCTCTTGCGGAAGGCTCTGTATTAACAATGTTTCCCCTTTCAAGGATCCTTCCTGAAAACAAACTCAAAAAGCAAGGGAGCCTTTGGACGCGCCGAAAAGCGCTTCAGGTAAGTTGTCAGTTTTAGACGCACACGGATCGCGGGTTCGCCTCTGTTCGCCCGAGAAGGATCATCGTTGCGAGCTCGCGCTCGATCATCAATCCGAGAATGGAAATTCTTCGTTCCAGATTTATGATACGCCGGGTAGTGAAAACGCAGCTTTTCTACTGGACGGTCATCGTCCTCGTGTTCCTGAACACCGCCTGCGTGGCCGTAGAACACCATAGACAACCGGAGTGGCTTGAGACCTTCCTCCAATACGCCGAATACGTTTTTCTCGGACTATTCATATCGGAAATGCTGGTCAAAGTGTACGCCCTCGGACCTCACATATACTTCGCATCGTCCTTCAATCGATTCGATTGTGTGGTCATCGCGGGCAGCATTTTCGAAGTGAGTTGACTTTTCATGAATATCGTGAGCCCTCATCATGACTGAGGATCGGATCGTCGGCTTCTCCCTGTGTGAATGTTCAGTCAAACATGAAACCTCCCTCCGCAGGTCATCTGGTCATCCTTCAAAGAGGGATCATTCGGTTTTTCGGTTTTGAGGGCATTGCGCCTGTTGAGAATTTTCAAATTTACAAAATACTGGTCGTCACTTCGGAATCTCGTTATTTCATTGATGAATTCGATGCGGTCCATCCTCTCCTTGTTGTTTCTGCTGTTCTTGTTCATCCTGATATTCGCCTTGCTCGGAATGCAACTGTTCGGCGGAGTTTTCAACTTCGCCGACGGTACCCCGCCAGCCAACTTTAATACCTTCGCGATCGCTTTGCTCACCGTGTTTCAAGTAAGTTCTTGGATCTCGACAGAATTTCGTGTTCCGGACTCGACGTCTGGTCTTGTCGCTATAGACCATTCGCCCAGACCTCATTCATGTAGTGAATGTCGCGATACTTTGACTTCATTGAGTGCTCTTCCAGATCCTAACCGGTGAAGACTGGAATGAAGTGATGTACAGAGGGATCCAGAGTCAAGGTGGAATTAACGGCGGAATGATCTACTCGCTGTATTTCATAATCCTCGTGATGTTCGGCAATTATACCCTACTGAACGTGTTCTTGGCCATCGCTGTCGATAACTTGGCAAATGCACAAGAACTCACCGCTGCCGAAGAAGAGGACGCAGCTGAGGAACAGAGACGGGCAAAAGAGGAACTTGAAAAGGAGATGGCCGACCTTCAGAGGCAGAATGGGCCTCAGGTCAACATCTGTCCGCCCTCCCCGTCTCAGGGTTCCAACACTGCACAAGGGAAAGACGGGTGAGTTTAAGATGGCGACATTCATAGGAGAGAGTTTGATAGTCAATTCGTCGGTCGGAATCCATTACGAACTTGAAACGATGATTTCCTCCGGTTGCTTCTCGAAAATGAAACGGGAGAGTTTGTCAAATGGAAGGGAATAATTTCCAAGAATTCCACAATTTCAGTGACCAAGATGCGAAAAATGGTAGGTTGAGAATTGAACGTTGAACCCATAGAATATTTCCGTCCGTGATCTTCCGCCTTTCCGGATTGATACATTGAAGACTTACACGAACCAACTTCTGAAATTGCAGAAGATGAAGAAGACGAAGAAGGAACCGGCCCAAAGCCCATGCTGCCATACTCGTCGATGTTCATATGCTCCCCAACGAACCCGTGAGTAGCCAAGAGCGACTCGAGCCGCTTTCGAAAGTCAGCCGAGTCCGCAGTGTCCTTCTCGAACAATACACGACTCGGCTGACTCGAACCCCGAGACGAGCTATAGAATGCGCGATACGGTGAAGTGTGCCGACTGCACCTGTCTCGCAGTAAGGGGGCACATGTTTTTTTCAGCATACGAAGAGCTGCTCATTTCGTGGTGAACCTGGCCTACTTCGATCTGTTCATCATGATAACAATTTCTATGAGCTCCATAGCTCTAGCGGCCGAAGACCCGGTGGAAGAGGATTCGCCCTCGAATAAAATCCTCAACTATTTCGATTACGCCTTCACCGGCGTATTTACTGTGGAGATGATTCTCAAAGTCGTGGACCAAGGAGTGATCTTGCATCCAGGCTCGTACTGTCGGGACCTGTGGAACATCCTAGACTCTGTCGTTGTCATATGCGCTCTTATTGCATTCGCATTTGCGTGAGTACGACCGACGGTCGGTCAAGACCAGGCGTGATCGAGGATTCACACGGGAAAATCGATCCGATAGCAGTTGAGCTCGTCGACTTAAATCAGCCTCGATTTTCAGCGGGAGTTCAACCGGACAAAATTTGAGTACCATCAAATCACTTCGGGTCCTTCGGGTTTTGCGTCCGTTGAAAACTATCAAAAGAGTGCCCAAATTGAAAGCAGTATTCGACTGCGTTGTCACGTCACTGAAGAACGTGTTCAACATTCTCATCGTGTATATTCTATTCCAATTCATCTTCGCCGTCATTGCTGTACAATTGTTCAATGGGAAGTTTTTCTTCTGCACGGACCACACAATGCTGTACGAACAAGACTGTCAGTGAGTATCGCTCCTCTTCCGAATACTCGGTCATACCCATCCGAGATCCCGAGATATCCTACGGCAAGATGGTCCCCCAAATCGGGAATTATCAGTGATCATCGGAGGAGAAGCGATGCTGAGAACGCGATCCCGCTGAATTTCAGGGGTGAATACTTCGAGTTTGTGGATGCTCGGAAACCGCCCAGAGTAATGAAACGCTTGTGGAAACGACAAGACTTCCATTACGATGACATATCGGCCGCCATGTTAACTCTTTTTACCGTTCAGACCGGAGAAGGCTGGCCACAGGTACGTTCCGCAGTAAATTGAACATCCCAAACCGTAGAGTGAGCCATGCATCGTCGCTGAGCGAAGACAATCTGCTTCTCGATGACAGCCTCATTTTCTTCTCGCAGGTACTGCAAAACTCGATGGACTCGACGGACGAGGACAAGGGCCCAGTGCCTAGATACCGAATTGAAATGTCACTCTTTTATATCGTGTTCTTCATCGTATTCCCATTCTTCTTTGTAAATATATTCGTTGCGTTGATCATCATCACATTTCAAGAACAAGGTGAAAAGGAACTTGAGGAAGGAGAAATTGATAAAAATCAGGTCAGTCCTTGTGCCGTAGAGCAACCGCGTCCCAGCGTCGCGTCGGTGACGCCCATTCGTCGGAACAATCACTAATCGGAATCCTTGCCTTGGCAGAAATCGTGTATCGATTTTTCCATTCACGCAAAACCATTGCAACGCTACATGCCGAAGAACAAAACCACCTTCAAATACAAAGTGTGGAAAGTTGTTGCCTCAACGCCGTTCGAATACTTCATTCTCCTGCTCATTGTACTCAATACCGTTTTACTCATGATGAAAGTAAGTACGGACGGGGAGCAGTCCGCGGGTGTCCAGGGGAGATTCTCCTCGACACAATATGAATCGGGCATAACTCGAATTCTGTCCTCCGTTCCAGTTCCATAACCAACCGCCACAACTTACGCGTGTTCTTCATTACCTCAACGCTACTTTCACTGGCCTGTTCACGGTCGAATCTATACTAAAACTGGTCGCGTTTGGTTTCAAGGTCAGTCCAGCGCCTCAGGGTTGGAATTCCTTCAAAGGGATTTTCTATGTGATTCTCCATTCCATCGCCAATCTCGATTCGATTTCATGCTTCCCGTCTAGACCCCTTGTCTCCCTTTTCAGAATTTTTTCAAGGATTCCTGGAACACCTTCGATTTGATCACTGTCATAGGATCAATAATCGACGTCCTTGTCGTGGAGTACGGCGTAAGTAGATGTCAACAGTCGTATAAGTGTTCAGTAGAATCCCTTTCGGTTCCGAATAAGTTACAACTTCTTTTCATCATATAATTTTAGTCGATCATTAAAGGCTCGAATCCAACCAAATCCCCTATGATTACACAACCAGCGTCCTCAAGGGACGAACCCAACTCGGATGATTCTGTATAAGTCCCTATATCGTTCCCTGAATCGGTGTTAGTTAGTTTACTGTGTATAATTAGAATCGGTTTTGTGGCGGGTCCTTATAAACCTAAGGGCCGCGAAACTTCCTCTCCACCGCGTTCCATTTACTTTGGATCCTGATCGCACATACGATGCCTGTTATTCGCTTTCGTGGTCGGTTTATAGTCAGCGCCGGCCGACAGCTTCGACGCCGAGTCGCTGACTATAGGAAACTTGGGGCAAACTTTCTTAACCCCATGACAAGCGAATATCGGTATTTGGGTTCTTCATGCTTGCTTGCCTTGCTTTTTGTCTCAGACACGCAACTGTGTTAAGACAATGTGTTTGTGGCTAACTTTTTCTCGATCCTGCGATAGAGTGCGGATGCTCAGCCTCATCCCGAGCAAGAAGAGGACGCCGAAGGTTCAACAAAGGTAACTACGGCACTGCAGCTAGTTGCAAGCGAGCTGAACTTCTCAGAAAGTAGACTGTTAGAAACTACACCGCAAGGTTGTTCGATTTACTTGTACGCGCGTCACCGTCAGGACGGGAATTTCGAGAGGCACACTCCAGGAAGCAATCATGCATGAGCGAATCGAGGTCGTGTGCGAGCGAGACACCTGTCGGTAGGGGCTTATAGCCCTGGGAGCGGTCGGCAGCTGACGAATGACTTCGAAAGTGCACGACATTGGGTATTGCAAGTTCCTGATGATTCTACGCGGAAAGCCGCGCCAAAGCGAAGCACCGGAGCGTGCATTTTCTTCTCTGCTAAGTGCTTGCAAGGTTCTCGCATTTGCAAGCCGAGCTCGCACAGAATTCGGGTTCAAAAAATTTCACTAGCTTCTAGCAAGCAGCGCCAGCGCACCTCAATCGCCGGCGAACGCACTTTTCAGCTAGAGCGATGGAATATGCCGGAATCTTTGAACCCCCGCGACAGCGTCAGTGGCATAAGTCGGGTTTCTGCCCGACGTAATTCATAGTCGAAAATGCATTCGAGCCACGTGGAACGCGGAAGATTAGCCCCTCGTACTGGGATTTCGAGAAGCTTCCGGATCTTGATCCCTGTTACCGCAACGCAATCGTGGTTGCACATCGCAACGGCATAGCCGGCAGAGACTCGAATAGATGTCGAGACGACTTCGTTTCCGATATCGAATCAGCGAGTCGAACTGTACCCGCAGCTGTTTAGTCAGGCCTTATGTATAACAGACTTAAGTATAGTCATCGATTCAGCTCATCGATAGACTTAGCTTGTACGAAATACGAAACCTCCCGAGCCGGGCATCGAGGGAGGAGCATCGCGAATTTCGCGTTCGACGCAATTCACGAACTAAGTCAAGGGAGCAGCGCCCCGTTGTGATTCGACAACATCGGAGTGTGCTCGACATTCGCGTCTGGTTCATGGGATTTCCAATTTTTCCAGATAAATTTCTTCAACGTGGGATTCCTTCGTTTGTTCAGAGCCGCTCGTCTCATCAAACTTTTGAGACAAGGCTACACAATTCGAATTTTGTTGTGGACCTTCATTCAGTCTTTCAAAGTGAGTCTCCTTCGGGAGTTTTCGGGCACTCTCATCAGAAAGGTTCATCTCGCCCCCAGTCGGTGCCTATTGTGTCTTTCGATGTGATTCTAATTCGACCTCTTGGTTTCCAGGCTCTACCCTACGTCTGTTTACTCATCGCAATGTTGTTCTTCATTTATGCCATCATCGGCATGCAGGTGAGTGAAAATATCAATGAAGCCGATTTCCTATTCGATCAAGAGTCTCGGAAGTTTTATAGTAAATCGCCAATTATTGTCCTTCTACTATTCTGTGCTCCCGAAAAACATTGTTGAAAGAGAGAGCTGAGTCCCTAGAAGTGAATTAGAGAACGACTCAGTGGTCCTGAAAAGAAGGGTACATAGCAAATGCAAAAGACCTACACAGACGCACCTCAGTTTCGAGTCGAATTTCGGAACTCGAGAGGTTCTGCGCCCTCTGGCTACGAGCTGATGCTTCATGGACGGTGTACGAATTTCTCGACATCTCGTTCAAGATTAGCTGCGATTCACAGGTCTTCGGTAATGTGAGGTTCGACCCAGACACAGACATCAATCGTCACAACAACTTTCAGAACTTCTTCCAAGCTTTGATATTACTCTTTCGGTGAGTCGGCTCCTGCCCGGCACTTGGGAAACGAAGCAGGAAGGCCGCATAATGCGAGGGGAGCCACCTCACGGTTTTAGGTCCTAGGACACTGCGCAACCGAAGGCCATGCTCGTCCTCTCGCTATCGATTCCCGCGGCCTCCTGTGTAGCTGGATCTTGTCGCGGACTTCTTCGCTCTGCCTCATGTTCCTTAGCGACTGACAATTTTGGCCTCGTGGCAATATATGCATTTGATGCACACACGAACAACCGGAACTACACACAAACGCTCACTTTGTGATAGCTGATGGTCATAGAGTACCAACAGAGAGAGGGCAAACTTTTTCTGGCAGCCGGGAATCGCGGACTCGCCTAGTGTATTTGTAGATTTTTTCGAGCACATTGCGGAAGAAGTCGTATCATAGTAGTGCGGTATATGGGAATATTTGAGTTCTAGTATTGGACAGATATCGGAAGCATTTGGGATGTAGGAGCTTCTCCTTATGAGAGGACATATCAGCGAGTAAATTTAGACACCGAGCCAACCGGAGATTTATCTTAAAGAATGAAGGGAAATCGTCCCTTGATTCGATCAATAGCTCCACAAAGTAGCCACGGAATTTTGTAGTGAGTAGTGTAGCTTTGCCCGATGGTAACGTGGTCTCTTTCGGCATCTTTCGTAGGTTTTCGGTAACATCCAGCTTGCTCCCGAGACCCAAATTACAAGGCACAATAACTTCCAAAACTTCTTTCAAGGACTTATGCTATTATTCAGGCAAGTCAGAGCCTCAGAGTCGAATAAATTTCAATGAAGAACTTCTCCAAGTAACTCGCACGACTCCCTCGAAGTCAGAAACGAATCTCTCGAACCACTCTGGATCGAATCCTCTCGCCCTCAGCAGCTGAATGGGTCTTTAGAAGCTAAACACTGAAAACTCTCGTAGCAGAGATTGTAGATTTCGTTTCTTCGGGAAACGTCTCAAAATATTAGACTCCGTAGCATCGATGTGCATGGCGACGATCTTGTAGAGGTTCTTGCGATTGTTTCCGTCCTCGGTAGCGATGATGAGGATGCTGTTTTGTCCTCTTCGTAATGTTTCGGAGTCTCCCGAATTAAAATTAATGCTGTTGGATCCAGATGTGCAACGGGAGAGGCGTGGCAGGCCATCATGTTGGCTTGTATCAAAGGGCGTCCCTGCGATCCGCTCACCAAGAAGACAAGCAATGAATGCGGATCGAATATCGCCTACGCCTACTTTGTGTCCTTCATCTTCTTCTGTTCGTTTTTGGTAAGTATCGACTTCCGAATCGCCAGGCCGCCCGGCTTGCAAGCCATGAATTGCTATGCTCATAAATCATAAACATGTGGCGTGATTATTCGGTATCGTTGCTAAGCTGCTGATCGACCCGATTCAGATGCTCAATTTGTTCGTGGCCGTCATCATGGATAATTTTGACTACCTGACGAGAGACTCCTCGATTCTCGGAGCCCATCACCTTGACGAGTTCATTCGGGTATGGGCCGAGTACGATCCAAACGCCACGTGAGTAAGCTCCTGAGGACTGAGGATGAGTGCCATGCTCTTTTCTTCTCCTTGCTTTCATAGGATTTACCTTAGAACGGATCATTCAACCTTGCAGGGGGTACATCCATTATAACGAGATGTATGACATGCTAAGAAACATGGAGCCACCCCTTGGTTTTGGAAACAAATGCCCCTACAGGCTGGCTTATAAAAAACTGATTAGAATGAATATGCCCTTAACGGAGGACGGCAGGGTAAACTTTACCTCGACACTGTTCGCGCTGATCCGGGAAAACCTCGTTATTAAGATGAGAAATGCGGAAGAAATGGATCAGGCCGACAAAGAACTCCGAGTGACCATTCAGAAGCTTTGGCCATTACAAGCTGACAAGGTTACTGACAAATTAGTCCCCCCAGACTCAGGTAAGAACACGATCAAGGATGACGCTCCCCATGGGCTTGTTGTCCTCATTCAAGACATGAAGCGCTACAGGCTCTTACCCGCTGTCCTGTTTCGCGAGGTTTTCACAAGCCTATACGTTTTCCAGAACTGCGGACAGGAAAACTAACAGTAGGTAAAATATATGGAGGCCTTCTGATTCTGGAGAATTGGCGAGCTCACAGATTTCAAGTATCATCGGTGGCTGGATTATTCGCGGTAAGATATCGGTCGTTGGAAGGCATGAGCATACCTACTGGCGTATTTCTGATGGCGGTTGGGGTTGATTTTTTTCGCTCTGAGGATTCACAGCTAGACTCCTTGTGCCGGTCTACCGATGAGAAATGATTCCAGAGCGTTTTTGAAGGGAACAAGAATGAACTGTGCGAGCCTGCTTCGCGGGACTTTTTTTTACGCAGTCATCAATTCAATGGTGGCCTATGTCGCATCGAAAAGATCGTGAAGATGTGACGGAATGTCGCGGATTATTTACTCTCTTTGTAGCGAATCATGTCATTTGCAGAAACTCCTTCGATTTCTAAATGTTTCGAGCAGTAGTCGAGCTACTTGTTGCCGGGCCCTTGTGACAAACTGCTGTCCCATAACGTTCCCATCATAGGCCAGGCTCGAGCGACTGCGTACAATAAGGTGCCGAAGCTTCCGATGAAACACTATTCCTACGGTACATATCTCGTGTCTGTTCTTTACTGGTTACCTTGTCCGTGACGAATCTGTCTGCCTCTTCCTGTGTGACCCTTGCGGTTTGTTGATCGGTTGATGAATCAACCAACCAACCAATCGATCGATCGATGGATCGATTGGGCACTCATTACTGCCGAAGTCCGTGGAACTCATCGTACTCGTGTCATCTTGCTGTGGCCTCTTGACAAGCAATGCACTCATACAGCTCAACTTCTGTCTCTGTATCTCTCACTTCCTATCTCCAAACATTCTGATACGAGGATGACCTGACGAGCTAACCATCCAACGAGACTACATTCAAGCAAAGGAATAACGTATCCTCTACTTACGCATATGTGTGTTTGGCATAACAAGAATGCTGTCACTTGCTGCAATGTCTTTCGATGTCGTCGTTTTGATTGTACTTGTGTTGGTTCTTGATGGCTTATCCGACTGAATCTTGAGGAGGAGCAAGGCAGAAAAAATATTTTGGCGTCAGCTCTGGGTCCTTGCGATTGTTCTTTAGATCGGCTACGCCCCGAGAGATCTCAGAAATCGCTGCGGCGTCATAATTGTTCTATGATTCGAGATAGCTCCTGACAGAACTACGAATAACATGCATTCATCTCTTTCGACAAAAATGCTTTGTTGTCCCACAACGAATCCATGTGTGCACGATGAGGACCGTATTCAAGCTGTTCGGGCTGACACCCTCCCGATTCTCGTTATGCGATCTAATCCAAATCTGTCCGACTATCGCAGGTGGAACAAATGGAAGTAGCGGCAGCAACGCAGCAGCGGGCCAGCCAAATAGCTCAGACTCAGGCGCTCCAATCCGGTAGGTTCAAATATTAATAATCCCCGGGGTGCCTATTATTCACCGCGAGTTCTCTCCGGTCTGCAATGAGGTCCGATGTGAAAGACTCCCTCTGAAATTCGGCGTTCCTCTGTTGTGCAGGATCGGAGTCGGGCTCTCATGCCCCATCGAGTCATCTCCACCCGGAGCGCAGTGTGAGAGGCCGGTCCCCGTCGCCGCGTCGCCGTAGCTCGTTGTCGCCTCCAGATGGACGCCCAGATGGACGTCGGTCCTCTTACTGCCGAGGACGATCACCTTCGCCCTCGCCTAGAAGGGGGTTAGCGGACGCAGTTAGCGATGTCGTCGACATGGTCAAGTATGAAACCTCACGGAGAGGACGAGCTAGAGCCCAATTGCACGGAGATGAGTACTTCTCGTCACCACGTCGGTTCGAAAGATCCCCCAGTCGACATCGTCATGGCCAACGGCACCACTACCAAGCTACTAGCAGTAGACAAACGAGTCCTACAGAGTACAGATCTGAGACCGCGCACCATCAGCGGTCCAGATCCCCGTCGCCTAGTAGCCCTACTCAACACACAGCGTCATCGACACGTCACCATAGGAAACAACAATATAGAACCCCTACCCATAGCGAGTACTATGGTGAGTTAGGCTTACTGAGTTCCGAAGATCATTGGGGATCAGCGTCAGAGCTCTCTGGAGTTACCCAAGCCCGAGTCGTAGGGAATCACGGTAGAGGGAGGGAAAATTGAACGAGGTCAGAAAATGAGGAATTGATTCCTCAAAGGGGGGATTTCCAAAGGGGTCGGCCAACCTGAGCGTGCCTGACGTCTTTGTGTCATCTCTTGCAGGCACCGCTCACAGGGAAAGACGATCGCGGTCTCCAAGCCCCGCGACGTCGGCCCAGAGCTTACCGGTTGCCCAGAGTGGATGCAGAGCGGTGCATACGCGTCGTGGACGCATGTTGCCGCCTACGCCCAATAAGCCTTCAACCTTGCTATTGCTTAGGTCGGCCAAGATAGGCAACGTTCTAACCAACTATCAGCTTCCATCTGTGGCTCTTTCGCCCACATTGGCGCAATACCGCCACGCTGGATCGATCAACTTTCCTAAAGTGAGTGCATCACCAACGCGCTCTACCGCGTCCCACATGGTCACCACATGGAGTAGACATGATGATGAGTCATATACCAGCTACCGATCAGCAAGCTCACAGCCGCCATTCTTTGGGGACCTGCGTCACATACCTAGACAGCAGCTACCGAATGGGTGCAAGCCAGGATATATACCAGACACTCTGGGACCTTCCTCTGGAGGAGGCTCCTGGAGTGGGCTACAAAAACCAAGGGATACCATCATAGCCGTGCGGCCTTGTTACGGAGAAGCAGGCGGCCGCAAAGGCTATTACGGCTCCGACGACGAGTGGTGCTGACCTCCGAACACCGACGTTTCTGTCTGATTGACCGATGCGTTGTTCTCCGGATGTCAGGTCGCTGTCGGACCCGGAAGAAGTTTTTTCCTACCAACGACAGTTTCTCCTGATCCCGCCATCGTTTGTTGTTGGGGTGGGTTGCCCATCGAGCCTAGCCCCGCCTGGAAGAAGCCTGAACCCACTGTTATATTTATTTTCACATCGATTGACTGTATGATAATTACGGATGACCTCAAACGAGTTTTGTAGGTATCATCATTCAGTCGATACAGCAGAGTTCAACTGAATGACCGAAATCAATTTCGAAAGCAGGCAAGCGCAAGAAGAACGAAAGTCGAAATGACTGAACCACAAGCACGCACCTCAAGTTCCGAAACGCCGAGTTCGTTCCATGCTACATTGAATTTTGAAAACAAAAAACATAGTTTTCTCTCTCATTATACTATTACGATAAAGAAAAGAAAGCCGAACACACAGATCAATCATCGATCAATCAATCATTCATTCATCTATTCACTCGAAGATTCATCATTTTATCGAATACGATCATAATTACGGAAACAACAACAACAATGTATAAGCCAGGAGGAAAGCGGGCGTCTCTTCGCCCTCGTCCTTATATATAGCTACCTCGGGAAGTGTTCAGGTGCAAATGCAAGTCTAACGAGACATTTTTTGAATAGGTCATGCACCGACACCGGAGGTTTTTTTATAGTGCAAGTGATAACTCGATGTACCTTAAAAGTTGATGAGTGAGGAACTTAGAAATCTTCGACGAACTTAGCAAACGACAGTTGGAGCGAAAAAAATGTTTGTAGCCATAATTTTCAAGGCAATCCTTTACCGAAACATCACACTTCCACTCTTTCCTCAAATACTCGGACGTGATTACCCGAAAACAGCTTGGTCGACTCCGTGAAATCCTACGGAATGGCCTGTCGAGCCTTGTGACCAATGGGCTAACGACCCGCCAGCTAACGATGTCTCCCGACGGTTGACGGATGCCGGTTCAGCTTGAGATACCGAACACCATATCACTGCCAGACTGTTGACTGAAACACAAAAGCGAGGAGGTTGCATCAACGCTAGATAGCAAGTTGAACCAATGTCATCGAGGCGTTCGGCGACCGGTTCCCTTGGTGGGGACAAGGCGGCGGCGGGTCGGAGCTCAACGCTTGAAACGTAAGGAATCACGGCCGGGTATTTTCTCTATCAATAACTTGTAGGTTGAACTGCCGTATTGGAGGCAAGCTTCTGCGGAAAACACACAACGCCCGGGTCACGAATACCACTCACAGTTGACACTGAAGAGGCTTCGTCGAAACCTGTCGTCAAAATTCTCCCTCGAGCCCGAAATTGTCTCAAACTAATTCTCACGACTTCGATTCACACAAGATCTCACGCCTGTAGCTTCCCAAGGGTTTGGAAGTCGGCTCGCCGACTGCGCTTTCCGTCGGACTCACCAGCAGGATCGGAATCTCATGATCGACATTTTTACCACAGAAAAAAAACACTTCGGCAACTCCCTTAAATCAGAGCTCACGAGACGGAGATCAGAACCCTTCGCTCTCTGAGGTTTCTTGGAATTCAAATCCCGTGACGACGATTCTCGCCTTCATGAATTGTATATTCTGATCCGATGCAATCGACAAGGTTTCGACAAACCGCTTCGCTTAGGAGGTCCGCACATCATGTGACCTTCTTACGAGAAGACTGTTTGAGGGATGTCCTCGGCCATCGGGAATCTCGGCAAACGTCTTCGACAACACCAACGACAACGACAAAAAGCGAGAGCTAAGTCTCAGGACAACGATTCAAAATTATTCTCAAGTCTCTACAACCAAGTGATACGAGGAGACAACATAAAGAAAACACACACACAAGCTGATAGCGTACGTCAACAATACTGGAACTGAATGGGAACAGAAACAAATGAATCTGAAACGGTGACATGCCATCAAAGAGTTTGCTGAAGAATACGGTCGTTCAGGTGACTTTGGGGCGCTTACGCGTCCCGGGGTGCGCTCTAGACGGTTGCGGACGCTAAATCTCCTAGTCCGTCCGTCCGTCCGTTCTGTCAAAGAATGGCGATGTGTAAGGACCTTGATGCATTCAACATCCATCGATTCGTCCGTGCCGTAGCCCACTCCCTCTTCGGGCGTAGAGCGTACTGAACAGCCACCATCTTTCCGACTCAATCTGTCTCTACCGGAGAATGCATGCGGCCGCGACCGACGACCGTCTCCTTACCGCGACAGTCGAAAGTCCGGCGGCAAGCACACATTCTCTACTCTAACTTTCTCTGACTCTTTCACTGTTTCTTCAACATTCTTCTCTTCTTCTATCATGCTACTACCCCAACTATGATACCTTTTGAACATCTAATAACTACTAACTTCTAATCTACGTGACATCGAGCAATTATCCCACTACCTATTTGTGTATGTAAAAGCCAAAGAAACATTCCACTACTGACGACGAAGCGACAAACAAACAAATGAAAGGAGAGAGAAACAAACAGACAAACTGACTGACAAACCTCGGAGCCCGCCCTCATCAAGATTATCCACGACGGGCGGTGGCCATCCACCTGGTGATAAGAATTCAGAACAACCAAGTTTCCTTTACACTCCCATCCGAATACGAAGACAGTACCTTTCAATGATGAATGCAACAACATATGACATTGAATGATGATTATGCGAATGATCATAGCAATGATAATAATCATCATCTATACTTGAATGAACACTCTGAATCGAATATTGCAAGATCACAATCCGGTCCACAATCAACAAGAACGTAACAACCACCACTCATAATAAAGTTCGATCGGCTCGTTGTCTCCGCGATAAGCACCCGGTCGCCATCCACTACCGGCATTATCGCTGCGACCAGCCGAGAGAAGTTCTTCCCCGACTTTACAAAGCAGCCTAATCAATGTCCGACTAAATCCATACACGAAGAGGAGAACAAACGAATCCAATCTAAGTCCTTAACAAAACGCAGCCAGCGCACTGCCACCGCGTCGGCGGCTATCCATCGGTGAACGAGGCAGTCAATCGATCAATCAATCAAGCAATCTCCATATATCCTCTATCGTGATTTCAATCATCATCACCACACTACCACCTCCAGGACAGCCATGAGAACATCGACGACAGAAACAAGAACAACAGCAAGAACGAGAACATCAAGAACAATAAGAGCAACAACGACAAGAGCAACGACCATCAGAAAGTCATGGAGAGTGGGAATGTGAGAATGCTGATTGAATTTCATGCGGTTGATCGTTGATGTCCTCTTCATCCGCGGGCACGCGGTGTACGCTTGTGAGGCCTCGTCCCCGCGTGCCTGCCTTCTACCCGCCAACAAACCTGAGAAAACAACCGATCATAAGACCAAGCAAAGAAACAAAGCAAACAACCCAACAAACAGACACAGAAGCTGGTGGCATCGCCGCTTGTTTCGCTATGACGCGGTGTCATCTCTTCACAATTTGTACATTAATGCCTACATGAAGTTGCGCATGGTTTTCGAGCTGATGCGAGAGATGCAAACATGGGTCGTTCTCGTTCAAGTGTATTGTATAAACTCTAAGCTTATTATTGAAAGTTTCGATTTGGTATAGGAGAATCAATCTTTTTGTATTTTCTCGTCTGTAATTTTTTTTGATACTGTGATATTCTGCTTCTTGTACTTGTACTGATTATGACATGAAACCAATTCAAACGCCAACAGTGACCACCCCGCCAGTTTTTGAAGAAAAAAAAATGAAAAACACGATACACCCTACAGACAAAAGAAGCGAAACACGCAGATCAGGAGCGCTCGCCTATTGAAAATGCCCCCGAACATATACATGAGCGGAGAATGAACCTGAAGAATGACTAATGAACAGAATCCATCAACAACCTACCAATGATAGAAGACATCATCGGTAAGAGCTGTCAGCCGGAGGACGCTGTCGACGACACTACAGGTGGAGATTTCGGGAACACCATTTATACATGAACTTTCGTAATGTTTGAAACCTCGACGACTAGCGCGGATTCGTCTGCGGAAAGTGTTCGTCCAGCTCACAGCTCGATACGAACGAGCAGATCACCGTCGTACTTCTGAGTACGCGTGCTTTCATACACAACACGCAGACAAACACACTTACAATCACACAGAAGAAGACACAATCAGAGAATCATTGGTATCGTGGTTATGACTAAACGTTGATCAGAGAGTATGGGACATGTTTTTTGAAAAGAGAAGGTAAATATGAAAATGGATGAGTTTTCCACGTGTCGTTCGCCATTTTGATCTTCTGAATTTTTCTGAACCGTGTTGCTCGTCATAGTGGTGCCTTGCTCTGGCGCACGGCGTGTCCGCACTTTTCCTGCGGCCGCCACTGATGCGATACAGGACGCCGCTATCGAGACTACTACTATCACTACTAATACTAATATGATTCTCAGCCCTGCAGTTGAAGATTTTATTTCCAGAGGAATGAGCAGTAGCATTTGTCAGATCGCTAACTCTCTCCGAAATGAAATGGTTTAACTGAGAAAGGAAACAGGCACCACCAGACGCCAACCACGATCTGTAGACTCGTACGGATACGTGGATTCGTTCGGTGAACTCAAACGAATGAAAAAAACAAGTCTCTCCCTGAAGAAATCTCAAAGGTGATCGCGAACGGGTCGAAAATCCGCCTTAGGCTGTGTTCCGAGTCACGCAACTTCCATCGTGACTCGCCACGGTTTTTCTCTGAGCCTCCTACGGAGCCGAATGTTCACCGAGACCATCAGGGCTCCTCTTGATACCAGCGCGATCGGAGCGGGGAACAGAAGAGAAAAAGTCCTCTCGAAGGCGTGGTTAGAGACTCGTTGCCGATCAATATGAAGGAGCCTTCTACCTTGACTCGGGCTGAAGGCTCCGAAACAATCTATTTCTCTCTCGACAAAACGACAAGTCGCATCCAACAATTGAAACAAGTTCGCATAACGGCATTGTACGCTTCATCAGAAAAGCAGTCGAAAGTATTCCAGGTTTTAATATAGTGAACGAGCGCTTCCTAACGCAAGAGAGAAAAAGCAGAAAACAGAGAAAAGTCTCCCGCTTCAAACGAACCGTTAATCAAAGAAAATCGAATTTTTTCAAGGGATGAGTTGAGACGCTGAGTAAACCAAACTCATACAAGGCAGACACGGATGTGATCCAATGAAGATATCATGACGATATTTGAATTGATCTTGGAAAAATTACGATTTCCAATCTTGTTTTTGCAGACGAAGACTGTAGGTAAATATACTGGTAATTAGGTGCAGTTGAGCACTGATGTGTAGTAACGCTCTCAATAAATAAATTGTCTGACTGATCGACGCTTCGCATTCCTTCTAGAAGTCTCTCATTCTCTGTCAGCCTCGTATGGCGTCGAAGTCTTGCTGGAGGACAAGCAGCATTCAGATTCACAAAGTCGCGACGGGTCTCAGACGACCTTCGTCGGAACGTTTCCGTCCCGGAGTCGCTCAACGTTCGCTGATCGAATCAATCAGCTCTCTTCGGAGCAAAGGATTGATTTTCCCAGGATCATAGAGAATGGGAAGCTCGTCATTCATGTACAGAACGATAATACAATTCACACGTGCGTGATCGGGATCTGACAACGCTCATCTACTCGGTCCAGCGATGAGTACACCCTTGGTTGCAACAAACGTAGTAGAGTCTCATCTCGTCCTCGGCTCTTCTGCTCTGAGCTTGGAAGAATACGGACTCTCTGTGCCCACATTTCGGGCAGGGATGCTCCTCCGTACGCGGCAGAGTGGGATCGAAAATTACGTCGCTGACGATTTGGGTCAGCTCGTCTACTTCGTGCGTGATCTTGTTCACGTATATACAGTGGTTGTCCGCAACCTGGAATCGAACGCACAGATCGATTATCATCGAGGAAAGCAAACGAGAATCCTGAAATTCTTCGAGGAACGGAAATTCAGATAAGCCCAGACGGGCCGGGTGACAAACCTGTTGGAAGTCACAATTCCGACAAGCGAATAGCAGCTGTCGATTCTCCTTGTCCTCTTTCGGGTACAACATATTGTTGCATTCCTGGCAGAACTTGATTCCCACGAAACCGGGTCCCTCATCATGGATATCGAGGCTCATCTTGAATCGATGGAAGCGTCCGCTGTTATCTAGGCTTTCACATTCAGCGAAAATTACGCTCAGCTTCAACTGCGAAAATTCCTGGTTCCTTTCCGCGGCGAAGTAGGGGTCTACGCCACAAGCCCTACTTGTTTACATTGATGAACGCATTTTTAGCGGGGAGAATTCTGAATCCAGCGGGGCGTGCGATTCGGCGAATCGGCGAGTAAGCCCTTCTTGGCGACTTGTACGGATTCCAATGGCGACCTAATTTAAATTTTCTAAAGTAAAGCCCCGGTAATAAATGAAATAAATGAATAAATTAAAAATTCCGAGTTTATATGCATTTTTGAATGAGTTCTCATGAGCTCCTCCGATCTTATTCGCTCAAGTTTCGGTCGTATTCTGTACGAAGCTTTGTTTTGCCCAAGAGTGCACACCTATCCAGTTCATCTCGCTATCTTGTGATGAGGTATCCATGATGCGTTGAGTCCGGGTCCGCATCATACAGTCTACTACTCGGTCCAAGAATCTTCTCTTAGATCGATTCCGTCGTCACCCCAGAATAACTCGCCAAAACAGGTGAAGTCACCAAGTCGCCAGCCCCACTGAACTCAGAATTCTCCCCGCTAGAAATGCATTCATCAATGTAAACACGTAGGGCTTGTGGCGTGCTCCCCGAAGTAGCCCTCATGTTTACCTATTCTGCTCCGCGTGACAGGGGAAGGCGGGGCGCGAACGCGCGCCAAATTTAAAGAAGGCGGCTGGGGTTCAGTCAGGGGTCCCGGGAGTCACTGTAGTTTCTCCAGAACCCAGCGGATCCCTTCTCGAATGGGGCTATACTCGGTGATTACCGCTCGCATATCGCCTTCGACGGCTTCGAGCGAGCTCCTATCACTCCTATCCATCGGTCGTGCTCGAGAATGATTTCAGGAACTCTCGAAGCTCTCCGTCCATTCTTCGGCACTGTCGCCTTACGAGTCGGAAACTCGAAAATCACACAGCAGGAGAAAAGAGCAAGGGTTAAATCTACCCGTCGAAGTGAAAGCGATTCGGTCGGTCGAGGAGTCTGCAAGCCACAAGGATCCGGGACCGCTCCATTGAATCTGTTTTCCTCAGTCTCCATAGAGACCGCCCTTCCGCACACAGAGTCATAGGAGATTCCCGAAATCGCTCTCGGCCGATTTGCTTTCCGAAATCGGTCCCGTGGAGAGATAATCGATAAGTTCATCCCAGCCTAGGAGGATGGTCGAAGAGAAGAGCGATCGGAAGAAGACGAATACTATCATTTTCGACGCGTCCAAAAAGGAGCCTTTCAACATCAATGAGGGCTACAAAATACTTCACAGAAGGTGAGAGTGCTTAGTGATCTGCACATAGTATCTCCTCTGCGCGATTTAAGGCGAGATTAGAAGAGATGATGGGACGGCCACGGTTTTCCAGACTGAAGAATTCTTGGAAAGTCGGAGCCAACCGAGATGCGATAAGACAGGAGATTCTCAGAACATGTGACGTATTCGTCCTGGCGGGTCCGAGGATGAAGCTCCAAGACAGCGAAATCGAAGCCCTCAAGGAGTTCGTCAGTGGTAAGATGTGGCGAGGAATATTCCGAGGAGAACTTGGGAGGCTTGTACTTTGAGAATCGTCGTGCTTCTCGACTCGGTTTATTGTACGGGGAAGTATTATCCCCAAACAGGTGGCGGACGACTCCTGGTGATGCTCGGCGATGGTGGGGAGAAGCGCTTCCAAACCAACGTCAACACCGTCCTAGAGGTCGGAATCCTGAATTGGGCGATGCCTCACCATTGAAACATTTCGACGGTTCGGGAATTACAGTAAATATTCCCTTCCCCCCCAGGAGTATGGGATAATGGTGAACAGCGACGCGGTCGTCCGGAACGTTTACCACAAGTACTTCCATCCAAAGGAAGCCTTCATAAACAACGGCGTTCTCAATCGAGCCCTCTTGGAGTGTGCGGGAAAACGGGTACGTGATTGAAGTGTTTGATTCTGGAATTCTGCTTTCCTGTCACTTCTGCGACCACCCCTGAAAGCACGGATCGTGATCGCAGGTTGACTCCGCTCAAGATAAGCGGAACTCTCAAGGATTATCTCTTGTGTACCCCTACGGTGCAACTTTGAACGTCTCCAAATCTTCGGTCGCGCTCTTGGGAACGGGTACTGCCTGCTTCCCGCTTCAGCGACCGATATGCGCCTTGAATCAGCGCCAGAACTCCGGGAGGATCGTAGTGCTGGGCAGCTGCCACATGCTCAGTGATCTCTACATAGACAAAGAGGAGAACAACAAAATTCAAGTGAGTCGTGACGTCTTTCTTCAAGAGCCCTCACGCCCTTACTGACCATCGAATTCCTCTCAAAGTCCGACACTTCTCGCGAGCAGGATATCATCTTCCAACTACTGACCCGGGAAGACATCAAGTTGAACCAAATCGATGCTCAAGACCCTGACATCACCGACTACACGACGGTGCCTGATATCGGATACTTGGCGGACCGACCGTTCGGCTGCTTGGAGGAGAGCGAAGAACTTCCGTCGGACTATATGAAATTATTCGAACTAAACCTCTTCAAGCTGGACAACGTCACTCTGCCTGCGGTGAGATGGTCCCGGAGAGCCGGGTTCGAGCTGGAGCTTCTTTTAGCCCCTGCATCCGATCATTATCCCTCTTCCCTCTCCAAGAATATTGAGTCAGAGACTCCGGTCGAATCGAAGCTTCAGATTAATGAGCCTTTTTTTAATTGAAGGTTTTAGAGAGCTACGAAGAGTTAGAAATCAAACACGAGCCTCTCGGATTGATTCGGCCGCATTTCGAATCGCCCTTCCCTCCTCTGACGCCAGCAGTATTCCCGCCTCAGTTTCGCGCTCTGAAAGATCCCGGCCTGGAGCTGTTCGATCTCGACGAGGAGTTCAGCTCTCAAATGGAACGATTAGCCCAGCTGACGAACAAGTGCACCGATGAAGATTTGGAGTATTTCATCCTGGTGCGCGATCGCGAGATCATGACTCATGACCAATGATTCTGAATCCACGGGCTAGTACAGCTGACAGGGTCGAACTGAAGTCATGATGCTTGTTTCCAGGAGGCGGGAGAAATCCTCGGAGTTTTCCAAAATTCATCCGTGAAACGGCAAGCTACCGCTGTCCTGGATCACATCTTTACTCAAGTCTGCGAATTCAAGAAGCTCAATCAGGACTGAACTTACATATAGAAAATAAACGGCCAGAAGACTAGTGATCGTAGGATGAGCTTCTAGTATTTACAAGTTCTGCTCCCAATAGATACAAGAGTCCACGAATAGAATCAACAATGGATGACAACAATGCGGGCTCGGGTTCGAGCTCCTGACTAGACCTTGGACCTGAATACATACAATGGTTCAGATTGGATGCCTTGCGGTATGCTAGAAGGCATTCCGATGGAATGAGATATTCACAGAAAAAGTTTTGCGAAGTGACTACAGAAGAGACTCCATGTTCGGATCAGGAGCTGGAATCGTGTCTGCCGGGGGTACGGATCTATAAACGCGCGTTTTCTTCCGCAAGCAGCTCATCAGGAGGAAAGCACAAATAGAAGAAATGAGGAAAAAGACGCTGATGTGGCTCGAATGTGCGACAGTGAGGCTAAGGGGCTCACTCAGCACTCGGTGAAGTCGGAGCATGGCAGATTTTTCCAGGGTTCGTATTTCACTTCCGGAAATTTTCTCCGAATCGCGGCGGCCGCTTAAAGAGAGGATAGAGCAGCTTCACATATATGCCATGAGTTACGCAGCGGTAAATTCTATTATGAGAGCATGTCGCATGAGCATCCTGTGTGCGCTTACCGAGCAGCACCCAAGTCCACCACGAACACGCAGTGAACCCGCCACTGAACTCCCTCGTTCTCGCGTGCGAATAGCGGAGCACTGTCGAAAACAAAAGCATCCGCGTTTCGTTTATCAAGGGTTTGTAGTTCCTCTCCCGTGAAAGCTCCGGAATTTCTGGACGCTAGCAGTCCACGGAACTCGTCGTGCGGAGGGCTTGAAGTCTCAGCATCCTAGAAGAACAGAGGAGTCAGAAAACCGACGGCCTCCTTCCGGCGTGTACTCTGGCGGCGGAAACATCTTTTTTTCCCCTGGAAACTATTTGAATCGTTGAAACGAGATCAGGCTTACAATCACTTTGTATGGACATCGGCTGATCCGGTTGTGGATGGTCTCATGTGCGTCACGACAAACATAACACTTTTGTATACGCGTTATCAACGCCTGGTCCTGAATATCCAGGTTGAAAACCCGTACGAATCCATAGACGGCTTCTCCTGGAAGAGACGAATTTTTCGGATGTCAGCACCCGGTAGAATTATCCTTAGCGACGCGGACGGAAACCATAAGGAGCGGCCACACTTCCTCGATGAGCCAGAATCTCACCTTCTTGGATTGTATTATTCTCCATATCAGGTATATCTTCCATCCAAAACTGTTTTTTCGTCAGAAGAAGCTCTGATTCAAGGGGATAGATTCTGGTCGCGGTCGAGCCGGACTGGATGTATACAGGCAAAATCAATGTGATTGGCTTGTCGGGCATGAGTTGACACTTCGGAACTTCGCCGACACATGGCAAGAGCGACAGCGTGACATTAGTTGCAAAATGAGTGTGCTGTAAGAGGGTAAGGGTAGAGTATCGTAAGCCAGGGGCTCCGTGATTGGATTCCTTCATGATTCTCTGAGCTCGGAGCCTCACCGTGACCAGGGAAGTGAGATTCCATCGCGTTCTCCGGGGCGAGATGGTCCCGTCGTTCTTCAGCATGAATAAGCTCCCAGTGGAGTTGTAATGGCGAACGTCAATGATGGACTCATTGAAATTTTCTGCAATGTCATTCCCTCAAATACTAGCAATCGATTCTGTGTCGGTCGGGGCTACCCGGTAAGCGTCTGATCCCGGTGACGCTCGACACATTCGGTCAATGGGGGAAAGATCCATCAAAAACGAACAAGATTCATCAAGTCACGCTGCGAAACTCTCCTGGAAGGGAGGCTCCATCGATGACGAATAATCGTGATAGGAACGCAATAGAAAGAGACGTCTTACTTGGGTCTGCGGCCAAAATTCCGTCGAAGTTGGTCTCTGTCTCGAAAACCACGAGCAATGAGCCGTCCTTATCAAGAGAAGCGCGCGTAATCTGTAGAATAGCTGTCGAAAAGGCAAATTTATCGCTGATGAATTATTGCCGTTGGTGCATTTGGGTCGATTTTCCGCTCCGAATCGGCTGCGGAAAAACTCTTCTCGATATGTGTCCTTCCGCCCGGCATCGAGGCTATGTACGCTTAGATTATGGAAGGACGGGCGGATCGAGGGAGGGTAACCGACCTGATAGATTCGGAGGATCCCGCGACTCCAAGCGACGACTTCCAACGACGCGGGTCTTATAAACAAACGAGACTCGTAGCTCGCTCGAAAGCGATACATGATGCCATTTCTTGGAGGATTGATGAACGATGTACATGACATGGATGGGGAGCAAAAGGTTGACCGATGAAACGTCTTCATCGACGCTCTCGTCGAGTCGAGCCCCACAACTCAGCAATTCAGACAGTGAGTACGTGAGCTGGTAATTCCACGTGCATGAGGTGACGTTGGGCTCGGGGGCGGGCTCGCTATGAATGAAATATGAATTTTCAAGGCTAACCGAGTTATTCATTCGCCGGTTTCTATCGTCCGAGGAGTCTTCCTGCTCCGCTCACCTGTTGTTCTGCAACAAATTCGAGCACTTGTGCTTCGACGCGAAAAATCGCTTTTCGGTGTCAGCGACGAGGATTGGCTTCGTCGACCAGAATGGGAAAGACCCATCATGATGCGGGAGGATCACGGAAAGAGAGTAGAGGAGTTCAGTAGACGAATTCGGAGACACTAAAAAATCGATGAAGATCCGCTCTGAGACAGCTCAATCAGAAAAATCATCCGGCAGCGGGGAGGTTCTAGAACCCATCTCCTGTGCTAAGCTTATGTCCTGCTGCCAGAGGAGTAGTCACTTACTGATGACGCGGAGTTTACTCGAGAATGGTGTTGAGCCAACTCTGCTCGTACATGCCGGCGACGATTCCTCGTTGCTTATCAAATAAGCGCCGCTCATAATTTCCGCACCCTCACTGTCGGAAGTGGCGATTCTCACCGAACAGACAACGGTAGAGCCGGGCGAAAGATAAAGAGAGCTCGGCAGCACTTTCTGGTTTGTTTTCAGTAAGAAACTGCGACTTTTAATCGACACCAGCCCCGTATCGGTAGAGGTTTTCCATTGATAATGTGTCTGCAGGGAAGAGTTGAGTCCCAAACAAAATCTTGTGTGACGCAGACTAAGATCATCGCATTCCTGGATCGAGAGAAAAACGAGAACGTTGACTACAGGATGCCAGGTAGCTCAACACGTATTGAAATATTCGAAAGCCTAGTCAATGCATTCGACGTGTGCAGGCTCAGTGGAAGCCTCCAGTTACGAGAGAGCCCTGCAGCGGTCGCGTTCCTTTAATCTTAGAATCATCGCCGCAATCAGAATTCGCAGTCGTAAAAAATCTGACAGCTGTCGGACTGGATCTTGCCGAAAACGGACTAATCACTGGCTCACTCCGAAGCTGACAGATACTTGATTGGCACTTTATCGCTCAGATCAGAAGAGATGTGTCTTACTACTTAATCCGATTCAGTATGCTAATTCGCTCCGGGAATCTGACGACTTCGGGATGTGCTCCTCCAACACTCAGTCGGAAGCCCCGCGATAAGAAAGTCGAGCCGAATTTATCTTCACTCACGCTCGCACAGTAGAGAGTTGCACCCTTCGGAAGCAATCGTGTGTGTGCCAAAGGGTTCCGAGTCCTGGGATCCAGAGCGAGGATCACCGGATGTTCCGTGAACGACGGTAAGGCTCTAGAGTCGCTGATACGGACGACGGTCTTCGAAGACTGAAAGGAGAAACGAATGAGAGCTACTAGGGGTCGAAGGTTTCGATAACAGAAAGCAGATGCTCAGCTCGTCCATTCGCAGCAAAAGGACCTGCAACGATCCCGCCGAACTCGTCACGGATTACCTCAATTGGCTTCTCAAATCGATCGCGCTCGCTCGCGTGTTTTATTGAAGATGAATCGCCCCAGGAACACTGCTTTCGAAAGTTCCGGATAATGAGACGTTCTCTCGTCCTGTCAGATCGAATTTGCTATGTTGTCTATCCTTGGATAATCTCCAAATCCTCGGTCCGGTCGCGCCACCGAGATATTTATCGAAGTTGTCTTGACGCTCACTCACAAGGGTGCTTCGGTGTAATTACTATCCGCGTAGATCTTTGAACAGTCTTGGGTGGAAAGGACCCCTGGACCCGAAAAGGATGACGTTTCCGAACAGCCTGGGAAAACCCGAAATTGGCTCGATGGTTTGAATATGAGTAGTCCGCGCGTGTGCTGTATGAAGGTTCAGGAATCGATTTGGATTCCTCCAGCTCGAAGAAAGCTCCCGAAAGCGAAAAGACACTCCTACAATCCCTTTTTCGAGCATAATGAGCTACTTTGATTTGATGTCCCCGTAATCGGAACATTCGTAGTGAACGTAGTGTTTGATAATACGTTCCAGGAGGCGGATTATATGAACTGACCGGGCGGAAGAAAGAGTGTTATCATTTGAATTCTCACTTGTGTGTTCCGATTGATTTGTTGTTTGCAGATATAAAATTTTATCTCCGGCGTAATCTTCTGATGGCGCTTCGGAGCAGGAGGGAGTAAGTTGGAAAGGTTCTCACTTGCTTAGTTCGACGTTGCCGGCTTGACTCATGGAAGCCTTGAAAACTCTGATACGCTGCGGTATTCCGTCTCCGGAAACTCTCGCGATCCGCCCGTAGGTCCAGATGGATCCAATGCAGGGCGACGGAAATCGAGGGACTCGCGCCGAGAGAGAACCCAGCAACGGGGGCCATAAAAATTCAACTTATGCAAATCTGAAGAGCGATTCGCCCGATAAATAACAACGGCATCATCTCGTGAAACGTTACAAATATAAAACGCGATTGGCGGTTGGAATTCATGATCCCGAATAAGTTCTCAATGAGGCTGATACGGCCGCTCGAAAATCGAGATTTTCATGAAACGTGCAAGCGTCCGCCGCTTACCCTCGTCGCATCTTGTGAATGCTGCGGGGGATCCCGCACGAAACTCACCTTGAATCTCAGTCCGTGCTCCAACGGTTCGAGAACGATGGTGAAGAATCTCGCGATCTCGACATGGGTCTTGCCGAGAATCTCAATCGGGATGGTCAGACCGTCGTCTTCATTCTTGAGAGTCAGAACTGCAGTTGAAGAATACCTCGTAAGCGGTCGAGTCGCGCAGAGCGACCGATTGAGAGATTTCCCAATTCGACGCATTAATTTTCCCTTCTAAGATCTAGACGCGTGTCTCCGAACGAGTCCCCCCGTCGTGATGGAAGACAGCCGGAAGATGGATGCTGTTTGCACTGAGTCCACACGTCGAAGACTTCGTCTAGATCGTGCGGCGCCATCACCCTCCACCGCGGCGAGCTGATAAGGCCGATTGAGCGGATAAATTCCGATGGAAGCTCCCCTATTCTGATGTACGAATCTCATTTTCCGCTTCATTCTCTATTTACGCGATTATACCCTCACTTGAAACGAAAAACCGAGTGCTCCGGGACGACACGAACCGAGGCCGCGCGAACTTCCTCGACTATATTGAGGATTATTCTTAGCGCAGGAATAGTGCAGGAATCGCCGGGAAGGATGGCCGTCGACGCGGAACCAGAGTCATAAAGGGGAGCAATTCAAACAAAAACTAGGGGTAGATGATACTGAAGTTGTAGTTTTACGTAAGCGAAAGTCAAATAATGACCCACCTTCGTCCGAGGGAGTGAAATCCTCGTGCTCCCTAGCCGTTCCGCCCACAGTAGCCACACGGAAACCGATGTCCGAGCGGTGGGCTGAGTTACTCCGCAGGATCCGCACGAATAATGTCTCCTGAGAAAGGTTTGGAGGCTCGAGCTCGCTCTGAGAGATCGGCTTGTCATCCGGCGATTCAATGGCAGAGAAGTCCGTCGCGGTACTTACACGGAGCTTATCCTCCCCGGGCTGTTCAACAGTGTATTCCGACCGCTCGAAATGCAAATAGCTCATTGGAGATAGGACAATGGTTTGAAATTTCTTGTGCGAAATATCAATGAAGCAGCCTTGGACTTTCGTTAGCTCCAGAGCGAATTCTCCGTTGAAGTCTCCCGGAACGGAGATAGGCAATGATTTGTGGCTTATTCCCGAAGGGATCACGAAGGGAAACTCTCCGACATGGCTGCTCACGACGCCGTCTGTAAATTCCACAGTCGGCTCAACCAAGATTCGACTGGAGATAGTCTCAAATTCTAGTCGATACCATCCGCTGTATTTCACCCGGGGGGACATTTACCAACATCAGAATCGAGACCGTCTCGTCTCAGATCGATAACGATTTTCCTCCCGGAGATGATTTCCGGCGAATCCACCGTGAGCGATAAGACACACCATCGGATGCTGAAAGTAGCTGCTTCCAGACTCGACCCTATGATTCGAACTATCGATTAAACCGCAGCCTTTCCCCGCTCAGATCCTCCTCCGAGCGACTTTTCCTACAGATTTTTCGTTTATCGACTGAAAAGTCTTACCGTTCTTGAGAATGAGCGCGACTGTATCTTCGATGGATCCAGAAGTCAAGGCTGCATTTGTCGTGAAACCCAACGCATCTGAAAGACCAATCGAAATCTACTAAACCAATGCACCTGAACAGCTCGGAAGAGTGAACTACGAAAAGATGTCCTTGGCGAATCTGGAAACAGCTCTGAAGACTTTCGAAGCACCCCTCGGCTCTGAGTATCCGGCTGCAACCTTGTCGAGGGACAGATCAGAAAAGAAAAACAATCAGTGTCGCCCAAAGCTTTCGGGTAGTTTTTCCTCAAGAACCATCGCTGTCAGCACAGCTGAGAGGCTTTTTTCCCCGGGGAATGTCGAAAAAATTTTAACGAAGCTGCGAGGAAGCTGTTCGCTCGGTCATTCGCAAACATTTCTTCAGTAAAAACCTTTCTCGTTTGGAATGCCGTAACAAACGCACTTCGGAATCGGGAATCCTTAGCCTGTACCGAATTCGGATCTTACCGATGAGTCAGGCCCCGTGCTGAGAGTCTACGCAGTCAGCATTCCGTCAGGTTCTGATGACGTCTGTCCTCTCCGGGTGCCCCCTACGCGACGTTGAGCGTGTTTTTGTTTTATATCGCCATGCAAATTGGCGGCACAGAAAACGGATTTTTCACCCAGCAGGCCGTTATCGAAAGAAGGCGGTCCGGTGTCGAAACTTCCCTCGATCATGAGATGCGCACATTCCACGCAACAGTTGACTCTATGGGTTTCATTGCTGACGCTTGACAAGTTGGGGGAAGCGCTGGCTCAAGCCGATAAACTCTGAACTCCTGCTATCCTCAAAACCCTGAGGGTAGATCCGTTGCAGACGCTCCGACTCCACTCGACGAAGCGACTGTAGAAGTCGTTGGGAGAATGCCGAGCGATGCGGCGAATTCGTCTCAGCGCTCGAAATAATTGCGCGGGGGAGTTCCGGGTCGGACGTTCGCGCTAGAAGAGGAAATCATTTTTCTCCCCGAGTCTCCGCGCTCTTCAGAAAGCTTTCCAAAAAGAAACAGAAACGAACCTAGTGAGGGTGGGTCGCGGACTCACGTCGGAATCGGCGCGCATTAAGGCTGTAAGAGGGGGACATAAATTGACTCGGAAAGATTTCAATTTCAAAAGGCCGCAGTCGTGAGGGAACGGAGTGCTGAGACGAGAAGCCAAGTGCACCGAACAGTTCCGTTGCGTGGGTTGCCGCCTGCCGACCGACAGGACGACGGACCGTTTGTCCATCTCTCCGGTTCTTCATCCGAGTAGTCAACCGGGTGGCCAGCTTCTTTGGGTGTTCTCATTTTTTCCGCTTTCGTCGCTCTTTATCACTCATCACCAGCTCACCAGACAGCCTCTCAGTAAGTCACTTGGTGAGTTGTTGCCAACAGCGAGACGGCTGGCTTCCTGATATCGCGCTTTCAATGGCGAAGTCGGAGATAAATGAGCAATTTCGACCGCTGACGACCCGTCTTCTCTGACTGGTCGATTTTCATTTGCCTTCCCGATCTATATCGGTTTCTCTCCCATATTTCCCATTTTTTCACCGTCCTTGTACATTTTCTCCGTGTTCGAAGTCGGGCACCACATTGGCGCCGTCGGCAGTCGTTACCGGGACGCATGGAATAGGGCGCAATGGTAGAGGCAGCATTATTTCATATAGAATTCGTCCCTCGAGTACGGAGGAACCACCGACCGCTGGTCCAACTGTGACCGCGAATAGCTCTGTGCGCTCTTTTGTATCTCATTGCTTCGATACATTCGTTTCTCATTCCTCTGGTTCGAGGAAAGCGAAGAGGTACGTTATAGCCACCTAATGACGTAATATCGAGCGTCAACCATACCGAATTTATTGCGTTTTGAATCCTTAATCGACTTGCTTGACCACAAACTCACACAGGAAAGTCGTCAATCATTCCCCATTTTCTGGACGGAGTCGTTCGGGTGTAGCGCAGATTTTGGCATTCGAACATGAAATCTAACTATTACCCAGACGGTAGCAGCCACCGTCGTTTTCAATTTGCGGTGCGAAACGTATCAAATACTTCTGATTAGACCTCGGACTTTCCAAAATGGAGATCCTGTCGTTTTCGAATGTCCTCAGGGCGTGTGCCATTCAATCCCAAGGAAGCACTCTCGTTCGTAGCCGAGACCGTCTCGCCGAATTCCCCAATCCGTCCCCCGATGAGCTCACGAAACCTTTTTCTATAATATCATTGGACTGAGTCATGTTTCGGACGCCATATTCAAGCTCGGGGGAAGGGGATCTTCTCAAACGCAGTACACGTCGCTCTCGCATGACCCCGGAAGCTCGAAACGGAACGACTCCCGAGTATCCATCGAGCGCCCGAGGATCTGAAGTGATCCTCGAGTCGGAGCCGCGCCTGGAAGCTCCTACCGCGAGTCGTCTCCCGGATCAAGCAAAAGAGATTCGATAGACGTTAAGAAGATGGATGGACGGATAAACGGCTACCGTCAGGCTTATGCGCTCGCATAGAATGTGGCTATCGTACGGTTTGCACAAAACAAACACAGAAAACGAATTATTTTCCGTCCTACTTCAGTACTCCTAATTAAATATCACCCAAGCCACGCTCAATTAGCGGGACGTTTTATTTGCACACAGAGTCATTTCGTATTTCTTCCGGACTTCTGATTGAATCTTTCCCGGGTTCGTTCCTCTGAATCGGAACGCAATTTTCCGCTGCAACTTTCTTTGCTGCGCTGTATAAAATCCCCGAATAGTCGCACAAGCAAAGTCCGGAGATTTCCGTGTGAAATTAGACATAACATCAGAAGCTCACCGGCGAAATTCGTCTTCCGAGGACTCCAAAACTCTGGTTTCTGCATGTCACGCCGTAAACGACTCCATGAGCACCTCCGAGACCATCGAGGAGCGGACCCTCGTACAAAGCTGCCGCTGTTCGGCAGCCCACCCAGCGGAGACCGGCTGAGAAACTAGATCGGTCAAGGTCAGATGAAGGCATTAATCGGATGGCTCCAGTAGTGGTACAGACAATAATTTCTTGTAGAATCACTTTTCGCGATCTGGCCGCGCGATTCGGCCTGAGCCCAGCTGAACGTCGATCGCTCGATATGTCCATCCAAACGCCGCGACTTTAGTCTATCGACCCTGCTCATATTTCACATGGGCTCTCCGGGAAAGATTTTATCTCTGCCAGTGCCACCTTGTTATTCAATGAACGATTCGTCCTTGATGGAAGAGGGATGTCGGCCGCGAGCGTAGCCCGCGCAATATTTTCGGAGGACCCTTCGATGAATTTTCATGAGGAACTTCTTACGTCCCAATTTAAAATTCCGCTCCCTAGCTATCACCGGCGGGCATCTGTCACGGACCCTTCGATGATCACTTTGTGCGTCAGCTTCCCCAGTCGCAAGAACCCGGATCAGAGCATGATTCCATCAGCGGATCGCAAGCAACTTTCGACTGTCAAGTCATCGGGAGAAAGACATTTCGGTAATTCATTCATGTGTCCGCTGAGAGTTTCTTGATGCGGCGGGCCCTAGTATTCGTCGACATATGAACAGATCGCTCACGTGACCCTCCACACAGATTCGAAGTCTCTCTCTATCGGTCAGGGCTCTTCCAGAATCTGCTTCGAGTCCCTTCATCTTGTCATTTGGCCCTCCCGGAAGATCCAAATCTGCATTAAGAACAGTCAATCGCTTTCTCCGAAACTGATCTATTGGGACGTGTTACCGAAACAGAATTAATTACTCACCGTTTTCGAAAGTGAGATTTCCATTCGAAGGCGGTTGTGTCACCGCAAGCCACTCGACGCGAGAAATGTTGAACAACTGTTCACTGAAGCGCTCAAGGCGTATTGGGTGGATTCTGCTGACTGGAGGGACAGAGTCGTTGGGGAGATGCACGGTGATGCTGAACTCATAGAGGGGTGTTTCGTTAAAACCATCGCTGATACGGAATGTGAATCTGTCGCTCTGACAGCATATCTTCGATCTGTGCGCATAAACTACGTTTTGAAGCTTGACATCCTCGAGCTCGAACGAAGCAATCGACTGGTTTTTATCCTTGGCTTGCTCGTGAACGAGGATCCCGTTCCGGGGCCCCTCGACAATTTTGAAGGAGATTGCATCCGAAGTACTATCGATGTCGTCCACTTGGAGGTGTCGAGCGTCGATAACAGCCGATGTTCCAACTTCGACACGGATCCCTCTGTTAACAACCAGTTTAGGCGGCTCATCGTCAACAGCTAAAACTTTGACATTGACGAGCTGTTTCGTTGAATACCTTCCATCGGAAACAGTCAGCTCGAACGAGTCGTTGAGATTTTCCGAGTCGTCGTGAACGTACATCACGCGATTTACATTTTCCTCCGAAAATTCAACGACGGCTTCATTGTGCCCGTCTGCCGAGAGGATCGCGATCAACCCGTGCCGCGGTGGTTCGCTCACGTAGAAACGAAGCTCACCCCGCGGAATATCTTGATCCGAAAAATGTATTTTCACCGGAGCTTCCCTGCCCTCGAGGACGGTGACTTCGTTCACTGCGAGATGCGGGGCTTCGTCATTCTGGCCCTTTATCGCGATCCGTATCTGTTCCAGAGGCGACAGATTTACTCCATCGGAACATCGAATTTTGAAAAAATCTTCCGATGGCTCCACATGGGCGTGTTTCAGCTGTTCGTACACGACATTGTCAGTCTCAGAATTGTTGAACTCGGTGAATTTTTGCGCGCGGATCGTCAGACGACCGAAAATTGGCTGCTCGGGAATGTGGCACCAGAATACTTTGGAATCCACGTCGCTCACTTCCCAGTTCACTCGCGAGCTTTCGCCTTCGAGAACGACTGTTGCATCGGTGATTTTTATGACCGGGGCTGCGTTGTCGACCGGCTCAACCAACACCGTCACTTCGGTCTCTCCGTTTCCGTTTTGGAGCAAAAAACTATCCGGACTCGTGTCGACTCCAATCTCGCGCCCAGAATGCACGTAGGTGATGATTTGCGTTCTCGGTTCGGTTCCATCCGCTATGTAGACGTGGCCATCCCCCGGTGGCTCGAGAAGCGTGAAGTTGGACGCCTGGATCAAGACGCTGTTCTTCCGACCCTCATCAACTGTAATGTTCAGCTTCAGACGGTCTTTGCCGCCTTCGGTGCCCGTCATCTGATCCGCTGAGGTGATTTTGACGATTATCCTGATGTACTGCGCAGCGTCCCGTTTGAACTTGCGGCTCTTCAATTTCGCTCTTTTGTGAGCTTTACGCTTCCGAACGATACGATCTTCAGAATTCACGGCCAGCAATTCGAAGGTGTCACTTTCTAAGCCGTTTCGGTCGGTTTCGTACCAGACGCTGCCCGATTCGAGCTCGGAGTAACTGAAATTGTCCCATAATCCCAGCTCGGCCACATCGGATGCGTCTCCCCTCCTGGAGATCTTTCCCTGGGACGGAAGAGAAATTACGCCGAACATCGTACTGGAGCTGTTCTTAGCGGAACCCAAAATTTTCGAACTCAGGGCGGAGCCGTCCCCATCGGAGGAGAGCTCGCTGTGGATCGTCTCAGTAATTTTCACTGGTTTGAGATAAATCTGCAGCTTGAAATTCGGACTGACGTTCCCCTGTGAGTCCACTGCGCGAAAGTCGAAATATATCTTCTTCGCATTCACTCGGCTGAATACTGTCGGTGGGTGATAGAAAATCCTCCCTTGGTTCACGTCGCTTTGCGAGAAGCGTTCTGTCTGATCACCGCTGGCGAAGCCAAAGTATCCGTTTTCTTTGCTGTTCCGAGAATCGAGGACAAAGTGAACACCTCTCGCACAAGCTGTGAGCATCTCGCTGTTATTGCCTCGCTCGCGCTCATCTTCGAAGTTTAGAATGTTTTTGTCGAGCACCACTCTCAGACTCCGCGGATGCACCGTCAGTTGAAGCGAACAATCCGATTGAACAGGTGGGTTCCTGTCCTCTCGGACCCCCAGAACTTCGAGCTCACAAGTCAGACTCCTCGCATCCGAACCTGCGAACCTCGAAGCAACTCGAATTTCACCCAATGATCCGGAGCGTTCCGACTCTCGAACGTCACAGCGAAGGAATCGATGTCGTACATCGAGAAATTAAGAGTTCCTTCCCCACGTAGCGATATTGTCCAGGAGTTCATCGAGTTTCCGGATATCATGAAGTGTATATTGCCGAAGTTCGAAACTCGTCCCCCGAAGCAGTTTGGGCTGAGAACCGTGCGTTGACCCGCCAGAACTCTCTGATGGAACGTTTTCACCGTCCACGATGGAGCTTGCAGATGAAGCACGGGCACTATGAATTCCACACTACAGTAGTTCACCACGAGATTATCGGATAGTAGTCCATCGAAGTGATCAAGGGTCGGACGAGCTCTGTACTCCAACGGCACGTTCGTTCCGAAAGAGACAACGGGTAGCCCGTCCATGTGCAGGATGCCTCTTGACAAGCCTTCGACGATTCGGAGCTCCGCATCGCGAGAGCTCTTGACGATCAACGTCGAAGTTTTTGTCTCTCGTTGGAAAACTAGCGGCCGCACGCTCAAATTCACGCTCAGTGACCTCGCGAGGGAGACGAAGAAGGGTTGTGACGATGAACACAAAGCGTTGCGGGCGACTAGGGTGACAGTTGCTTCATTGAACTCCTTACGACAATACAGTGCGATCTCCAGCCTGTCCAGAGATCTCTGCGTGAATTGAATGACCGGTGTTCTGGAGAGGACTTTAACGAAAGAGCATGAGGACACCTGCTGGACCACGTGGAAAATTGTTGAATCATCTTCCGCCGATGACAGAACGTTGCGTCGAATCGCAATCAGCAGCCGAGGAATGATCTCGACCCGTAAATTAGCGTCGAACGATATGCCTGGGATCAGCTCATTCGGATTTAGGAGAATTCCAACATTCAATTCTGTCTCGTCGCTGATCAGACTGAGAACGAGTGAGTCCTCTATGGTTGATTCCGTTCGAAGATCGCCGAAGTTTCTACAGTCCGACCACGAGAACGCATCTTCACAGAGACCTGAGAGCACCGCCTTGACGGGCTTCAATCGCACCCTGGCGCGACAGCTATCGGTAAGAATCAGGATATCCGCGAGACTTTGATTCACTCTCAGAGCCGGAACCCCTAGTCGGTTTTCCTTCAACAGGCTGCTCAGCTTCAGGTTCTCTCCAACGACAACTCTGAGGGAGATGAGGGAAACGGTCGAAGCGGCTTCCAGTGCGAACTCCAGAACATGTTCCGTCGGTTGATGAAATCCCAGATGGGTAATGCTTACGACATCCGTTGAGCAATCCCCCTCGAATCGGATCTCCAATTCAGGATCGATGCTGACTAGGGAGGCTCTCGAGCAGTTTCTCAATAGGCGAACGTCCACAGAAGATCCCCGATCCAAATCGATGGTGAATCTCCGCACTTTTGGAGAACAATTTACAGTCGCTAAAGATAAGATTATCAGCCAAGCCGCCGCCGTGAGCACAATCATTGTCGTTTCGCAGTCGCATCCGCGTATTTTAGTGTTGCTCTGGGGATCGCGCGTGCTCGTCCACTCATAATGTCGCCGTCGGAAGCTCTTCTGTCTTCGATACACAGACCTAAAAACGACCCTAAGGTCTCACATTCCGCGACGGTCGAGAGTACAACACATCTGCGTCACTTGTTTTTTTTTCGAATCACATGGCTCAATCGGGGCCGGTCCCAGTGAGGGGATGAATGAGTGAGGGAGTGTGATCCGTCAGTTCAGAGAACCGGTGCGATGTCGCGAAGTGATGTTTGTGTGAGCCTCCGGCGAACGACCGGGACAGCCAGCCAGCGCGCGCGAATGCAAAATGAGAGGGAAGGAGAGAGAAATTCGTTAGCTGAGAGAGGGGCTCAGACGAAAAAAAGAGTTCATGAGCGTCTATGGTAGTAACCTTGTTCTATGGTTGCATACGCTGGTGCCATTGCCGCCGCTGCAGCGGTTGTCTTCGGAACTGCCCCTGGAGGGAGAGGAGGAGGTTCAGAACCCCTAAGCAGCAGCCGGCTATGGATGTAGTAATTTTGAATGGTGAACCTCCGTGAATTTCGCCACTCACAGGAACGATATCCGATGAATTACGCTGGATCTTGTGCACAAACCTCTCGCCCCATCCGAACGGCTCCCGGATCTCCCTGAGGCGTCGAATTCTCGTCTAGTAGACTTCTTGTTATTTTACGCGGAGCCGCGATAGGGCTGCGTGTTCGTACGATTATCAAGTTTTTCTCCGGTAACTGAGCCTTGCCGAGACATCGTAAATTGTAGATTCTCTGTGGCTCTTCAATGCAGACAACGCACTGCCAGCCCACCGCAGTCTGACGTTGTACCCGAGACCGCTACAAGTCGAATCTTCGTCCCTGTGAGCTCTTCCTCCAGCGTTCTGACTGCGAGTTCTGAATCAATTCGATTAAGTGCTGTTTCTCATCCAATAGCTCGAAGCCTCGCAACGGGTTTAAGTCAGGTCAAATCACGGGCTCTCTTCATCCGGAATCGTCGCCCTTTGTAATCCCATGGAACCGCACAATCTTGCTCATCGATACCAGTCGAGAAAACTGCTGAGAAAGAACCATCATAATCCAAAACGGAAATTTCGTCGCCGATATGGGAGCCGTGCTCTCGTCCGGGAGGAGCGAATAACACATATGCACAAGCAGATGACCTGTCTGCGAATGTAGACGGCTCTGTCTGCCTGATCCATCTAGGAATGAGCGATCGCTTTCATTCCGGTGCGTGGAGGCAGGCGACAAGCGCACCACGTCGTCGTGGAGTTGTGAATCCGGATCCCAAGGAATATCTCGGAGTTTTTTCCGAGAGACACTCGCGCGGAACTCGAGCCAACGTGGGAACCCCGGGCTCTGGGAGACCTACAGTACAGCGATTGCGGGAACGATATTCGGGAATCGGGACCGAGCGACATTCTCCTCTCTGATCACATTCCGGCGACATGGAGAAACTAATCACTCCCCGTTCATGGCTCGGACGAAAGCACAAAGAAAGACAAAAAAATCCCGACACCGACGTCATCGAAGCTGAACGTGCCCATCTCCATGGTGCAACTCTCTGCTCAATCCGCCAGAAATTCGCTTAAGGACCAATCCACTCATGAATCGGCTCGCGTACACGTTGGAGTTCCCCCTTCTCTCTTGAAATCCTCGTATCAAATCAGCGTTGGCAGAGATGAGCTCGCCCAAACTGCGACGTGGGGCCCTTACCATCCCCGTACGCGGATTTTAATGAACTCTTTGTGAATTACGTTAATCGTCGGAAATTAGTCTTGCTCGGATCGTGGGAGGCCTCAGCAACGCGACGATCGCGACGGAGATATTCCACGGCCTAGCTGCTGAATCAGGTCGGGAGGGAGCCTTATTTTAGGGTGGATCTGTGGATAGGCGCGGACAATCATGGGTGCAAAAAAGCAAGCACTTGATATTTATTCATCCTTGATACGCTCGCTCATTCGCGCCCTCGGGTACAGACTTCACTTCGTTTCTATAATCGGCTTGCCGGAACGGGTAGATTGTGATTTTCCTCTTGCAGACTGAACAGCGGGATGACATGCTCACTATTTCTCCAGGTCGACTCCTGATCCTCTCTGGCACCTGTTTGCGAAGAACGGATTCGAAAACCATGGCAATTGTTCGAAACGGAAACAAAAAGAAATTTCGATGCGGGCGGATATATTAAGAGCGAACTCACTTCGAATTGTCGATCGTAGTCAATCGGTGTCAACCAAAAGCCGAGCCTAGAAGCGAAATAATCACAGGCACCTGTTCCCCTGCATTCAATGAAAGGCGTCGGCCGGAACTCTTGCAAGCAAGATCCAGGACTTGACAGGGGCTGATTCACTCCTTGAGAAGCTGCATCGGTTGCCTTCAAAGATCGCCGTACCATCGCATGAGCCAATGCTTCGAACCAGAAATCAAGCGGAGACGCCTCCCATCCTTCACTATTTTGGAAATCATTCCATCAATTCAGACTCACCATGAGGAAACTGTATCCGACCCACATGGTTTCCCAGTCTCTCGGACAGTCTGGGGTATCCTGGGATTGGCTATGCACCGCTATGATCGGTCTGTCGGTCTCGCATACAGAACAACGCGAGATGAAGCGCTCGATTTCTCCGTTACGAATCGGACCCGTTCCGTGCGATGCGTTCGTATTCAACCAATAGGAATAATCGTTCCGAGAAGCGTATCGGCAGGTGCCGTCCGCGTTCTGGGGCTGCTCACAGAACAGGTAGGGTAGAGTGCTGAACGTCCTCAGACATGATCCCGGTTCGCCCAGGTCCTGGCCGTGAGCTTTCAGATCCGCCATCATGTACAGGAACGAAAATCCGTCCCACAGTCTCGAAGTGCCTTCGGGACACTCAGGGACCCGAACGCTCTGGCTGTGGACAGTGAAGAGCGAATGCCGACGTCGACGCAGGACGCCATCTCCGACCCGTTCTCCTGGAGGGCCTTGTTCACCCATGATCCCAGGCTGTCCGGGATATCCTGTTTCGAATAATTGAGAAAATATTCACTCTGATAGTTTGGACACGTTGATACGAAAAACAAAAAATCCGTCGAGCTCGACCATCACTCTTGCCAGAAAGCGCAGCAAGATTCTCGGTCCTTACCGCGCGGACCCGAGGGCCCGGGATAGCCTGGAGGCCCATCGGGACCTGCCGGGCCGTCAACTCCATCTTCTCCAGACTCGCCGGGGTCTCCCTTCATGCCTGGCAGTCCAGGGTACCCGGGCATCCCGGGGTATCCGGGCTCCCCATCGGGACCACGGAGACCTTCTTGCCCTTTCTCTCCAGGTGTGATTTTCACGAATATCAACTCTCCCGGCGGACCCGGCGGACCAATCAGTCCACCCACTCCTGGTGTTCCGGGTAAACCGCGATCCCCTTTGTAGCCCTTCGGTCCATCGAAAGCGTCGATTCCCGGAGGTCCAAGGAACCCAGGATCTCCGATGAGGCCTCGCGATCCTTTGACGCCGTCTTCGCCTCTGGGTCCATCGTCCCCTGGAATTCCGTGGAAAGTTCTCCCTGGCGGGCCGGGAATAGAGTCTCCGGGGAAACCCTTAGGACCTGGTCTGCCGGAGTCCCCATATTCACCCGGTCTACCGGGTGGGCCTTTCCGGCCCTTGAACCCTGACATTCCTGGCCGTCCTGGGGGACCGAGACCGTACCCTGGATCTCCTGGGAGACCATAGGCTCCGTCGCGTCCTGCTTCGCCCGGCATTCCCTTGAAACCTGGAAGACCATCCAGCCCAACTTCCCCAGGGTATCCCGCGTCCCCTTTGAAGCCTTTCTCGATTTCTGCAATGAGAACGAAGCATAATTGATCGGGATGAAATAAACTACAAAGCGCCCTCTTGCGGATCACTGCTCCCGCTACAGACCTCCTTGAACGGAACCATCCGGACCCGGTCTGCCCGGAGCACCGTTCCGTCCTCGAGCACCGGCAAGGCCTGCATATCCTTTAGCCCCGGGCAATCCTGGCAGGCCTGGAGCTCCTTCGGAGCCTTGCGGACCGTCGTCTCCCGGATCACCCTTCCGACCTGGTAAGCCCGGTAAACCAGGCAATCCCTCGTAACCAGGTAGTCCAGGGAGTCCTTCGGGCCCCCTGAATCCTACCGGACCTGGACCTCCAGGCAAACCGTCGAAACCGCTGGGTCCTCGTGCTCCTTTCGGGCCTGGGAAGCCGCGGGGACCATACGTTCCGGGGGTTCCAGGTAGACCGGGAAGACCAGGACGACCCTGCGGAGCAGCGAGGGTATTTTCATTCTCCTACTAGATAACCGGCATCAGAACGCTCATCGGCAATCCGGAGTTCTCCACCCTCGATATCCACTCACAATTTCTCCTACTTCTCCTTTAGCTCCGCTTTCACCTTCGGGCCCCATACGCCCTGGGGACCCAGCGCGACCCTGATATCCTCTGAATCCTTTCAATCCTCTGTCTCCTTGCTCTCCTTTGTAGCCAGCGAGCCCCGGGAGGCCCGGAAAACCATCCATGCCCGGATCCCCACTTCTGCCGGGGAGGCCTCCGAGACCCGGTGGTCCCGGGGGACCTGAAGCGCCGGGCGCGCTGTTCAGTCGTTCTCCGATCTCGCCTTGCTGCCCTTTCGGCCCTGGAACTCCCTTTGGCCCAATGAGGCCGGGCAGACCGTCGTAGCCCGGGAACCCGTCGTCTCCAGGCTCCCCCTTGAAGCCCACGGAGCCGTCGTCTCCCCTTTCACCTGAGGGTTAGATTCTGAATCATTTTTTGGACTGGGAATTCTTGACGTCAACTTCTACGGCGCCACGTCAAAATACATCATCACTTGTGCGACCGAGAAGTTGCACTAGGAGCGTCTCTGGCGGAATTTCAGGGTGCAACGATTATGCCGGAATCATGAGCCCCTGCTCAATGGAACTCTCCCCGGAAGAAGAACAATCAACGATGAGCATCTGAATTCCGTGGCTCTAGGAGACGAGCCCCCTTCGAAAGCCTGTGGTCCTCACTCACCGGGGTAACCGGGCTCTCCCTGATCCCCGACAATTCCAGTCCCGCCCACCGGACCGCGGACGCCAGGCGGACCAATAGCTCCAGGTTCGCCCTCAGGCCCGGCGGCACCGGGGAGTCCGTCTTCGCCGTCGATACCGCTCTGTCCCGGTGGTCCAGGGTAGCCTTGCGGTCCGTCGTCGCCTATGAAGACCCCGCCGTAAGATTCGAAATCACGTGGAAGATCATACTCAGCATGGCGAACGCTCCGTGAGGGAAGAGGCTCTACGTTTTGCTCGGAGAGGAGGACTAGGAATCGAATTCGGATATCTACTTGCCAGGTTCGCCGACGATGCCCGGGTAGCCTACGAGTCCAAGAGGTCCCCGGGATCCATCTCGACCAGGAGGTCCCCTCAGACCAGGAGGGCCGGGGGAGCCGGGCCATCCAACGCCTCCCATTTGACCCTTCGCGCCCGGGAGACCCGGTGGTCCATCAAGACCGGCTTGTCCCCGCTCGCCTTTCCGTCCGTCGTACCCAGGGTCACCGGGTTCGCCTTTGGTGCCGATTCCTGCATCTCCCGGAAATCCCCGAGGCCCCGGCAGTCCGCGGTACCTGAGGGGAAGGCATCGTAACTCCGCAGCTCAATTGCCCCGAACGCCGGAGCGACTGATGTCGGATCATCGATGCTTATTATTATTATCGTAGGTCGTTAGGCATTATAATTTTATCCTTGTACGCACCCCTGTGGACCGGTGTCGCCTTTGGGGCCGATGCCGCCCGGCAAGCCTTCGAGGCCCCGGAAACCTACCAAGCCGTCGGCACCGGGCTCGCCGGGGAAACCGACCATACCGGGCTTTCCCGGGTCGCCCGTCACCCCCGTGCCTGGGGTGAAACCCGGATTGCCCTTGGGTCCAGGCGGGCCCTGCCGTCCAATCGATCCCTCTTCTCCTTTGAGACCGACTTCGCCGATGAGGCCGGGGTATCCAGGCCATCCCGGTGAGCCCGGGGGTCCCACGAAACCCGGTTCACCAGCAGGAGAAAGCCCTGGAGGCCCAGGCTGACCTTTCGAACCATCTCGTCCTCTTCGCCCATCATCGCCGTCGTCGCCTATCGGTCCCGTCAAACCGGGCGAGCCAGGATCTCCCGGGGGGCCCGTTGCCCCTTTGTCTCCCATGAACTCATCGGGCGCTGTGTATCCTTGGGAAGGTGGCGTCCCTCCTTTCTCACCCTTCGGTCCTCTGGAGCCCTGTCGGCCTGGTGGTCCTCGAGGACCAGGAGGCCCAAGTTGGCCCGGGAGTCCAGGCCCGGCATCGCCCACCGGTCCTTGAGAGCCCTTGTGCCCCTTGAAGCCGCGATAACCAATGGGGCCGGGCGGTCCGGGATTTCCCTTGATTAATGAAGAAGATCCCGATTCGTCAAGATTTCCACCTCGTGAAGCATCGATACGATAATAATAATAATGATAATAATGAGGATGAAATATTTTATGATGCAAGAAGCGACTTGCTCGGTTCGGCAATCAGAGAACAACTCACTGTAGCCCCCGGGGGACCTCGGGGTCCCTCCGTGCCAGGTTTACCGGGCATTCCGATTCGTCCTGGGACTCCTTTCGCACCCGGTCTGCCAGGCTCGCCCATTTCCCCGGCATTATCGTTGAAATTCAAAGCAATGAGTATTCCAGGCTCTCCTTTGCTCCCCTTGTAGCCGACCAGTCCGGGACGACCCGCAAAACCCTGTGGGAGGGAGCAAACAATCTCTCAGAATCGGTGCATGCAAATCTACGTCGGTCGCGTCAATGGACAACCCGATCACTCACCGGTGGTCCCGGAGGTCCCGGGGGAGCAGGGAAACCATCGCTTCCGGGCTCACCCTTCAGACCTTTGTCACCTGGGTCTCCCGGCCAGCCCTTCCTGCCATCGAAGCCGTCCTCGCCAGGTACACCCATGAGGCCTGGTGCGCCATCGGGGCAGAAGGGACAATCATCTCCTTTCTCGCCGCGCTGACCTTTCATTCCCTGTCTGCCCTCGCGTCCATCGTCCCCAGGCAGACCAGGTGTTCCAGGGAGACCGGGGGGCCCGGGCGGACCTATCTTGTTCACGCCGATACCGGGAAGACCTTTCACTCCTTTTGCTCCCTCTAGCCCCGGCGGACCGGGATATCCAGGTAATCCGGGTAGGCCGTCCAAGCCGGGATAGCCAGGCATTCCGTGGACATCTCGACCGGGCTCCCCAGGCTCACCCGGAATTCCAGGCCGTCCAAGCAGGCCCGGCTTCCCCATGTCGCCAGGGTAGCCTGGCAGTCCGGGATCTCCCATTTCACCTACGGAAGGGGCCAAGACCTGAGAAAGCGGCCCGAGGCGCTTCGCGGACCGAGAACACTCAATACCCCCGGAAGTGGAAGCGGGGGGAGTGTGAATCTGGGAGCAGTCTGACCTTTGGAACTTCTTCCGGGCTTCCCGTCCGATCCCATGGAGCCGGGTATGCCAGGGTATCCAGTATCGCCTCTGTAGCCTGTCGGTCCCTGTTCGCCTTTCGGACCGGTGAAGCCTATGAAGCCTTCGTCGCCGGGCTCTCCCGGGCGGCCAGGAAGGCCCTTCATGGAGAAACCACCTCGGATATATATCCCCGGGGGACCCTGTAACGGACATGAGCTTATCCACATGACGGAATCCTGCATCGGCTTTACTGATCATATCAGCACCATTAGGAACGCGGACATGAATGGCTCACCATTAATCCGATACGACCCTTCGGTCCTCTCAAACCTTTGGGACCTTCACTGCCAGCCATCCCGGGAAAACCGGGCATACCGTCGTGGCCGAAATCACCGGGGGAGCCCTTCGATCCTTGCCGACCTTCGTGCCCCTCCTCCCCTTGGGGACCCTTCGAATAAAAATGTTTCTAAATCGAAAACCGAGCGGAACTCCCGGCTCAAATCCTCATCTCCCGCGGTCTCGAGTCTGACGATGTCGCTGATTTCCTAAGCGAGAGAAGAAATACATAGGTCTCGCGCAGAAACTCACGTCCGGTCCTTGATCGCCCGGGGGCCCTCGCTGTCCTTTCCATCCTGGGATACCTGGCCGTCCCTTAGAGGAGGAAAAAAAACCAAGTCGGAACCTTCTAGATGATGATGCTCATGGGGAACTTGGCACCATTCTGGCGAATGTCCGACCATCGCCTGCACGGCGAAGGACGGGTATTCCCTGAGAACTCACTTGAGGTCCGTCAGGACCGCTCGGACCAGGCAGGCCTGGGTCACCGCGGTCCCCTGGGTTCCCGGGGGGGCCTTTGGCCTCGTCCGTCCCATTAATCAGGAACGCCCTGTGAAATCCATCGAAAAGAACGCTCCCCGGCATTCCGGGATCACCTTGAAGTGGAAAACGGACGGTTCTCGATTTGAGACTAGTGGGAATCTGATCACTCCCTCGGGATCTTTCTTTTCCGAGCCAGGTGGAAGCTCTCCAACCGCGCCGCGCCGTCTCTCCTATCCCTCACTTACCTTTGTTGCCGGGTTCACCCGGTGGACCTCTTATCCCAACCCCGGGAACTCCTGGATCCCCGGTGTTCCCTCTCCGTCCTGGCGATCCAGGTATGCCAGGGTATCCCGGGGGTCCCGGGGAGCCCATGCGACCCGGGAAACCATCCTGGCCCTGAAATCGGCTTCAAAATCAGCACTGGAATTCCTTGTGTCCCGTGATGCTCTTATATCCGGCTGCCCTGTGCGGTCATCAGGCCAGCGGAAGAGCCTCACGAAGCAAAACACTCTCCCCTCCACCAATTCCACGAATAAATGGACCACAGTAGATTTCACAGAAGACACTGGTACTCCGTCCTCGCTCACGGTGATAGGGGAGGAGGTGATCAGAGAGCATGCGCGATATGTGAAAAAAAACTGTGAATGACTTAACGGAAGGACCGGGAGCGCCCCTCGTCCCTTTCTCGCCTCGCCTCCCGATGGAGTTGATCCCACCATCGCCGGGTTCGCCTTTGAATCCTTCGCTCCCTGGCTGACCGTGGTAACCAGGCTCACCGTCCGGCCCTGGGAGGCCAGGAGGTCCGGGATATCCATCTGTACCGTTGCAGCCTGGTCGTCCCGGGGCCCCCAGGATACCGGGGGTACCGGGAGCACCGGGATCCCCAGCCAAACCCATGAAGCCCGGTGCGCCTTGCGGTCCCTGAATTGAAAGTGGAGCTGATGTCGGGGATTGGGCGTAACCTCAAACGAACCCCAAAAATAGAATATGGAGCCACCTCCCCCCAAGAGGTACTGTCAGGCGATCGCTCGAAATAGGGAAACATTTAAATCAACGCATCAGATCACATTTAGTATCGAACGAGTGTTCTATAGACGGGCAAATCTCCTCGATGGCTGGATGAGTCTCTATCCTCGGTACAAACCCGATCTCCCTTAGGTCCCTCGTAGCCATCGTGTCCGTAATGTCCAGGGTAACCAGGGAGACCCTTCGGGCCTTGTTCACCTTTCGGACCCGGTGGACCCCGTCCGGCTTGTTCCCCTGGGATGCCAGGATAGCCCTGCGGCGCGGGTTGGAAAGTTGATATGGATAATGATACGAATTATTGAATCTACCAATCTGTTTCCCCCGGAGCTTTCTTCCGTTGACGTGAGTCGACTCAACTAACTCACCGGTTCGCCTGGCTGCCCTCTGCAGATACATTCCGGGCCCTCACATCCTTCACATTCGGGCTGAATTGAAATTGAAGTCGTTTATGCCCCTGCTTCATGTCAGAGCGAAATCTGCCACTCTGAGAGTTAACAAACTAGAGCTTACCAAGGGAGGTGCGCCACTGATAAGGGACGATAAAAGAGCGACACCCAAGAACAGTGAGAGTCGTAATCTCATTACTGATCTACATCAGCATCGGCGGAACTGCACTCTTACAATATATGTGGTGACGATCACGGAGAGACGACCGTTTCGTTAGACTCCAAGCTACCCTCTTAGAGGAAACCAGGAACCGAAATGGTATTCCAAGGTCTCCTCGCCCAGATGGAGGCGGCCCTTCGATAATCTTGATCGGACACGAATATAGGTATTGAGCATCTCCAAGGTCTGGGACGCAATTCCGAATTACATTCGCCGGGACAAGATGACTTTGTGCGTTATTTTCGGGAGTGGTTTTTCCATGGAATCGATCTCGTGAGCCGTTCCCGAGTGGTCTTCTGAGCTCCGTGCCGAGGCGGAGCATCTTGACGGCGGCGGCAATCTGTGCGAGTGCAAGACATTCCCGCCGTAGATAGAAACACCGGCAGATCTCGTCATTCCGTTCAGGATGAGGGAAGGAAGACACGGGAGGCATCGCTGGAAGGCCCCCGACTTCAGCATTTTCCTAATTCTGATAGCTTCTTGTTGCATAAGTGAACTCGGAGCAGCTGACGAGGTGAGTCCGGCGCTTTCCTGCGTCCTTATCACTCAGTAAAATGGGGCAAGGGATCGAAGGCTGGGTTATCGAATCGAAGCTCGCCAATTCATTTTGAGGCTTTGATTCCTCATGCTATTCCATGAGATCTCACGGGACAGTCCATCTTCAAAGCGGCTCCTGCTCACGACTCCAGTCGGCCCGTCGAGTCAACCCGTCCCGGGAATGTGCGGAAGCAGTCAGGTTACAGCAGAAGTTTTCTCGTCGAGCTCGCCGGTTGGATGATTCCGGATTAAGAAATCAATTTTTTGCCCCCACTTCTTCTTGGGGCTTGAAGGTCGCCCCGGCTAGAGGCTTCTTCAAGAGCTTGCGAATACACGCCAATCAATTCAATAATCATAGACTCGAGTTCATGAGGCCGATCAGATTCGATAATCTTGTGGGAAGGATAGAAATCCATGCATCCTTCTGGCCTTGAGATTCCCTCAGTCCCGAAGCCGAAGACATGCGGGAGTGGTCCAGTCCCTCCGCCTAGTCCAAGAGGGACGCAAACTTCCGCAGTCATGAGTCGAATGAGATCGCATGAGACAGGCTTCCGGAATCACTGCTCTGGAGGTGGTGTCCCTCACCTGGCGATGGCGCTGCCTATCGATAGAGCTCGGGCAGTGGGCTCGAAGGACTCAGACGCTAGTGTGTCCAGTGATTCTCTCCGAAACCTGCACCTCCAGATCTCGCCTGCCCCTCCTCTCCCATTTCCCCCCGTCAGAGCGAACATTGCGTGCGTGTCGTAAGATCCGCGCCCCGGAAAAGTCATATGACACTTCGCAGACATTGTTGACGGAGCGTTTTGTTGATTATTGCTCTGTGAGATTTATTAGAACATCCGCGATTGTCAGGATCGCGTCTCACGGAGAGTGGCTCAGCGTGAAAACACTGCTCCAGTCGGGGGCCCCGGGGAAACCTGAAACGACGCGCGATGAGAGATCTAAAGACGAGGTCAGTGACAGCATTATCGGTTGGACGGACTGCGGACGGTTTTGCTCGATATGACTCGCTGCGGCCTTTCAAACCCATGTTGGACTGTCGGAGCTCTTCCGCCTGAGAGAATTCGACGTCGAGCAGATGTTTCGGAGCTGAGCCAATTTCTGCAAGATATCGGAGCCTCCTCACGAGTTCCGCTCAGTTCGTCGCGATCCCTAACCCCCTCTTTCTCTTCTGGATCTCGTATTGGGATCGTCCCGGCGCATGGAGTGGGAAGCCCCCGAAAGGTCCTTCGGGAACGCATGCATTTCCCCTGAAATCTCTCCTGCTGTCGCACGACTTCCGACGAAGTTTCGAACCGAAAACTACTCCCTCCGTAAAGCGTCCGTCTCTCCGGCCGGCCCATAAGCATTCGACGTCCCATTGCTTTTCCTCGGGCTTGATGCATTCAATTCCCCTCTCCCCCCCCCCCACCCTGCGGTCCCTCATTCGATCGGTCGACGGACCTCTCGACTCCTGATCGGTCGCTCGGTCCGACCTCGAGTATCGAGGAAGAAGACACGATAGAATCTATTCGAAATCGCCGCTGTCGCTCCCTAATGATTTCGGTAATGAAAACCTGGTACTACTTATCTATGTGGGCCATAGAGCGATGAAAGAATTGTAACAATGTCCACCTGGCTCCACGTTTTGTTCGAAGCGGCTCTTATCAGTCGCTGAGTGATAAGTCGTATCTTCTCGGATGGAAACGAATGATAGAACATCAAAGCAGCGCAGTGCAGAGTGCACAGATGTACTTTGTCCGGACAGAAATGATTCAGCCAAACGAAATCAGAAACCAAACGGGTATTCTCCTTCATTCTTGGAAATCGACCCGTACATCGTTCCACCTGATCAAGGGCGCGCCTTCTGACGTCAGCGGCGAGTAACTCGACTTCTACGATTTCAGCGCTATGGAACCTATGGATACTATACGGAAGCATACGGTGTCGGGTCACAGAGTTCTTCGAACAATCGTCTCCCAAGCGGCCGACCTTACTGCAGAGACTGTTCCCCCGCGTCCCAGAAATGCGTCGGGGAGAGGGGCCCGCCCGGCGCTCAAGGAATGAAGGGTTTCCCTGGCAGCATGGGTTAGTAGAAAAAAATCCACGACGCCTTCCTTCAATGAAATAAAAAAAAGTCGCTCGTCTGCATCCTTTCCGTGAGGAAAATGTGCGTGGACCGGAGGGATCAATCGCGAGCGTGATGCTCATAGATTGGAAAACGAAAATCCTAGGCCGTGGCAGATAAAATATAAATGAAAACACATCTCTTATGAGGGCGAGTGAGTCACCCTAAGTAATTTGCCACTTAGGACTGCGCGGCGAGCCTGGTGATGAGGGTCCCCGCGGTGACAAAGGCGAAGCTGGCTTGCCGGGAGCTCCTGGACCAAAAGGTGAACGCGGAGACCTAGGCCCTCGAGGAATACCGGGAATCGCTGGAGAACCAGGACATCCAGGAGCACCAGGTAAGCTACGCCGATTTGTCCCGAATATTAAAATCTACTCCCTCGCTCTTTGCTGACGCATGAACTCCTGTCAGGTCAGGCTGGCAAAACGGGTATTCAGGGTAGCCCAGGCTGCAAAGGGACCGATGGGGCAGCCGGCAGGCCCGGTTTCCCAGGAGCTCGTGGAGCTGACGGCGCGCCAGGTTTCCCGGGACCTCCGGGTCCAAAGGGTGAACCCGCGTTCGGTAGGGACGGCGAGAAAGGTGAACAAGGCTATCCAGGAGAAGTTGGCTCGCCCGGAAGTCCCGGAAATCCCGGGAGAGAAGGACTGCCCGGCGTTCCCGGCATTCCCGGACCTCCTGGAACAGACGTGAGTGATCTTCCTTTTATGAAGATTACAACTTGAGCGGATGAATATCAATAATTTTCGGGAATTACTCATCAGTTCGGAATCGGGTTTCGCAGGGCTCCCCGGGTATGCCTGGAGAAATTGGACCTCCAGGTTTCTCAGCTTCAGGACCGAAGGGGGACAAGGGCAATAAAGGAGAAGAAGGCGTCAAAGGAGAAGCTGCCCTATGTCCCGATGATAGACGGCTCATCGTCAAGGATGGAGACCCACCCCAGAAAGTCGTGTACGGCGATAAAGGAGATAAGGGAATCAAAGGAGAAACTGGTTTCTGTACTGTCGCGGGTCCTCCGGGTGCACCTGGAGTTCCGGTACGCATTGTGATCGAATTGAGATTGCCCGCTGTCTCCGACGTACATCGCACGGTGTCGACTCGTTGACCCCGCCCCTTCCTTTCCGAATCGATACGCGGACGGATGATACTCATTTCAGGGTCAAGCCGGTGCGTCCGGCGAAAGAGGTGACAAGGGATCTCCGGGACCGATGGGCAGACCGGGCGTGCCCGGTTTCCCGGGCCAGCCTGGTCTGAGCGGTTTCAAGGGCGACATGGGCTCGAGCGGTAGGCCTGGACGCCCTGGGGAGCCAGGGATTCCTGGTGACATGGGACCCCCCGGATCGCCTGGTTTGCAAGGAGATACGGGACCGCCCGGATCCCCCGCCGTGAGTTCGAGCGAACAAGGGAAATAATAAATTTTTTGGGATGGTCGGCTCCCATGGAATATGTCCGTGGAATCTTTTCAGACATTCGGTGGCTCAACCGTGGGCCCGCCCGGAGACAAAGGTGACAAAGGCGTACCAGGTCCCATGGGTCCAGTGGGAGCGAAGGGCGATAGAGGCGATCAAGGCTTCCCAGGTCCACCGGGATACCCAGGGAAAGACGGTGATCCGGGAAACCCTGGAGCTGATGGACATCCTGGAATACCCGGAGACAAGGGTGAAATGGGTCTGCAAGGCATTCCGGGCTCCCCCGGAATGCCGGGCATCCAGGGTACAGCCGGTACGCCAGGACCGAAAGGAGATCGTGGATTGGATGGACGATCTTTCCCTGGGGAGCCAGGCACGGCGGGTCTCCCGGGTAAAGATGGTCCGCCCGGTCAGCCAGGCTATCCGGGTCCCAAGGGTCTGCCAGGAACTCCGGGTGATTCTCAAGAGGGGAGACCAGGTCAGTGGCTGGAATGTCGAGGAATGTTTGCCGTCTCTCCCGCTCGCCCCCCTCTCCGGTCGCTGAGTGACCGTATTTTGAGGTGATTTGCTTTGAAGGCGAACCCGGAATCGCTGGCTTCCCGGGACTGAAAGGACAAGAAGGCAGGCCAGGCCATCCGGGCTTGCCCGGCCTTCCTGGGGACAAGGGGGATTCCGGAGGTGTCTGCAATGCATGCTTCCCTGGACTGCCCGGTCCGAAAGGTCTGCCCGGTCGTATGGGTATCGATGGGGAGAAAGGAGACAAAGGCTACAGCGGCATGCCAGGATTACCTTGCGAGAGAGGATTGGATGGAACTCCTGGTGACCGCGGTCCACCCGGTGACGTGGTACGATGCAGCCCTTCAGGGCGATATGGCCTATACCCTTCGAGATCATATTCGGAATAGAGTCATACGTTCATGTCCTCCCTCGATTATTCAGGGTCCGGACGGTTTGATGGGTCTGCCAGGACCCAAGGGCGACAAGGGAAATGATTTCTTCTACGAGGGACCAGCCGAGAAGGGATTCCCAGGACCGCCTGGTGCCCCTGGAGCCCCAGGTATCGAGGGCGCTCCCGGCGCCGAGGGACCTCCAGGGAGCCCTGGTCAGTCTGGACCGCCTGGATATGCCGGTTACGACGTAAGTTGTTTAGGAAGGAGTGTATGTTTAATCATTTGAGCAGAGCCTGTCCACAACAGACCGCAGCTCCGATTCGGCTTGGGAATACCCTTGTAATTCCGCTCTCGATCCAGGGCTTGCCGGGTCCGATCGGCTCTCCTGGCCTGCAAGGTGAGCCCGGTAGTCCCGGAGATCCCGGTTTTCCGGGACCGCCTGGCTATGGCGAGCGAGGCAGGCCCGGACCAGGAGGTGTTGAGGGACTCCCAGGACTTCCAGGAGACAAGGGCGAGAAAGGAGAGCCCGGTCCTCCAGCTCCATCAGACATCAAATGTAAGCTATTGCTCGGTCCAAACCGACAGGGGGAAGGCGATCCGAGAACCCATCATCTTGGTGGGTCTCTCGGATACTTATATGAATCACCGATGAAAATCAGCTCTTCTGAAGAACAGAGCTGCCTTCTGATCGATCCATGCGGATTCCGTTCCATTCTCAGACAAGGAGAGAGGACTGACTGGGCCGCCCGGAGATAAGGGACCGAAAGGCGAGTCTGGACTCACCGGACTGCGAGGAGAACGCGGTCGTCCCGGAAGGGATGGCTTGCCCGGGATCGATGGCGCACAGGGCGATATCGGTTTCCCGGGTACTCCAGGACCCCGAGGTCCACCTGGTCCCTTGGGTCCACCGGGGATTATGGGCCCTGAAGGAGCCCCAGGCTTACCGGGACCTCCGGGTCAAAAAGGAGACCAAGGAAAAGTCGGTCCACAGGGTCCATATGGGATACCCGGTGATCCCGGTGTTGGTTTACCGGGTGAGAAACTCAGAACGTATCTGTATTGGTCGCTCAATTTCTCCGCAGGCTTTCGAGTAACTCGTTGCGCTATTCCCAGGACCGTCGGGTTCTCCGGGACCAATGGGGCCCCGTGGGGAGCCTGGTGCGCCCGGGAGGCCTGGGGCTGATGGACCGTCCGGCTTCAACGGCTTGCCTGGTCCGGCAGGTCCTCCGGGAGACTTGGGTCCCCCGGGTCTTCCGGGCTTCCAGGGCGAAAAAGGAGAGCCGGCTTTAGAAGGAACGCCCGGCCCCAAGGGAGATGCAGGTTTCCCCGGTCGCGACGGAGCCCCCGGTGATCCCGGCGTGAATTGCTCTCCGGGTTTCCCTGGGAACGAGGGTCCGGTAGGGGATACAGGGCCGCCCGGGGCTCCCGGATCGGCGGGGCTCCCAGGAGAACCTGGTCTGGACGGTTTGGAAGGTCCTCGCGGATTCGAGGGTCCTCCTGGTATTCGCGGAGAGAAAGGACTTCCGGGTTACAGCGGTGAGTTCAAGCACCCCACTCTGTATGTATAGAGCAGCGGTCGCTGGAGGGTCTGTGGCGTTGTAGGATTATCTGATTTAAAAAAAACAACAATAATCATCGTCGCTCTTTACAATCGCCTCTCCGACTCAACCAGGACCTCCCGGACCTCCTGGATCACCGGGATATCGTGGAGCCGACGGTCGACCGGGCCTACCCGGACCTCCCGGAGAGAAGGGTAATGAAGGTCCTATCGGATTCCCCGGACTCGCCGGATACCCTGGGCTGAAGGGAGACAGAGGGCTCCCAGGATTTAATGGAGCGAAAGGTGAACCGGGTGCAGCTTCCGCCAAGGGGGAGAAGGGATCGGCAGGTCTACCGGGGCGTAATGGACTGGATGGTCCTCCCGGACCTCAGGGACCAGCCGGGGATCCGGGACCTAAAGGAGACAAGGGTATACCAGGCTTCGGACAGCCAGGAGAACAGGGCCCGGAGGGCTTACCTGGGCCACCTGGTCCTCCCGGAGGAGATGGGCTTCCCGGCGTCCCTGGGCGTGACGGACCTCCGGGACCGCCCGGACCAATCGGCATAAAGGTAGAGTATCCTCACTTTTCCCCTATGAGGGAGCCCGAAAGCACGACCCACGGTACCCGAATCCTCAATGCTCACCTTGCTCCAAAGGGCGACATGGGCATGCCAGGAGACAATGGTGATCCCGGATTACCTGGAATCGATGGGCCGCCAGGGCCTCAAGGGTACTACGGGCTACCAGGACAGAAAGGTGACCCTGGAGCGGATGGAAGGGACGGGGTGAAGGGTTCGCCGGGACGGGACGGCATCCAAGGTGAGCCGGGCCCTCCGGGATACTTAGGAGATTCTGGAGCCCCAGGAGTACCCGGCAGAGAAGGACTACCCGGTGCCGATGGACCCCCTGGGCCGATGGGTCCGATGGGACCCGAGGGCAGGGTGGGTCTGACAGGATCGGACGGTCTGAAAGGGCAGAAAGGTGACCCAGGACGCGTGGGTGCCCCAGGTTAGCTACGCGTTCAATGATGCTTATTTTCAGTTTATCATCCTCGTGACGCTTCATTGAACTCGAGTCCCCCCCCCCTATCCGCGACCTCTACGCTCAACTCCAGAATTTTCTCCCACGCAGGACAGACAGGCTTACCCGGTCTGCCAGGTCAAACCGGGACTCAGGGAGAGCCCGGCGTCGAAGGACCCAGCGGGAACGATGGTCCGCCCGGCGAGCCAGGTCAACCAGGATGGGCCGTCCAAGGTGTGAAAGGAGACCGCGGAGATCCAGGCCCTCCTGGGGAAGCAGGCGCTCGCGGCTACACAGGACAGAAGGGAGATCCAGGCAGGGATGGCTTTGACGGTCCAAAAGGCGAGGCCGGTCGCCCAGGCGAAGGTAGGCGCGGTTCTGTGAGATGGCTTTCCGGGATCAGATCTACGCCGAGTGGACATCCTGCGATGGCTCTCGATTTCCTTCCAGGAAACATCCCCGGACCTCCTGGACAGGACGGAATACCAGGTCTTCCTGGAGACAAAGGGGACGAAGGCTCCAAGGGAGACCCAGGCAGCCCCGGATCCGTAGGACAGAAGGGTGAACCAGGATTCGGCGTGGAGGGAGCGCCCGGACTGCCAGGCGAGAAGGGCTATCCAGGATACCCGGGCGAAATAGGCTTGCCCGGCCTACCCGGTGACAAAGGTGATCAAGGACCCAGCGGACCGCCCGGAAGTCCCGGCTTGCACGGAGAACGCGGACCGAAAGGAGATGCAGGAGATCCTGGACCACATGGGCTGCCCGGATTCCAAGGTCAGGTCAAGACCCATGGAATCGATCTCAAGTGGAACGAGATGATTCGGATGATGCGTCTCGGTCGGAGGAGTACGTCGGTAATGATCCAAATTATCAAACAGGTCCCCAGGGCCCGCCTGGAGCCCCGGCTCGAGCGAACCCAGGCACTTCATACCCTGGACCGCCCGGCGAGCCCGGCATGCGTGGTTATCCTGGCTTGCCCGGAGCTCTCGGACCCCCCGGCGAACCGGGCATCAGGGGCGAAAAAGGAGAACCGGCCTTGATCGGAATGCCCGGCAGGAGCGGACCTCCCGGAGCGCCAGGACAGCCTGGTGGTCCCGGTCCGAGAGGATGGCCAGGTTATACGAGCTCCATTTCTCCGGGTATCGCGTGGATGTCTCCTTAGGATATTTCTTGTGAATGCTCTCCATTGCAGGTATCGACGGACCGCCAGGCATGGTGGGACCTCCCGGACCACCGGGCGAGGCATCCTGGACAGCACTCGAAGAACAAGTCGGATCGACGCTGGTCATACATTCTCAATCGAAAGAGATCCCAAAATGCCCCAACCGGTGGTTCAAACTCTGGGAAGGATACTCGCTTCTCTTCTTTGAAGGTGCGTGTGCGGATCCTTCACGATTCGGGCCCTCATTTATGCCCTCCGTCAGGATTAAGTCCTGAAGCGTGCCGTTTCCGAGAATGCGTCCTGAATACCCTTGGCTTCCCTCAGGAAACGGTAATCCGAACAGCCAAGACCTCGGCCAGCCGGGATCGTGTCTTCAACGATTCAACACAATGCCCTTCATGTTCTGCGAGAACACGGATTCATGCAACTACGCTGCCCGGAACGATCGCTCATACTGGCTGAACACAATGCTCCCGTATAAGACGCGGCCATTCAGCGGAGACGAAATCGAGGACTACGTCTCCCGATGTGTCGTTTGTGAGGTTCCGAACTACACGTTCGCAATCCACAGCCAGTCGAGTGAAGTTCCCAAATGTCCCACGGGCTACACCAGCCTTTGGCAAGGATTTTCATGGGCTATGCACACGGGTGCTGGAGCTCGGGGTGGGGGACAGTCACTTTCGTCTTCGGGATCGTGTCTCGAGCACTTCGTCACCGTACCATTCATCGAGTGCAACGGGGCCCGAGGCAGCTGCAGCCATTTCGCCAACAAACTCGGTTTCTGGCTAGCTCACGTGGATCCTTCCTCCATGTTCCAAACACCAACGAGCATGACCGCGGAGCAGAACAGTCACGGCCCACTGTCGAAATATGTTTCGAGATGCTCGGTCTGCATGAAAAACATATGAGCAGCGTGGGATCAATTGAATTCTACTGCGTTCTCGTCGAAGGGGTGAAAATTGTGTGTAAATGAAGTTTCTTGCTTGAACGGTGACGAATCCGTTCACCCTTCAGACCAGAAGCTAGATATCGGTCGTCTCTCCCTGCGTGGAAGTTGTATGTAAAAGGTTGGCATGATGGTGAATAAATTCAAAATAACACGAATGAGAGAAGTCCTCAGCTTCCGCGCCTCTCCCGAGTGGAGTACCGCGCAGCCGTCGATGCTGAATCTGGCTCACGAGCTCTCGTGAGATTTCGCCTGGAGCTTCAGAGCCCAGAAGCAAAAGGTGAAAGAATGAAAACAGAGCGCCTCTAAATTAGTCGTATTTACTTTCATGTTCATCCATGCTTGATAAATGGGTTGCCACGTTCCGAGGTACATTTATCCAAATACTGCTTTACAAGGGAAGAAGACCGCTTCATTACCGAGTATATAGATGATCTGGCGACTAGCTCATAGCACAACATTTTACATATGCTCCATCGATTACACGGCGCGGCATACCTCTCCCTGAGAGTTCCCAGGACTCCGCCGCGACAAAGCAGCTTGGAGTCAGTCATCTGGCCGAGCATTTCGAATGCTAAAAAATGCATTGTATTATGAGTCAAATCCGAAGAGCCGACAGGAGCTCACAAGTCGGAATTTCTATCACCTCACCGTCTCCAATCGACTCATGCACCTCTGTCATTTTGTCTCCTCTCTAGAAAGAAGTGGAATGTGGCCAACTCACATGACAGTACAAAATACAGTAGTCTTTCTCTCTCTGTCACGCCTCCTCTCTCTCAAATATAAATCTCTCACGTTCGGCACGATCGCCATGGTGAAAAAATATTGCATAATCAGAAAATACATATATCTCTCCGCAGCTTCTACGGATCGCTGCTCGTAGGGAATTCTTTGATACCTAGGGTTCGATGGGCGGGGCACACTGCTCAACCTCTTGTGTACAATTCTTATAAATGTTCGACATACACAGGTTTCGGAAGAGCAACGAATTTAAGAAGTAGAAATGTGATGCCGCCGGGGTCGAAGAATTTCGAGGATTGTGAGGGTTCTGTATGATGCGTAGATAATCTATCCCCGACTTGAAGACCCGGAATATTTTCCGATTTATCTTCAAGTTCACGATTCACACTCGATATGATGATATCACTTCGTACGGTTTGGCACAAGCACTCTCCCGACCGGACGCATTGCCCACTCGTACGGCAGTCGCTCGCTCGGTCGGTCCAGGTACCCAAACTTGAGCACTTCAGAATTCAATACTTATCTTGCATTGTTTTGGTTCTAGATGAGCCCTTTGTCACAAGTTATGTGTCTGGGGGGCCACGAGGGGGCTCGACGAGAGATCTCGTTCGTAGGCATCGGGCGTCGGAAAACTCGGACAGCCGTCAGAGCATCACCGGAGGCGAAGTTTGCTTTCGGAGGAGGTTCACAAACTAGCCATGCTATCGAGAGATTCGAAAGGTGGGAGAGATTTATCTTCGTGTTCGGTTTCTTTCAACGCTTTCTCAGTCATTTTGTCGATTTCTGCTATCAACTGCTCCGTATCGAAATCCACTCGCAGAGACTGGAAAGTGTAGGGGTCAGCGAAATCCTCATCCCATTCGAGGTCGTTCGATAGTGACGAATGCCGACTTCTATGCGATGTCACAGAATTCAAACTCATCCTCTCATGATGCTCCGTAGACGGTCTTCTCTGAGATACGTCGCAGGTTCTCGGTAAGACTGCAAATCCAAAACGACGAGAGTGAGGTCGGAATGATGTTTGCCCGATGATCGGGATGATAAAAATATAGATGTGAATTGAATCGAACATTTCCGAGATAACTTCCGAGTACCTCCGTCGTTCTCCCACTCGAGGTCAATCGACGAGTGCGAGCCTGAAGCAATGGCTTCTTTCGAATTTATGCGTAGATTATTATTCGAAGCCCGTTCGTTCGCTGGTTCATCGGCAGGTACGGCCCATACGTCGGGACTTTCGTGCGGCCATAATTCTCGACCGTCCACGACTGGATTGTATAATTCACCTGGGAAAGCAACGTTCGAGTGAGGACACTTCGAAAGTTATAGCACCGAAGCATAGTCGGCGGATCAAGCTGTCGAGGATCGATGAATTCCGCCGATCAATCCAGTGTTACGTAAAGAACTCACGATCTCTGCCTTCCTCCTGACCGAGATTCGAGTAAGGATTCGTCGAACCGATTACGAACTTCGGTCTCCGTTGAAGCCATTTCGGGATATATCTCCATATTCTATTGGGCTGCAAATGAAAGTTAAACTCAATCAGCAGATAGACTCATGTCCTGCTGAATCGGTCACCTCGCGCATCTACTCTAGTCCGATGGGACAGCATCTGCCAGGGAAGCAGATTCGACTAGGCACCGCTCAACGAGGAAGAACTGAGAATCCGATCTCATGAAGAAACGATTCCACCCAAAATCGAGCCCACAGCTTAATTGAACGGGATACGAAAACATATCGAAAAATCCAGTCAATTCTCCGAAGGGACTGCGGCGATGATAGTCCGATAAATAGAGGGTGAATGTCTCGAATCACGGTGCGTGAAAAGACCCGACCCGACCTAAAGAAAACTTCTCGAAGAACAACCGCTCTCGAGGAGATCCATGGTCAAGAGCTCTCTTACCTCATCCTCCACCATTAGTGTGAACTGCAGCATGTTTTGAAATTATTCAATTGGTTATTCCGACTCAAGCTTGAATGAAACTCGATCACACTCTGCAAAACAAATGCAACGAACCGCTCTAACGCTCACCTCAGCCAAGGATGTAGCTTCGTAGCAAGAATCTTCATCGGTCATTCTGGAAATGAGAAACAAATTATTCCATCTACCCCCGATCAGCAAACCTCCGCGGGAGAAGTCACTCGAAACCTGTTAGAACAGAACTTGTCGGAAGTTGCGAGTGTATATTCCATTGAAGTCCTCCATTGTAACATAAGTCTCCCTGGAGTCTCCCTCCGTCAGGAGCGTCCCCCAGAGAACTAGAGAAGTACTCTGCAGGCGACTCTGACTTAACGTCACAGTGTTATCCCTGTGCTACCAGCGACCAGTACAGCTGTCAGGAACGACGGTGGGGTTTAGAAGTTTCGAGGACCCCTATAAGGCGACTATTTTTGCATTCAGGAATGAATGAGGAGAAAGACAGCACTGAGACGCTCGTCACCTACCGTCGGTGAGTATTCCGCCCGAAGCAAATCCCCATGCTTATTCGTGGAGACTAAATCTAACTTATTTTAAGCATATCACAACACAGTTTGGGCTCCCCTCTGGCTCTTCCTCTGAGAGGAACAGCTCTTGTCGACTTTGAAAACAAACCGTCGTAGTCACTAGATGCCCGCGGAGACCGAAGGCTACGCCCGGGGCTAAGAGCTTCTGTTAGTGGCAGTAACGGGCGGCGATGAGCGCGGGTTGAGAATCAGCTCTGACCCAGCAGGGACTTCCGGAAAACTAATGATGGACAGATACGAGAGACGTTCGATATCCTTGAAAGACTATCGGAATCCCGATGCGGCTGGAGCCGTTTTGAATCGAACCACACTCATCGGAGGGACTCATTGTACATACGGCGGGATGATGAGTGATGAGGGACATTCTTGAATTTGAGGTCAGATTAGGGCACTCAGGATGAATTGGATACGGGAGTCCATCGAAAGTCACAGCGATTCGTTCCAGTGACACGGCTGGTTTGATGAGGGTCTCCCGAACCCAGAAATATCCCTGGGATAGCACTCCTGGGCGATTCCCTATTCTTAATTAATTTCCATAGCCAAACTCCTGCAGGCCGTCCTGTGAAGAGGTCGGAAATCAGAAGCATGCAACCGGTCGGAACACCGCTCGGTCGGTGCTATGATCACGTCAGATACGGGCCTATCGCGCGCCACGTTCAACCCCAACGATGGCACGATATGCTCCCACCCCGATTTGTTCCAGCAGTCGGTGGATTCTCCTATCCTGAAGCACGCCCCGAGCTTCCGGGAGGGATAAGGGAGGTAATCAAAGTGAAAGAGCACAAGAATTCCGGCCAATCCCTATCGTGAGTAGTTCTCTGTCTCTATGGCAAAGGCTCATTGGAAAAACTTCCCCGGGGCTCTCGAGGGGAGATCCGGGGTACGAGAAGCTCCTGCAATCGCAAAGGCAGGTCTCGTGGCCCTTGGTGGGCGAATGATCAGAGAAGTTCCTGATCCTGAAATACAGTCGATTATTATCGGATGCTTCAATCCTCTCCACAATCGGCAGCGGTTGGAAATATCCATGCTGAAACGCTAATTGGATCAGATTGGTCGGTCATCGAATATGACGTCGTCCTTCGAGGAGCTCGTCTGTCGTCTCCGTCGGCGAAGCGATTCCCCTTGTATCGGATTTCTGCGTCCCGAAACTCTTCAAGGGATGTGCCGATGGCGTCGGCGGGAATAATCTCTCAATTCATTATTCCTCCGAAGTTGTGCTCTCTGGGATGAGTCGAAGGTACTTGTCATCGTAGTCCCAAGGAACATCGAGCACAACCGCAGAATCAATCTCCGCTCAATGAAGAATGAATAACCTTAATGGCCGAGGCGCATCCCTTCAACTCTCGACATCGAAGTGCCGCTCGAATTCCTTCCCTTTCCTATCCCACACAGGACACCCACTCCGCGTGGTGCTTCCGATCTTAGAGCAACACGTGCTATTGGAGTGGTGCGCTTTCGAGCTCTGTTCGATTCTGTATATTGTTTGATTGTCTCTCACGATTATAGTCGGGTGACTTGGGACAATTGTGATAGAGCGAGGTCTCCCTAATCATGGGAATTCAGAAACGCAAGGTACAGTCATGCGTCGGACCGCGGTATACTGTTGGTGAAGATTCGAAGCATCATGTTTTCGATTTCTAGATTCAGCCTTCGATCGAAGTTTTGAAATTGTACCGGCATCGGCATGAATGGATAGAGTTCACATCGAGGGAGTTCTTTCTATCTCGATGAAATCGGTGCAACGATCGGGTGGCGAGACTTCAGACTCAGTCTGCGGCTCTGACCAAGACTTGTTCTCGGTCGTGTCTCAAGCCTCCCGCCAGCCCATGAAAGACCGAGGCTTCGAATCCTCATGATCTCTAACGCGAAACTTCCCAATCACAGGGAACCGCGGGAGCTGCCACAGCTTTCGTGTCCCGAGGCAAGGCGATCAAGAAACTCCAGCTCTCACTCAAAGACTTCAGGTACGGAACAAATAATTTTCCGCTCTCTTGCTCTTGAGCTCCCGATTCCGATCTGTCGTCGAGATGTCGTGTAACTGACTGTCTGAATTGTGTCAGACGGCTATGCATCCTCAAAGGAATATATCCAGTGGAGCCGAGGAACAAGAACAAGGCGGGGGGACAATTGAAAACCTACTACCTGGCAAAGGTGAATTTCACTTCATACCTATGCGAAAGGAACGATACGTTTTGAATACCGAAGGGAGCGGGGCCGTCATGATCGCCTTCTTTTTTGACATCTTCAGGACATCAGATTCCTCGCTCACGAGCCGATCATCACCAAGTTCCGCGCGATGAAAATTTTCGCCAAAAAGCTGCGAAGGGCGATTGACAAACGGATGAAAGAAAAAGAACAGACCGTTCGTAATAATGAGCCCACCTACAGACTCGACCACATTGTGAAAGAAAGGTAATCTCTGGGGGTTGGCCGATGCCGGACGACAAATGCTTAATTAATAATCGGGATGAACCCTGCTCGATACTTATATCGTGCCCCAGCTCGGGTGCTTCCCGCACTGATCCAATCTTCTCGACGACTCCTCCAGATATCCAACTTTCATCGATGCTATTCGCGACTTGGACGATGCCTTGTCAATGTGTTTCCTGTTCGCAACTCTACCGAAGTCTGGCCTCTATAAATCTGAAATTCTCCAATTGTGCCGCAAATTGAGCGTCGAATTCATGAACTACGTCGTTGAATCGCGATCACTGATGAAGTGCTTCATCTCCATCAAAGGCTTCTACTATCAGGCGAATATCCAGGGTCAAACTGTAACCTGGGTAGTCCCGCACGGCTTCCCTCAGACAGGCGACGATGTCGACGCGAGGATTATGACTACATTCACGGAATTTTACGTGACGCTGCTGGGCTTCATCAACTACAAATTGTATACCAATTCGAACCTTGTCTACCCTCCTAAATTGGCTATCGAGAAAGTAAACGCCCGAGACGAGGAGCTCTGTGATGGCGAGGACGCCAAGGACGACTATCTGGAAACGCTGACTACTGCACTGAAAACCGTAGTGAAAGATATGGACGAAGATGCTCAAATCGACAACTTCGACGATGTGGGTATATTCGCACAGATGTTTGCGCCTTCGAGGTCTTTCCCTCATGAGGGACCCTCACCTCGATAAGGAGCGCTCACTCATTTTTTCTCATCCCGAATTGCAGGTCGACGCGCTCGGTGTTCACCAGTCTGCCGAAGCCGATCGCTGTTTCCGGAACCTCTTCAGTAAACTCAAGGTATTCCTCAACCGAGAAGTTCCACGAGAGCCCTTCACCTTCGTCCTCCGTTGTTTCGGCGCTCAGGTTTCGTGGGACGCATATGTTTTCCCGGGCGCGGCGTTCGACGAGAAGGACACATCGATCACCCATCACATCGTTGACCGACCAGTTTTGAGCCACAAAGTCATCAACAGGTTTGTGTCTTTCCGGAGAATATTTCGAGAGTCTTGAAAATGCGGTGATACCCCACCCCGCGATTCATCTACGGTTTACTTTGTGAGATCGATTCAAAGCCCTGCATTCATTCTCAGGTACTACGTCCAGCCTCAGTGGGTTTTCGACTGCGTGAACGCGCGTCGTCTGCTTCCTGTGGAGGAGTACTTCCCTGGGGTTGAATTGCCCCCTCACTTGTCGCCGTTCGTCGAACGGAAAGAGGGCGCCTATGAACCGCTGAGCAAGGAAGAAATGACTCGAAGGATCGAGGAAGAGAATGAAGACAGGGACGCAGATCAGGTCGAGCGACAACCCCCCGCCAAGAAAGCGAAGAAAGAAGTGAACGAGGGTCCGAGTCCCAAGAAGATGTCAGTGAAGAAAGGAAAACCAGTTAAAGTAGACATCGATCGAGCCGAGAAGATGATGTCGGCTGAAGAGAAGAAGTTGGCGGTTATGATGATCCCTAAGAAGGATAAGAGATTGTTCGACTCTATCAACAAGAAGAAAAAGATGGAGAAGCGAGACGTCAATCGTCTCGTCAAGAAACGCGAAGAGATAATCCAGATGAAGAGAAAGAACCTGAAATCGGGCTCTCGATGAGCATAGTCTCTCGGTGGAGGGACTCCGTTCTTGAATAAATGATGACCGGGGGGAACAAGAGTCTTATGAGTTTTTGAATTGGAAATACGGAGACTTCTGGCGATCGATGCTCGAGTCGAGAGCTTCCCACACATCTCTCGAAACAAGAGAGCTTTTCTTGTTGTTTATGTACACATTCATATTTCGAGTGCGATAATTCTGACCGCATGAGGCGCTGCCCGCTCAAGGTGATGGCCGGAAGTTCTTCAGCCTGGAACGTGAAATACAGTCTGTCAGTTTCGCCTTATCGATTATTCGATATGATAATGTATAATTATAGACATGTGAGGCTCTGTTCGAGCTTTTCGTGGGAAATTCTCCAATCTTGGAAACTAACTTTTTCTTCGAGCGTTCTTCAAGCCGTCCTTCGTCAGCGCAGTCGATAGAATCCTCCGACGAAGAGTACCTCGCTCCAAGTTTCCGTTTTTCCTTCTTGTTCTTTTTCCGACGCTTCTTTCCCGCGGGACTCCCTTCAGAATCTGTCGATTCACCTTCAGACGACTCCGTTGAAGAGTCGTCTCGCTCGCGTTTTTTATGCTTTGATTTCTTCTTCCTCTTCTTCAGCTTGGATTTCTTTGACTTCAAATCCTTCTTCCGCTTCTTCTCCTTAGATTTGTGCTTCTTCTTTACTTTCTTGCTCGGAAACCTATGGACGATCTCGCTCTCCACAGCGAGAATAGGAGGAGGTTTCGGTCCCATCGGTACGAGGGTGTCTTCCTGCTCAGTTGCCTTCGCTTCCGCGGCTTTCGCTATCGGTTTCGGCGGGGGACGCTTATTTAGAAGCGAGAGGTCAATGTTTGCAAATATCCCGGTGTTTTTGCGTTCATTGTCCGCAGTGGAGGGGACGACTTCGGAAGGCTCCGTAATTTTTTCGTCGGTTTCAGCGTCTTGTTTTTCTTCGCTCTCCTCCTCATCATCATCGGAGAATATCATCTTGAAAATATCCATTGTAGGTGGTGTCTTCTCACTCTCCGGTTCTAGAGGCGGAACATCAATGTTGATTCTGGTTACGGAAGTCGGCGTCGTGTTTCTCGTGAAATCGTCGCCCTGCGACGCCGACGGCTTGTCTCTTCCGGCAACAGCCTTGAGGCTGTCGTCTCGCTCCTCGTCCGGATCGGACACCGCCTGATCCAGGAGTAGGCTCGATGCGGGAATGCCAACGAATTCTTGACCCGGGAATGGATCAGGAACGTTGAAACGTTTGCATAGTACTGACGCGGGATGCCAGACGAATTGACTGTGGGTTTGAGATCCGAAATCCTTGAGAGGTTTGATGGGTGGCCCTATGGTCTTCTGGTCGACGGGCACGATCTATCGGTTACCGGGAAAAAATCACATTGGGAACAGTGAGACGAGCCGCTTTTCGGCCAATAATACCGATGGGTGGAGGGAGGCTCTCTGCAAGCCCCCGGAGCGCTCTTGGTAAGTTTTCGTGAAACGAGAAAAACTCACAGTCGCTGCTGGAATGTCGCTCGCCGAAGCCAGTCCCGTCGGGAGGGATGCATGCGGATTGTCCCCTCCCCGACGCTCGAAGCGACTGGTCAGACCGAGTTTCGGCCTGACAATCGCGAGAGCCGCCTCGAAGTCTTTTTTCTCCAGGGCGGCTTCCCACGCCGAGAAGTGCGGCGGTTGGATCGAGACCAGCATCTCTGCGGAAAGCGACTTTAATGATATCTGCCAGGCGCGAATCAAATTCGGCCCCGGAAACGAGTCGGACGGAATTGATCAATGAAAATCAGTAGGACACATACCTCGGTGGCCTTTTTCGGCGAAGGCTATAAAGCGCTCGAAGCGCTCTTGCTTGTTCGGATCCCTTGCAAACGGCCTCAGAGCGGAGATGTCTACGGCCCCTAGCGTCTTGGGATCTTGTTGTTCTTCAGTAGTTCCTTTGTTGCCCGCCGGCGCGGGCTCCTCGGTTGCTGCTACAGATGTCCTGGCAGATTCGTCGGAGACCTTTTTGCGTTCGATCATGGCTTTCTTAGTCGCCTCGATTTTCGCTCGCGCGTCTTCCGAGAGAAAATTGAAGACAGATCCTGCACGGAAGAGATGAGATCAGGATTCGATCGGCATGCGTGGAATTCTTTTCGCGGATTATTCCCCGTCTCCATATGCTCGCAAACACGGAATCTCACCCTCCGGTAGGCCCTGGAAGAGAGCGGCGACTTTTTGCTCCCGACTCATTTCCAACAACTTCGTCTGACTTTCGTCTAGGATCGGTTTGGGTTTCCAGTCGGGAGGGATGACTATGGAGCTTGCGCCGTGCTGAGACGGACCGGCGTGGATCTCGACCGCTAAAAATCCGTCGATTAGGCCTCCGAGCGTCTGTTTTCTCTTTGGTTCTGAAATTATGCGGAATGCTCCTCCTTAGCGGAGTCCGAAATGATCAAGGCTCCGGATGGAACGCCTCAGCGAATAAATCCCTTCCATCGATTAGGCTGTATCCCCTCAGGATGACGAATGAATAAATGTAGTACTCCTCTTGTCGACTCCCGTAATCTCACCGATCATGGGATGCCGCGGCGTCTTCGTTCGGTCTCCTCGTCCGTGATCCACTTCCTCGAAGGCGTACTGCGTCATATCGTCTTTAGCGTAAATGTCCTCGTCGTCCTCCTCAAATGCACCAACGCCGAAAGCCTGACCGCGGATACCGAGTCTGCGTCCACCTAGAGAGGAAATTCGACATGGGATAGTCTCAAGCATCTGTCTTTTCACTTCACGCGGAGTAAATGATGTATATCTTTCTCCAGATGACGTAACTCACCAACTTTGGCTGTGGTTTGGGTCAGACGCTCTCGATCTATTTTTTCACCGAAAAGATCCAGTCTGGTCGCAGGCGTATATCCGAGTCCCCAGACTTTATCGGTTCCTTGTATTTCAGCAAACTCTATGTCATCCGGGGCTACTCCCGTCTCAGCTAGAGCCTGGGAACGGAATCAAACCATGAAAACAGCTCAGAACTTGGAGCCTAGACATTCTGTCCAGCTTGACTCTGAGCTCTCGACAGCATACATGATAGGACGCCTTTCTCACCGATGGCAGTTGAGGGCCGAGTCCAGATTTCAGGCAAACTTTCGGACCGATGCCTTTCCCATCTCTCCAGCCCATGCTTCTCAGTATGAGGACACCGATACTGTCCCTGAAAGGCGAGAGATCATCGTCCAGGAATTCATCTTGATTCTACTCAGCGCTAGTACATATTTGGGAATGCCTCACTAACCGGTCTCCCTTGAGGATCCTCTTCAGAGGGGTCGCCAAGAGCTCTCGTTGGGAACCGAAACCCGCATGGGAAGACGTTGACTGGATTTCTCCCGTCGCCTTCCGCGCCCCATCCTGGAGCTGAAGCCGTTGTGGAGCGAAACCAAGGTCTCCGAGGTCCTGTCCGGAACATTGATGAGTTTGAGTGCCATAAGATTCTTATGGATCCCGAGCAACTACAGAGCTCTCCGGATCAAGTCAAAGAATCACCTCATTGTCCATGTAGTCCTGTGGTTGCTGTCCCGACCTGCTCGCACGATTGGATCTCGACGAAATAAATTGGGAAGGAGCCCATCCTTCTTTTGTGTCGACAGAGTTGAAGTAGCCGGCACTGAAACCTCCAGTGAACGCGCCGTGGAATCTTCGGCGACCCCTCTCGTCTCGAACTGTGTCATCTTTGAACTTCTTCGGTGCCTCGTCTGCGGAAATCTTTTTTATTCCGATCGCCAGCTCTCCAGTCTATCAGTTCTGCGATTCGTGGTTACGATCACAAGTCTTGTATCCGCCTCAAAAAGTCAGGACGCTCCCCGGTCAACCGGTCCCGGAGAGCGGTATGAATCCTTGACCAGATTCTATGGAAGAGATCATGCTCGATGGAGGTCATGCCTGGGTCATCAGGCAAAAACTCTTTCGACTGAAGGAACGTTCCAAATCGATCGCTCTCTCATATTTACCTAAATCGAGTTCCTTGAGAGGATTTCCGTAGTGTGCGTAGTCTGACATGCTGCCTGCCTGTCAGGTCTAGGCAAGACGCACGGCAGCTCAAAAATCAACTCCTTCGTCACATCTTCCGATCTTCTGATAACGTATTCACTTCTTGTGCCGGGCTTTCCGTTTCAGTTCTCCCCCTGCATCGTCCGGATCTGCTGTCGTCTGCTAGACAGCTGATCACCCAATTTGAAATGGCATCGAGCGGGACTTTTTTCGCAGGCTTCGGACAAGGACTCGGGCTTCGGCTGAATAGCGAACAGGGGTGAGGCCAGATTGCTCCACAGCTCCCCTACGACTATTCTCGATTCGAAGTTCGCCGCAGATCTCGGGCTCAATACCCGCCTGCGTCCTGCCATCCTTAAACTGGAATACGAATGCCTCCCATACCCACGATGTCGGAGAGGCTGTCCGCGGAGGGCACAGAATTATTGAACTCTCTCTTATAAAATATCGGGGATGGGGGAAAAACTCGGGTTCCTGGAGATGCCCGTCGGATATCGAGAGGAGACTGAAAATATAAAAAATAATGATAATGATAGGATCGCGGAGCCTCGCATCACGACGCTATGTCGGACAGAGCGTCCAGCATCCTCGAAGCATTGAGCTGCGAGCCACGAGCTCCATTCCATCCACGGGGCCCTGCATGAATCTAGGAGCCCGATCGAGAATAGTCGGTCTGATCCAGGCGCGTCCATACGAGTTTTTTTTTGGGGGGGGGGGGGCGAGCCGATCTCTTGAGTCTCATCAAAAAGAACAATTTCTCGATTTTGTCCGGAGATGGTGATTCTCGCCAATCTGCTCCCTGACTGCGAACATGCGACATCAATAAATAGTTCTCATCAGACCGAGAGAGAATCGAAATAGACCGGGAGGAACCGAATCTGAACTCGATTCACCGGGTAGAAAAGGCGTCCATCTGACGACAGGTCGACTGAAAATCTTGGGGGGGGGCATTGCCCCCTGCCCCCCCCCTAGGGACGCTACTGGTCTGATCTAAATGCCTTCCACAGCGTGACAAACTCTTGTCCTAGGGCGTAAAATATTCTATCGCGTGATCCCTCGGAGGATAGAAATACACTTGTGTCGGGAGACTCGAGGGGTACCTTGTGGCATCTCGAAAACTCTCTAGAGCGAGACTCCGAATCAGGGCCGGGGATCATTCGGCGGATAGGAGAACTCAGGAATTACGTACTCATCATGATCGTTCGACAAAATATTTCTTATTTATTAGCCCTCCTCCATAGCACGTGAACTGGAATGAGAGAGTACATGAGGCCGTATATGAGCTAGAAGATCCGATTCCGACTATCGGAGTTCCGCTAAAGACTACTGCTATGTGGCTACGCCGTCAATCTACATTCCAGATAAGGATATGCACTGCTACACAGCCCGCTATGAGATGTAAACAATGTGACATATGCGATGAAGTCACGAGTCTCTGAATTTGGGGGAGCACGCATGACGTTATCCCGGGATTAGGCCGGCGAGCTCCGAATCGACCATAGTGCTGTCCTCGCATTGGGAGCTCAAGTCAGGAAATATCATGAAAATTCATATTTAGAGAATTCCTATATCTGTGATATCCTTGTTGGTTACATCCGTAGATCGCGTTCATATCCGCCAATCATCATCGATGAGATCATTCACAAGCGTGGATCTAAAGAGAGACACCAATCCGGCGGAGCCATTCCGAGCGAAGAGAAGTCTTGCAGCGCGCTGTTTGGTTGAAATGATCTGGAATCCACAGTTTCGGTGGGTGGTCGTCCATAAATTACTCCCACGAGTATCGTCTTGTCTTGGGCATATCCGAATCATCGCCGAACTTATCAAATAGTAGAGGAGGATTTTCCGATCTGAATGAGCTCCGGAGATCGCGACGACGCGAGCTCACCTGGAAGATGCTTGACCGATGTGTCGCTGAATGTGCGTCTTCAGATTCCCTTTCTGGGAGAAAGTTTTTCCACACAAAGGACACGGGAATCGATCGTCTTTGTTGTGAGTTCGCAAGTGTGTCTGCATGTTCCCCTTTTGGGAGAAGCATTTCCCTGCGGGGAGAAGAGGGAAAGAAACGAGGATAAGTTTCTGAAGTTCTTCGGTGGAGACCTCGGGATAAGAGGCTTCGACTGAAGTCCCAGGGTCGAATTCCTCGAGAATCCGGCTCTGGACCAGCATGCGTCACCCACCGCAAACACCGCAAGCGAACGGTTTCTCCATCGAGTGAACGCTGCGAAGATGAGTTTTCAGGTTTCCTTTCCGAGCAAAACGCTTGCCACAGCTGTAGCAGCCATAATCCTAGAATAGGACGTCCAGTTAGCTGTTGTTGTACTTAGTTTGGCAGTTTGGGCGTGACTTGTTCGACATCCCTTGATAGTTGGACCTTTTCATCGGCTGAACGAACCTTCTCGCCAGTATGTATCTTCATGTGGGTATCTACGTTTCCTTTCTGCGTGAAGCTTCGACCACAAATTTGACACGAAAACGGTTTTTCGCCGGTGTGGATCATCATGTGGGTCTTGAGGTTTCCTTCACGGGAGAGGAGATAATTGTAACGTCGTGATCGATGCTCTGATTCCGGGTTCCTGATCCCGCATCGTTCACAGAATTCTCTACGGTCAAACTTTACGATCGGAAGACTAATCGCCGATAAGTTTCAAGGGTAACCTTTTTGAGTGAAGTGTCTATTGCACATGGGGCAAAGAAATTGCTTCTGAGATCCCCGGGGAGTCGCGACCGTTGTGGGTTGGATGGATGCCAGAGCTTGGTCTGAAGACGTGCTCGGTAGCGTGTTTGGGAACAAGAAACCATTCAAACCCGCGCTCGGGTTATTCATGTTCAGCAATGGATTGGCATTCTCTGAGAAGTCCCACGGGCTACCCGGACGCGAGTGAAGCTGCGCTGGTGATGTGCTACAAGACAGAGCATCGGACGAGGACTGCAAAGTTTTGATTATCCCCTTAATTCCAAGCAAAGATTCGAACATCCGGACGGAATCGCACATCATCATCAATCCGATATCGGCTTTTACCTCAGCGTGGACTTTGAATTCGCTTTTCGACAGCTCTGGCGTGAAATTTTTACTACAGTCATTGCAGGAGCAGTTGGCGTCATGATCCCGCTGCTCGGTAGATTGAGCGATCTGATTCGCGATATTGGTGTCTTCAGAGATATCTTCAAAGAAAGATTCTTCATCCTCTTCAAGATCCTCCTCGTTGGAATCTTGGCTATCATCTTTCGAGGACAAATGGTTCGAATAGTTCGCATATATTCCACGGGGACCTTCCAAGCGGAGACTCTTGATTTTCGCCAGATAACTCGACGCCGCAACCAAGTTCTCCGTAGTGGGAAGAGCTTGGGGACTCTTCTTGAGGAAAAGCTTGGTGAGGCTGCATTGGTAACCTTCGGAATGATGAGAAAGAATAAATTTCAGAGTAGTTCGTGTCTGATCGGCTTTCATTGAGCTTAGCACCGATCATCGTCAAGCCCGATTTCTTACCTGGAAACGAAACTGGAGTCGAGCACTTGAGAGATACCGCGAGAGACAGCCGAGCGCTGGCCCTCCTGATGAAATTTTCCGGAGTGATTGTTTCCATTCTGCTGAAGAGTTCTCAGGCGACGTCACCAAGCACATCCATCAGTCAGAGCATTTCCATCCTGTAAGGTGAACGATGCTCTCATTCCGGATTTGGTGGTCAGATACGGAGTCTCCAACGACCGCTCCCAGTGAGGGCTGGCGAAGGGGAATTTTACGTCTGCCGCTTAGTCTCCAACCTCTCAATGCCAGTTTCATCAATCGATATCACCTTGGTCGAGAAATCGCTCTTAGAGAAGACCGGCTCGACGAAATACGGATACAAATCGCTCAACTAGCAACGAGCACCCGCCATTTTGACGAGAAGCGTCACGGGCTCGATCTGGATCCGAAAGTCAATTTCGGAATTTTTCATGTGAGGCAATTCGCTCCGACCGGAATTCTCCATCCAGGGCCAGAAGTTGAGCGATTTGGGCTGCGTTCACGAAACGAGACGAATGTGGAGGAAGCCGAGTTTCCACGCCCATTAGGCTTACTGCCGATCTGGGGCTTGACCGCAGATGGAATTGACCTCAAGCATGCGTGTTTGCCACTTTATCGCGTTGGGCGATGGATTTCGGTCTAGAGGACCGAGAAATGAGGAAACGCATATCGGTTCAGCCCTCGAAACCTGCCACAGAATTTGCGATTCCGCATCGTTGATTCCGCTGATCCCTCTCGAGCTCGTATTCTCCAATTGGGCCATCACACCACATCCACTCACCAGATCATGGTGAACTGTCCTTTAGCTGAGGAGAAACGGAGATATCCACAAACCTTCCGAGCTCAACGGAATCAGATCTGAATTATTTCCATGGTAGGCTTAGCGTATGATGTCAGACCAGAGGGGTTGGAGCGAGAAGCGCGCAAGACTCTAATCAGCCCCAGGTCGTGGAACTTTTTTCTCGGTGATTTTAGAAGTAGATGGCTAAGGAATGAAAGACTAAGCAGCTGCGAGTGCCTGAATTCGCTTACCTCATTTGTTGTGACGCTGTAGTCGGTAGAGCTGGACTGAGCGCGATGCTGGGACTCTGTCTCCTCTCACTCTCAGCCTCCTGGAGAAAAAATCCGGAAAAAATTAGGAGCTTTGAGCGCGCAGCCCTCCACCGCTCCCTCCCTCCCCGCCTGCCTGCTCGACTTCCTACACTGACCATTGCATGGAGCGTCGTATATCTTTGGTGGAACATACGATTTCTCGAGAAAATCCACGAAATTCAGCCGAGGCACTCGAGAGAAACAAGAAGGCGACATGCGACGATCGATTCGCCTATCAGACAGTCCTCTTCATAGGACTGTGCGTCCGTCGGGCAGTACCTCGTGATGAGCGCTCGCTTCGTATCGGCTCAGAGTGGGGACTTGAATGGTGAGTTTGTCTTCGATGCAAAGCCTTCCGGCGATGCTGATGCTCAATAGCAGAATGAGTTGAAGTTGAGCTTAGCCGTTTATTTTTAGTGTCGAGCCGCTTCGCGCTTCCCTGCGATTCCAATCGCGAGAAGAGATCCCGATTCGGAAGATTCATCTCTGACCATGATCCGACTCCCTGAGCACCTCGTCTCTTGTTTTGCATCATGTCTTCGATTTCAGACGTCACCCGTACTGCAGTCCGTTGCCCAGCTGATTGGCCACTGGGGATTTTTCTAACCGCTACAATTGAATGATATCATATTGGTCCTATTTAGTGACTACATTATTTGCCTTCATCTCGAATTATCAATGATGAAAATTGAATCTTTTCAGGTCGATGGGGGCGATGGTAAACTCGGCGCTGGGGAACATCAGCGCTCGAGTAGGCGCGCGGAGTTGGCGGGTTGGATATTTTTTAATTTTTTTCCAACAGCCTCGTCGGGGGGAGAATGAGCGCGCGAGCGGGCGGCGGAGGCCGATGCTGGACAGGCAGGAGTCAGGCTCACGAGCAGGCTGGCTGTGTGGGTAGGGAGTTGGGTACTCGTCGCCCGCTCGCTCGAGGTTAACATTCTTTCGGAACTGGTTTCGCCTCGAACGACGTCGTAGGAAGGGCTGGGATTCTTCCTGTGCGAGAGAAACTCATGCATGAACTCTGTGGCCTCTAGCGAATATGCAGCCCTCGTGAAACTGTTGATTGCGAGCATCGATGTCTATTCTTCCGTGATTCTAAGGATTGATATCACTCTGGAGATGATTCCATAAATTATTCCGTCTTTCTCGGAGTTCGACAAGCTCGTGATCACAGACTACTCAACCGAGTTTTGTGAGTACGCGTCGACCGTGAAAGCAGTGGGTTCGCTTCCGCTCGGTACCTTTTTGTCAGTACCGTAGGGAAATCAATAGCCCTGGAAAGCTTCAAGGCTATTGATCAGAGCATTGCGGGGCTTTGGACAATCGGTGGGAGAAAGATCCGGACCAAGCCTATTCGCTGTTGTTTGTGTTACCCGTCTGGGACGTTATTCATTCGGCTACGACTTGGACCTTCGTGACTTGTTCGACGGGCGAATGAGTGACAATGAGACGAGATTCATACATGAGGGACCACTCCGAGTAATTCCGGTTCTGTGCGAAATCATCTTCGAAGTCTGAGAATCCGACACTCGGCTACAACTAGGCGTGAACACTCTGCTCACCGTCGTTGAGTATTCGTGCAACTCGGTGTGGGTTCGTAAGCCAGAGAGCCTGCGGTCAGCTATGCCAATGTCAGACCGCCGAGACAATGACCGACATTAAAAGAGGGCTCTCCGGTAATAGCATGATTGATGAGCTTCACTTGGGAAAATCTTGAACAAGAGGATGGAACGCGTCCATATACACCGGAAAAGACAGTCATTTGCTCAGGGATACATGCCGGATCGCTCTAGCGACTGCTTATCGGTGTCCGGTGCTCTGGTGAGTCGCTGAATCATTATTCTCGGGAGGCTTCTTGCACCTCTGAAAGCTGCATAGATCTTTTAATTGTTCGGAACGGGTGACGTCATACTCATGAGCTCAGTAAGAAAAGATCCTCTCCCTTCCCATTCAGACGCAGTGGCAGAGTGCTATAAAACGATGCTTTCCACAACGATAGCTGAAAGCTTCATGTGAAAATCAGAGAGCAAGGATCTCTGTTCCGCCATGGGAACGGATCTGCAATGTCAGAAAATGGTCGGTTATCTGAATTCTCGTCGAGTATACCCGATGGGTCTTCATCAGAACTAAATCCTGTACTAATCGACCGCACAACCTAATTTCCGTTCTCGTCTCTGCAGATTCTGGTGGCGTTTCTGATCTGTGCTCTCGCAGCGCAGCTGTGTGAGGCTCAAACGGGACCGTGCACGAGCGCCAATATGAAACAACCGTCCAGCTTGGGAATCCAAATGTGGCAATGTGATGCTCAGGGCCATTTCATGCGATTACAGTGCAATCCGGTCACAGGTTTCTGTTGTTGTGTTGAACCTCGGAACGGCAAGTGCTTGAAAGGGACCCAGAAGGCTCCGGGCACCGGATTGCCTCAATGTTACTCTCATAGCTGAAAATGATAGGAGAGCGAGGGTAAGGCACGCTCCCGAATGCAGGTATCGAATGTATGTATATACTCGAGCCCCCTTGAGGCTGAAAATATTTTAATAAAAAAAGTTGTATCTGGAAGACGCTGTCGTCTTTTCGGGGTCTCTGATTTATGTATTAGGGTCGGGTTACCCACACCTCTGTGGGAGTATGGTCGAGGATATTTTTCAGGGGAGAGTTATTTAGGAGCCTCATCCTGGGAAAATTTCAGAAATGTAAAACCGTCCACATATTCGCAAGATCTCACGAAGACGTTCTAATCCTCTTCGTGAAGCGAATCAAACACTGACTTTGTCGCATTGAAGCCCGGTGGGGCTCATTATTTATCAAAGGTCATTCAGGAGCATTGAAATCATTTATTGCGAGGAACGTGTGCCTATTGATGGGGAACGCCTCATAATACAATACCATCGAGGAGTCGAATCGCATTTCTCCATTCAGTCGAACTACAGATACCGAAAAAGATAGTCCACTATCGCATAAAAGTCGTTCACGCTTTGCTGTGAGTGTTTTAGAGTACTATAAATTGAGCATGACGTAGCATGATTCATTGACTTGAGAAAGCCGCCTGCGTATTCAATCCGCGGCGAACCTCCAAGAATGTCACTCTCTTGGCCATAGAACATTTACAGCGAAATCTGCGGGGCCGAATTCAATCAACGAGATCACCGTCACGAAAATGATGTAATAGGCAACAAGCACAACTCCCAATATCCTCGAGGACCGGAACCTGGCGATACAAGTGCCCAAGACGAGGATCGTTATGCTGCCGAGCAAGCTGATGTAGATCAAGTCCTGCATATCACTCCCGTGGACCTGGATCTTTGTTTCTCCGGTCAAAAAAACCTCGATGTGAACGCTCCTCCAAAACCTACTAAGATGGCGACCAATGAAGTCGAAAGACAGGCGCTCAGAGCCATCTGCGGATAGCCTTGAGAAGCCACGGACAGGTTTGTGACTAGGTCCCCGAGATAATTTCCCCAGGTCAAAACAGATACTCCCAGAACTTCTTCGCTCACACTGAAGAAGATGCCGAACGCTTTTAGCATAGAAACAATTTCGGTCGCCAGTCGGAAGATCCACGCGAGCGAGACGAAGAAGCCGATGAATGAAAGCAGCACGTGATACTTCGGCAGTTCTCGGACGGGAGACGTGACGAAGATCGAAATTCCTATGATGCTGCCGCATATTAGAGCCACGGCCCACATCGGTACACCGTGAACCATGGCATCGAGCTGCTTCGTGAGGATCAGAAGTACGACAGGGACGAGGGTACACTGGAAGACGGTTAGAGGCCTGTTCCAATTGCTGCGGCGAGCATGATCGTCCACCAGGGGTATGGTGAGAAGCAGGGGCAGCAGTAGCGGATACGTTATCATGTGGAAATACTTCTTGACGGTCGATATGCTATGCCATTCCACGGACTTCACGGGCCACAATCTCATGACGAACTCCTGCCACTCAGAATAAACTCGCGGGTAGATATACTGGGTGGGTAAGGTGTGCGACGATCCGGAATTCAACAGAGGGGATTCCTCGTGGACTCCGGAATTCCCGATGGGAAATTGAGCCCGCGACGGACAGCGGGGCAATCGAAAATTGACCTCGCAGATTGAGTTGTGTCGACTCTGCTGGTTCCGAGGGACCCGTTCCTGGCAAAAGAGAAATTTCAGTTTCGTCTTGGAAGCAGACAGTGCTCGAGACTTTTCCCACAATGGTCCGAAGAGGCGGTCGGCCGGCCTAACTAGAGGATTTAGAAGTACGTGTCCGGTCCGCTCGAGGGGATGATCCGATTACTCGGTGGTCTCTACGGGTAGAATTCACTACTTGTGAATAACTCTTCTCGACCATCACCTATAGGACTTACCTGCAACTCGTGATCTGCGTTTGTGATCAAGGTGCAAATAGCGTTATCCAGATGATGATGCAAAGATACAGATGAAGAGAATTTTCGGTGAAGTCGTCCCGGCGGACGCTGGGTTGGCGACATGACGTGGATCGGTTGGTATACGAACTGGTCCAAGCGTTCATCGGAGGAGTAACCGTCGTCTGAAGATATGCGCTCCGGGGAGGTTATCTGGAGTGACAAAACTCCTCTGTCATAGAGACCCCTTGGAAGCTCCGCTGTGGTACGACCGATAAATACCGATATTGAGGAAGAAAATGGGAAACTTTGAGTTGGGGGAGAAAAAGAAGAATTACCTTCTTGAAGAACTCAGTTCGTTTGAAGTTCTCGAGCAGTCTCGGAAAAATGACAGCACTCAGCAGATAGAACAAGTGGAGACCGAGGAAACCGAGAGCATCTCGAGGCTCAACATAGCCCCGTCTGAAGAGAAGGAGGGTCCAGACCGAGGCGGCCAGGTAAAAGAGAACGTCGCGGAGAATCGACAAGGGCACGTCGAAGTCATTCAAGATGAATAAGAGCCCTATGACGACTGTGGCTATGTACATCGAGCCTCCGTAGAGTTCGGCGATTACCAGAGAACTGCGGTTCTGACTGATTCCCGCCACAGTCGAAACCACGTCCGGTGCTCCGTTGCCGAAAGCCAGGAGAGTGACCCCCGCAACGCTCTGGCTCATCCTGAGAGCCCGAGAAATGCTCACTAAATTCGGGCATAGAAATTCCCCAGCTGTGGTTCCCAGTAAGAAGAAACACACGACGAGAAGAAGACCCAAGAGTACCACGGGTCCCCATCCTGGTTCAACTTCATCCGGGGTGCAGTAGAGAAACTCCAGGTAATTTGCATAGGAGTTGTTGCTTTGGCAGTCGCTCACTGACCGCAAGAAGTCGCATTGGTGGAACGGCACGATATCGGTTAGGCGCTCGCAGACTTCCGAAGTATTCCAGGTGTTCATGACGAACCTACACAGGGTTCCGATCCCTTCGCGGATCGAGCTCTGCACTGCAAGCAAGAAGATTTCGATTCAGACTTCAAGTGGAACTTTACTCAGGAGCTCAACCACGACCGAGCGAATTCAACGAAAAATTAATCGATGGTTCTCTGGAATGGGGCGGATCCCGGCAATGGGGCGAGTACAAGAAATGCCGGATGCATCTTGGGGGAAATAAACTTTGCCGGCTCTGTCACTGGCGAGCTTGGAATGTTGCAAACGAAGGCTTTCGATACTCTGAGAGTATATATCTAAGAGATAGCTTACCGACTGAGATTCAGAGGGCTCCTCTTGTATGCCGAAGGTCCACTCGATCCCTTCGCGAGCAGCACAATAAGAAGTATAAAAAAGCACCACAAATTCACTCATCAGCGTCACCTCAGCGTGAGGCCTCTTCCGAGTCGTTGCGAGAGTTCCGTAGAAATTCAGAGGATCGAGCACCACGAGCTCTCTGGGTATCCAAGCGAGCAAGTCCGAGCTCATGAGAGTCGCCAGCTTCGATGGCATTAGAACGCAACAGACAACACCAGGTTATGGCATGGCACGATCTTCTCACCACCCATCAGGAAACGGCGATAGTTTGTGCTCGTTTAGGTACGCGGTCTGTCTTGGATTGATTCGATTCTCGTCCAGCTACTTCATGTCTGTTGAGATCAGATGAGAGAGAGAGATCTACGGGAAGGCAAGACAGCGACGCATCGAGAAGCGGTGGTGGCGACGTCTTTGCTGCTCCACATGGGCTCGTGGAATCTGAATGGCGTTGAGATGAAGATTTGGAAGACGTTTCCTTAAAGCAGTAGTTCCATCCAGAAACGTCTTTATCGGCTCGATTTGTAGCTTTGATTAGCTAGAGAAAGGTACTCACGGCGAGCTCTTAGAAGCAGATGGAACCTTGCTTCTCGACCGATGCTGACGATGTATGATTCCCCTGAGCGTCCTTCGGACGTACCTCCTTTCTGAAATGGATGTTTCCCCTCATCCTCGTTAAATCAAGTTTAACGCTCTCACCAGGGTTGCCGGGAGAAACCATTGATTTCGCTGGATACCAGAGCGACCGGATTGTCAAGGTTTGAGAATCGCGCGGCTTGAACCACCGGCGCCGAGTACACCAGCGCTCACAAGATCGCTGTTCTTCGCTACGAGAAACATTCCGACCCAACAGAACTGCAATGGAATTGGTATGCAACATTCATGGGACATCCATAAATGACGGCAAGATGTCCTTAATCCTTCGGGTGGTCAGATGGCAGGATACGGGGACAAGACTGTGTGAGATGGAGTTTCACAATTTCCGGAACTGGTTGCATGCGCATCTCTTCGTTTTTTTCCGAACACATTCCAAGCGGAGTTCTCTTGACCCGGATTTTCGGGGGCGTGATGAGTCAGATATTGCTCGATATCAGCGAAATCCTGGAGGTCACCACGCTTGCTCGCGACGCAGAGGAAAGTCGGCGCCGATGTAGACGCGCAACAGGTGAGACGCTTCAAAGACCACCGCTGCGTCGATTGCTTTCTCGCAAACTCTTATCCGGAGGAGCATGATTCTCTTGTCCGTAGTACACTCATTCTGAGAATGTCAATCGAGTAATTCCCGTCGAACAAGAGGCTGTCACGGGGAGACGATTGATTCTGCTCGCTCCCCACCGGTATGGGATGCCGAAGCATGCGGTTCCGGAGTCGCTCTGCGGGACGGTATCTCGTAGAGACGAACACACCGTAACGGTCATATTGAAAACAAGTTTGTTTGTTTGACAAGGATGCACGCATCCGTGGCTTTCGCAAATTACTTGAGAACGCAACAAGTAATGAGCCGGGAAAGCTCACGGAGCGGGAAATTATTTCCATTGCGAAATCTGAGTCTAACGGAAATCTCATTCAACTCGAGAGATAACTGATGACGGGGAAGAATATCCCTGTCGTTCAGGAGTGTCTGTATGATACGGTAATTCCTCTGATCATGATTTCTTTCGATTAGCTCACCGATTCGACTCGACCTGTTCCACCGAGGAGCACTAAGAACGGGATCCGTGTGCACCGTGATTAAGAACACCTTGTCTTCGAATCTAAACTCATTCGACGACTCGGGTCCTCTTTCCCCAAATCAGCTGTTATCAGAGGTTAGCGGAACATTGTGGATGAACGTCACGTGTGATCAGATAGCTGTTCCTGGAGGCCCTTTGTGCGGGTCGGCATACGGCGGAAAAAACGCTCGCAATAGGACTTCTGGCGTGGAAGCTCTCTTTTTATTTAACTTTCGGTCTCTCATCCCATTCCAGATCGTATCTTGGCGCTGGATTCCTCGAGCAATCCACTTACTTGCGACGTCCCGCGACGGCCTTCAGAAGTTTCGCACACATGGGAACATCTGCCTTTTTATTATCAGTCGAGGATGCATATGAGCGCGATTGATAGGTTTCTTGGGAAAGTGAGTTCCTGCGTGTTCATCGAGAAAGGAGCGAGTTTCGCTCCGCAAGGAGCGGATAAATGTATTCAGGATGAGCGGAAAAATTCCGCCAGAGGCTACTGCCGAGTGGAACATGTCCATGCGTTCCTAGCCTCTTCCACGAGGTGGGAAGATCGATTGGAGCGGGTCCTACGATCGCGAACGATACGATGTGCTGAGCACTTCTCTTCTACCCGACACAACTCCATCCGAAGGCTGCTACCGATGATTACATATCGAGTAAGCGAGTCGATGACTCGATGATTTCAACTGCATGAATAATTAGAAAAACCAGCTCGTTTGGAACCAAATCATTTATTAGTCCCTGGGGACACCCACCAGAAACCGAACAAACGTTGCAAGGTTTAGTATAGAGTTTGGGGTGGTCCCATGGTGCTCTTGATGTGGAGAGAACGGATGTTTTGCCAGTTCTTCTTCAGGAGCGACACCAAGTAGTTGATGGCCAGCGAGATGTTCGAAGCCAATTCATCTTGGGACATGCCAACGTTTCCGACGGCGACCGAGAGACATAACACCTGTGATCGAAGTACGAACGAACGGTAGAATGAAGCCATGGAGGAACACTGCGGCATTGCACCTTATCTAAGTTCGATCAGATACCGCACTTTAATCATAAGCATTCATAGCCCAGTGCAAATTTCGTCATTATTATGAACTGCAATGATTCACGCGATCCATGAGCTGGACCTGGAGTGCTGTGAGTGGAACTACCATGAGGGGAGAAGACCACAAGCTTCCCTCAAACTATGCCCAACACATTCGTTTGGCGCCCTGTTTCGAACATAACTCCCTCTGACGGCGGCGTTATGCAGATACCAAAGACGCAGCCGGTCCCTTAAACCGATACGACTCGCTCCGGCATTTACCTTCTTCATTTGGAACTTGATGGTGGCTTTGACTTCATCGGCTTTGGCTGTCATCGACTCATTGTGAGACAGAAGCGTCGGGAACTTTCCGGCCTTGTTCAGACCAGGGCCCAAGAGACGTGGGATCTGTTTGATGAGAGACTCGGACGCGAGGAAAGCATCGTAGCTCTTGGCTGAAAATACGAACATTGCTCAGGATCGCGTTCACTGAGAATCCTCGAAGTCTCGAGCATTGCCGAGGGCATAAGTCGAGTTATTGAGCGATTCCCTACCGAGTTTCTTGACAAGTTTCTTGTTCTTGTTGAGTTTCTTCAAGGCTTCCGCATCCATACACGGGAGGTTGTTCACCTTGGCCTCATCGCAATGCTGCTGATCTCCGAGAACGCAGACAGTGAACTTGGGACGAGGGATGTTCTTCAGCCTGCGAGGAAATCACAGTTTTACCCAACTGCTTCGGACCGCCGGCATTATCCCACAAGATCTTGCGATCTCCGCATGTTTCGCGAAACACTGACTGAGTAGCTCAACCGTTACCAAAACGAGTTCCCTAATAAGCGGCCACGAGGGCCTCCCCAGATATTTCTCGACCCTGGGTAAGGGGTCCGCAAGTCGGCTCCCGGGGAACGCCCCGGAGGGATAGAAACATCCGCGACAATTGTCAGGCTTCATGACATTGAATTGTCCGGATCATGATGCATACTTCACGGTGCCGGAGAAACGCTTGTCCTTCTGCGGGTCGTAGTTCTTCAGTCCGACTTGGAGTTCGATGGTCTCGAGGAACTTTCTCTTTTTCTGGTTGTTGGCATAGTCCAACGCCTTCTCGATGCACTCGTAGAGAGTGTCACGCGAAACTTTAGATCTGCAACAAGCGATTCGGACACGTGGTTAGATGCTTCGGAAGGAATACCGGTGATGTAGGGGATCGTCGGCACTCTCAAGTAAATAGCCGGACAGGAGGTGACTGAGTCTGGGGAACCTCAAGAACTACACCCCTAGGTGATCGATCATTGACGGTCCGCGAGCATGAGTCGAGATATGTCGGCTCAGGATTCCGTGTATGCACGGTTTCGCCGACACCGATAGCACGTTAAATTTTACGAAGAAACGTCGGAACGGAGGATATTTCGACCAGAGAGTCTCGGGTGATCCGACGGTAAAGATAGTGGACCACGCCTAATTATCGGACCCGACAAATTAACGCAGAAACTTCGAGATTTACACGGATATAGGAACTTACGATGCCATCCCTACGCGGCTCGGGTCGAAAAGGATCGCTACAGTATACCGAAACCACTCATAAACTTGCTTGGTGAGTGGTTTCGGTTCCGCCGCTACATACCGCTGCACTGGCGATGAGCTCCGTGGCGCCGAATTCAAAAGTCTCCGAGGCGCCGCGCCGCTCGCCTCGCTAATCGCCTGCAAACACATTCGAACAAGCCGGCTTCTCACACGACGGGTTCGTATCGTCGAGGAATAGCATGCACAGCATCATTTCCATGTTCGAGTCGATGTCGGGTTCAGGAAGTCAACATCGACTCCTTGGGAGCAGGAACTTCTACAAGGCTAGGGGTCGGGCAAGTCCCAGGGAATACATGAGGGGCGGGATTGCTCGAAAGGAGTGGGAGATTTTAGAGGTCTCGCCATGAGACTCTATTGAGTTTTCTTTTCAATAGGGTAACCTTCTCGGATGAATGACCGATGATGGGGCTACGACGGATTTCCGATAGATTCGAAAGAAATTCCCTGGATGCTCGGGAACGGAGGACAACCACTTGAGGAAAATCTGAATAAAAGTTTTATTTATCCGGAGAAGATCAGTAATTGACTCTCATTCATGCTTTCTGTGATCGAGGACCCTCGACCTAGCGGTGACCGATCTGAATGATTCCACACTCCAGCAGTTTTTGGATTTTAGCCGCGACATCCGGATTCTGCATGTGCTCTCGGATCGCTGACGGATCGTTCGTCATCTGATCCAAGATCATTCTCATGATCGGGTCGGCGAAGATCTCCTGCACTTCAGGATCAGCCATCGCCCGTTTACGAGCCTCTTCTGGGTCAACATTGCCGAAGCCGACTGAACATTTCTTGAAGCCGTCCAGTGCTTCTGCGCTGTTCGGATCAAGATCGAGAGCTTTCTCGAAAGCCGATCGTGCTTTGGTGGTGTCCCTCATGGCAAGCAGCGCGTATCCCTTACGGATGAAGCCTTTCACGAATTTCGGGTCCAAGCGAATACACTCGTCGCAGTCTTTGAGGGCGAGATGGGGTTCGGCTAGCTTCTGGTAGCACGCGGCTCGGTTCGAGAAGATCTTGGCATCGTCGGGGTTCCGCTTAATTGCTTCGGAGTAGTGTTTGATCGCACCGGGGTAGTCGCCCTTCTGAAACAGGGCGTTGCCTTTGTTCTTCTCTTCCAATGCGATGTCGGGGTTGATGTATTCTTTGCGCTGACGCTCTGTGGGGGTGGAGATCATTCGTATGGGCTCAGAATCAAGATACTGTTTATCCGGCGCTAAGGCTGTTTATATCTCGATCGGATCGGATCAATTCAAACCTTTGATTATTTTCTCGACATCGCTGAGTTTCGAGAGGGTTTCAGGTGTTCTGTGCTCCGTGAGACTCTTCTCGAAGTAGAGCTTGGCGTTGTCGTAATTTTCGAGTTTGTGGTAGGCGCTCGCCATCCTCGCGAGGGCTCTGGCCAGGAGCTTGAAATCAGCCTTGTTCTCCCGTCCCACTTCGATGGCTTTTTGGCAGATCTCAATGCACTTCTCGTACTCCTGGGATGGTTCACAGTGCTTCAGATATCATGCCACTCCCTATGAACGATATGCGTCGACCGGTCGAGCGCTGGGCTTTCGGAGCCTACGGGGGAAAATCGATGAATATTCTCACCTTCTGCTCGAAGAACACAGCCGCCTTGTTGGTCAAGAAGGACATGTCTTTGGGATCCAATTCGATGGCTTTATCGTAGTGGGTATGGGCTTCATCGAACTTCTTCTGTTTATAGGCAGCATTTCCAAGCTCTTTCTCGGCCACCGCCTGCGAACATGATCAACTTTAGCTTTCATGTCTCACGAGAACTTTCGACTGAGTTCTAAAACGCCGAATCTTCAGGTCCCATTGATTGCCAAATTCGCTCAAAACCAGTCGATCTATCATCGGAGCTCAGTGTCTGTCCATGAGAGTATCCGCGATGCGCTCGCCCGATTGGGATGACGAGGGTAGCTCTGACAGATGCATGAAATTCAACGAGGTCTTGCTTTTCAGTAAAGTGAATGGGAATGATCACTCCGGAGACGTCCTTCTTGCCATGGGGTGCCGTGACCACAGATTCTTCGGATGCGACGCATCCGTCGGCCGGAGCGCGTATTCGAATCTCCGGGAAGTTTCTAGATCTTACGATGAGGCGGCGGAGGAGGACCGTTATCAGAATCAGAAGGATCATAAGGATAGACTTGCTGGAGAGGCTCCTATTTCAGAGCGTTTCCAGGACAGCAGAAGAGACAGATTTCCCAAGGCACCATCTTATGTGAGCTCAGAAAATGCTCCTGTCGATAAGGAGCAGGGGAGAGCGTCGAAATCGAAATTCTGGACTGTCATCACGCTGACGAGCGACTCCATCCAGCGCTAACCACGCTTCGGAGGAGCTAAGTGGAGCTGCATTCGAGAATCGCCGATGTAGATGGAAAAAAAGCATTATCTTCAGGGAAGGCAGCTTTGACACCCGTCGAGGCAAGTGGCGCGTGTTCGAATCGGATCGAGAATCGAGCGGATGTTCCTTGTTTGGGCCGATGATGTACGCAAATTTGCTTACCGCTGGAATGGGTCCTTCACCGCTCATGGTTCACTGACGAGAAACTTGAGATTTTGTTCAAGAAGCTCGCGTACAGCGAGGAGTAAATGACTTTCTGTTTCGCCGCAAACAGAGCTCGTCTCCTGGTCGCTTCAGCAGTAGTGCCACCAACAGCGGCGCACAGTCGCCGGATAGCAGACGACAGCCATGGATAGAGAGAGAGTGGTCCGCTCTCTCTCATCTGGAGGGAGGCGGAGAGCGAGAGAGAGAACACTTCTGCTCTGCTCGATGTCGGCTCCTCTCGTATCGGCGAACCCGACATCGCAATCTACCGGCAATCTATCGGCCATGGGGGCCATGGCGCGTTTCATCGAAATACGGGGAGACCCAGAGACCCAAGTCGTCTCATACGCTAGTATTACTGGTCAGGTCACCATGAGGCATCTACCGATTGCGTGTGTAGAACATCTTCCGGGGGAACACGGATCCGCAGCGATGCTTTGCTCCGACACTAGAACGTGAGGAGGCGACATCCGGAGCGGAAGGTGCACCGGAGCCGGCGCGCCGAGTTCTTCATTGGGAATCTGAGTGAGTCGAATCTGAGCCCGTACACACTTCCTCTTTTTTCGAGGATGACGGCACGATTTGGATGACACCATTGGATGACGTTGTCTCGTGACAATTATCTTACCTGTTTTCAAAGAACGAGTACGCAAGCCTTCCTCACTCCTACGTTTGGCCCCCGAGGGATGCACGTACACATCGCGGAGCTATTCCAACACCAAAGACAAGCGCATGTTCATTATCCCCCTCACGGGAAGCCAATTCCCGAATGAATGCCTGCTAACGCCTCTCCCGCTAGGAGGAAACCGTCGAGCCTCGTCTGGGCTGTCTTCATCGTCGTATGCATACCGAGGAGACAGGCTTGGTGCCGAAAATTTGGCTAAGGGCGATTCCCCGAGGGAGCAGGATATATCCTAGCCGACGAGCAATCCTCATACTCTATTCTCTCCGAAAGGATGAGTCCAAATGAGACTGGGCGAAGAGAAGACGAGTCCGTATCCTCTCTTCTGGGTCTCCCATTGGTCTTGTCGGTTCTCGAGTCTCGAGACGTGAAGCGGGCGCGACGAGATGCCATTTCGGAAGTTGATCCTGTGCCAAGCGAGCTTTTACTGAGCATGGGTAGACCGAAGGGTTCCCGACAGTATCATTCATTGTGGTATGTCAGTCGCAATCGAAGAATTGTTCCACAATATGCCGCCGTGCATATGCGGAGACTTCTCCATCACCCGGGGGTTACCCAGTCTGGTCCCAGTGTCGACCTCTGGCAGTCTGAACCGACCACGGTCTCCGTAGTCTCCAGCTCCAGTCTCCATTACCAGTACGAGAGCTCGAGCGCGCTTGAGTCAAAAATGTCGGCCGAAGCGAAACGAGGCAAGCAAGATCTGGAGCTGAACATCGACATCCAGAGCTATTGTGAAAATACTCTCGACACTGGGACTTGCGACCGCGGAAATCGCGCTTCTTTCATCTGGATGAGGCGTCCTTCCGGAAGACCCGAGTTCTCCCGTCCAATGGCGTCGCAAACCCTTTACTGAAGCACGGCCCCCTCGGATCATCTGGAAAAGACGGTTGTAATTCGCGTGAAGATCCAAACAGCCGTGTCGCCGACCACTCTGATGCTATCTGTGTCTCTCCTGATCTACGGACGCGGACGGGATGGTCAGGTAGAGCGGCTGGGCTAGACTCAAGCTCTCTCTCTCTGTCGACAGCCGATGATGTGGGTGCCCTCTCCCCACGGCTTCCCAACATGGCTCCGGCCAGCTGACTACAGAGTCGGAGTTGAGACGCGCGTTCGGAAACCTCGGAAATCTTCCTTTTTCCTGTCAAAACGAGTGACAGTCTCAGAGTGAGGTTCTTCGAACCGGTCCGACCGCGTACACAACGGAAAGGATCCTCCTGATATCGCCGCCGGAATGCGTCGCAAGAACTCTGACTGACGTACCCTGATATCGCTTTGAACAGCTGAGGCTCGCGGAGACTCTTCGCACTCTACTCCTCTCCTCTCGAAAGTGAACCCAGGCCGCATAGATTTGCCTCTTCCGCAGTAGTACGCGGCGAGACTTATCATGTGGAGCCAGACAAGGGATACATGGCGTCCGGCCAACGATCGTGTCTGCTCGCTCGAATAACAGCTGTGATTCACGTCGAATATTGCAGCCTTCGTGGATGTATGCACGAAGCACCGAGAATTGGGAGTTTCGCGGTGAAATGATTTTTCTCCAAGAAGCACCAAGGGCGAGGGAACTTGCTACTCGTGTTCTATCTCTGGAGTCCTAATGGAACTGATTTGAATCGAAGTGACTTCAGCGTACGATCATGTGGTATCTCATGGAAGGTGTTCAAAGATCATACACGTTATCCCAGAGGCTCATGTATGCCATCGGTGTGGTAACTCCGTGTGCCACAATAGGTGAGCGGAACCGCTATGGGGAGCGCTGTCGCTTGCGAAAGGTGTAAGCTCCTCGTCGCTGAAGTCTAACCTTGATTATTGCTCACTCTGCAGAAGATGGGGAACGCGAAGACATTGAAGACCTCCTTCGACAGGGGGCGGACGTGAACCGCCCCTACGGAACCTTTCTCCCAATTCATTGTGCGTGTATGATGGCAAAAGCCGATATCGTTTCTACACTACTACGGTGGGGAGCTGACGTAAGTTTCTCTCGAGTACGGCGTGGCACCTCCATACTCTGGGGCTGCTCGCCATCGAGATCGCTCGATCGGAGTCTCGTCACGATCTATTCTGCAACCCGGGATACAGCACCAATGTTAGAAAATTGAGATCCAGCTCGGAAGTCTCCCCCATGATCTGCTCTCATGGACATCATACAACACAATGTCTCCGGTCCATTTCAAGGTGAACCAGCTCGACGGATTCCACAGAGCGCCATTGCACCACGCGGTCGAGAAAAGCGCGCAATGCGTAAAGCTCCTGCTTCTGGCGGGTGCGAAGACTGAAATGCAGGATCTAAACGAGAATACCCCGCTCCATTGGGCGGCCTTTCGGAACAGGGCTGAATGCTGCAGGTGGGTTTCTAATGCGTTCGTCAGACTCGCGAGAACTTCGTCAGACATCAGTCACGGATACTTTTTCATGAAGAATGGAAACCGACGTCTATTTCTTGTAGATTGCTCCTGCAGTGTAGAGCGAATGTCAATGCCCGGGATGTCAACAATGACACGCCCTTGAACTGGGCCGCAATGAAAGGGAATTTCGAGAGCGTCCGAGTTTTGCTCGAATACAATGCACTGCCAGATATCATCTCACATGCTAGAATGTTGCCGATCACCAGATTAGCCATTCTTCTGGCAGCCGGCTTGTATACACCCGAGGATGAAACATGCTTCGACTATGTGATGAGGGCAATGGGTAAATGAGAGAAAATCATCGATTTCTCTTCGAAGGAACCTGCGGTTCTCCGACTCGGCAACGGATTTCATATTCTGTTCTATCCACAGGTCATGTCGAGGTTCGAAGTACACGGAGGGATAAGCCCGGAGTCATGCAATTGCCCAATCTCCTCGCCAGAGACGTGAAACTTTCGGCGAGACTGAGCGATATCTGTTCGAACGCGCGTTCTCTCCAAAATCTTTCGCGTTTCGCGATACGCAAATCTCTAGGATCTTCCCACTTGCCAAGCGCGGTCGAGCGTTTGATACTTCCACGAACTTTGAAAGACTTTGTGCTTCTGAAATACTGAAAAATTGTCGAGACCAGTATTCCTCAGATCTCTTGGGGGAAAGGGACGCGCGTCAAGAGAGTCTGTCCAGACATCGGGAATTCCCGAGGAATGCGGAATCTCCTTCTCGCTCTTTTTCGCAGCCCATGTCTGGCATGCTATCGATCGTGAGTCTCGGTGGATCACTGATTCGTCGGGTTCTCCCGGTATGCGTGTGACATCAGCAGCTATAGCTTTACCGAGACCTACTGCGTTTTACAGGAATTTGTATTTTGCCTCGAGGAGATTCTTGGGAAAATGTAGACTGAGCGATCGCAGGAGGCAGCGAATATGGGTTACCATTTAATTCATGAGCTCTCCGAAAAAAAGATCAGAGACATGAGCGCTACCGGTAGAAATAGACAGGACGAGACGAGGTTCAATTACGGATCAACCTCATCGGAAGATCCCGTCTTGAACACTGTCCTGTGTGTCTGTATGTATATATATTTAGATCGATTCGGGTGGGTTTTCCGAATTCTTGTGCAATATACATCGTCGTGAACCTTTGTATTTTACGGGATCAATCGGATCCTCGTACCGGCGAGGTACCGGCTGCTTGATAGGCCGATTGTGAAGGTGGAAGACACTTCATCCATTTCGAGTTGTGAACTGTGAACTATATACTTAATAAAAAAACGTGTCGCGGAGTTCTGCGACACTATTTATCGGCATCCACGTGAGGAGTAATCTCTAAGATCGCATGATTCGATGACAAATACGAGAGCGAGCTAGAATTCGGTCGCAAATGGATAAAACTTGTGCTCTCTGAGATTATCTGCGCAGAAACGTCGGTAGCCGAGATCGAGAGCCATCAGCTGTCGCATGTCTTCCGGGTCGATGTTGAAGTCGAACACATCTATGTTCTCTTTGATTCTTTCGGCCGCCGAGCTCTTCGGAATCGAGCTGATCCCTCGCTGAATTAGGAACCGGAGCAGAATTTGGGCGGGAGTTTTAGAATATTTCAAGGCGAGTGAAGCCACAACAGGGTTTTCGAGGGGTTTTGGACCGTTTTGATTGCTGCAAGGAGTTGGCTCATGTCAGTGCGGCTTTTCTCGTCAAGAGCTCCACTTCAGCGATGTCCATCCCTTCCTTTCTTTCCTACGGAATAATCTGAACATCCATGAACCCACCGCTTGTAGCCGGGAGAACCCAGCGGACTGTACGCCGTGAGCGAGACTCCCCTCTGACCACAGAACGAGCGGAGCTTCTCCTGGTTTAAGTGAACGTTTGCCTCGACTTGATTAACCAGAGGACGGATATCACAGTTGACCAGGAGCCGATCGATCTGCTCACTGTTGAAATTAGAGACCCCGATGTTCCGAGCTTTCCCCTCCATGTAGACCTATAATCGGGGAGGGGGGAACTCGAGAGAATCGAACTGACAGCAAGCGTGTCTTAAACTAGTGCGACTTTCTCTCTTCCGAAAACTCGTATCCTCTCGACTCGTGCGATCGGAAGTGCCATGAAGTCGCCGCTTGCCACTCACTTCTTCCATGCCTCGCCAGGTGTCGATGTAGTCGACATCGGTCGTTATTGGAGGTCCATCTTGTGGAAGTCCTTCATGTCCCTCTCGGAATGCGATCGGCCAATGTACAAGGTACAGATCCACGTAATCAACACCCAGAGCAATCAGAGATCTCTGTAGGCATTCTTCAACTTGCTCCGATCGATGATACGAATTCCATAGCTGTCGAAAATTACTGTTTCAGTCTCCTCTTCCAGTTCTGACAATCGAATCGCGAATTTCCGTGACAGCGCCTTAGATCATTCAGGCTATATATAGGATATATGTATATGGCCCTCCGCCTTCTGTAAAGACTCACTTTAGTCGTGATCCACAGATCTTCCCGTGTGATAACGCCGGCGCGAATTTTATCTCCGAGCGCGCGACCGATCTCTGCTTCGTTGTGGTACACATAGGCAGTATCCAGATGGCGATAGCCGGCATCGATGGCTGTACAGATTGCCGTATAGACGTCATCGCACTGAAAAGGATCATCGATTAAAGGTCAATATGAAAAACGTCACACGATACAAATCTTTTGAAGCTCGGGGCAGATCTTCGGAGTCCCCCGATGTCCGCTCTGGTATGCTGCATACGCAGGAGCTTCTGCGGGTCACAACTAGTTGCATGGAGGAGGATAAGGCTCGGTTTAGACATCGAGATGAAAAGCGTTCCACCCTATGCTCACGAACCTTGGCGGTTCCAAATCCCAGGACGGGGATCTCGGCGCCGTTACAAAGCGACATTAGTTTCGATCTGGGCATGGTAATGCGCCTAGACTTCCGTTCGCTTTTTCCAATCAGCGAGAAGGTGCGATCGACGATGGCGAGGGCCGTAATATCGGCTGGCCGGTGAAGCGGCCTGTCGATCAATCGGAAGGGCGGACTTGGGATCGGTCGATCTGTGTGTTTTGCAGTCAGTGGGCCGGCTCACTGTTTGCCACCGGATCGACTCGATTGCGATTCCGGCAATTCAGATTGCGTCGACTGACATCGACACACCGAAGGATGCTCCAGAGACGTCGAGAGAGCAAGCTGAACTACCTGATGTGACTGTCTCTCACAAAGCTGACTAGTTTGGCTCACTTAGATCTGTCCACTGACCTGGTTGAATGAAAGCTAGCGTCTCCTACACACAGCTGATGTCCTCCCAACTGGAGTGGATTTCGCCTTTCCGGGGACCTCTAAGCCTCACGGTCTGCCTCTTCGCGAGCGTATCGATCGAGTGCTGTTTATCGCTCCGTTCATCGAGTGCAAATCGCTAAGCCGCGATAAAACCATGCTACAGTTAAGCGACGGTTTGTTGTTTATACACTACATTGCAACCCGTGTCATTGTTCTCTTGACTCTAGTCAGACGCCACATGCAGTGCCGCTGAATTCTCTGTGTATACGGCATTTCCCTCGCCGCTCTCCGGTAGCGCCGAGCTGATCTGAAATCGGACGCCATCTGACGCTCAAACGTCACGAAGGGGATATGATCGACATCTCATCGGAATTAGCAATCAGTAATCACTAGTGGTCCTCGATCGTAGGAAATTTGATATTCCGAGAAGGATTGAGTATCGATTGAGTTTGGCGAGAATCTCTGCTAGCTCTACAGCTCCCCGAATGATCCTTTGAACCCGATAATCTCTTCCCGTGAGAATTCCGAAGACGTTCCCGGTATGCCGGGGCGGCACAGATGAATCGCCGAGGAGGCTGACGAAAGGGGTAGCCGTGATGACCGAGGTCTGACAACGGTCTGATACTTCGCATGACACGGTACGGAAGAGTTCTCCCCCAGTTCACAGACAGTCAGCCGACCCGAGAAGAGGCATTCGGACAGCACTTATCGATAGCTTCCGCAAAAAAAGCAGAGCCAGTCGAGTACGATTCTTCTCATCTGTCTCCGTCGCTGATTTTCGTTATCTGACGCTGAGCTCGATGCGAGGGATTTCGACCTTCTTCGAGTAGCACCTCGGAACAGCCTCTCCTTGCTGCGAAGGAGGCGCTTGTGTGTGAGCTTTAATGGGGCTACCCGCAGCTCGTTATCCTCGCCTCCACGAGAGATTACAAGGGGCGCGGATTTTCTCAACTCGCTCTGCTTCGGTGCTCGGCATGCTGGCGCCGGCGCCGTTTCCTCTCAGTCGACGAAGGGGCCGGATATTAGGGACCCCGGGTAGACGATATATCCTGTCACATGATGTCGCCGTCGCCCCCTCCAGTTTCTTTCAGAAATAAAGTCGCTTCGCGAAATGTCTCGCTCATTGCCCCATCAATGAGCGTATAAAACTATACCCCACTTTCTTTTCTTCCCGTCGGTCCTTATTACAGCAATCCCCAAGAAAATCACAGGGCAGGACTCTCAGGAACCTGCAGCGTTCCCCGGTTCAGACTTCACAGATCTCTCCCATCTCAAAGATGAATCCACCATGCAAAAAACACACGATTTCTGTCCTGAAGAATATATTAAACCGATTGAAAGTTCATGACAACGCGATAAATTGCAAAGAATCTTCTGTTCCAGTTTCTCCAGATTTCCTTTTGAGGTCGAGTCGATCAGCGGAAATCAGATCGCACCTAAAATTCGATGCTGAACGGATAGTACTTGTGATGTTTGATGTTCGCAAGTGAACAGAATCGGTAGCCACGGTCGAACTCCTCCAGTGTTTTGATGTCCTCGTCGGTCAACTTGAAATCGAAAACATTCAGATTTGCCTCAATTCGCGCTGGAGTTACAGACTTCGGAATGACAACGACACCCCGATCGATCTGGAAGCACAGGAGGACCGCAGCGGAGGTTTTGCCGTACTTGGCACCGATCTCCTTGATTTTCGGGTGCTCCAGAAGCGGTGGCTCATCGGCGGTAGCCCTGTAAGGATCGCGGTGATAATAATTCCATTTATCGAATGGATTCGGCGAAAGGGGAACTTTGAGCATCGACGGGGAAATCGCAGCAGTAGCTTGAAACTCACCAAGCCCTGTCAGGCGATCCCAGGGGGCAATAAGCCGTGATTTTGATACCGCGCTCTTCGCAGAAGGCTTTGAGTTTCTTCTGGATGAGGTACGGATGGCATTCGACCTGGTTCATCACAGGTTTGATCGTAGCTTCCTTGAGGATACGTTCTACCTGCTCCGAGTTGAAGTTCGAGAGTCCGAGGCTGCGGATCTTCCCAGTGCTCTTCGAAACCTGTCAACGAACGGCTCAAGCGTCAAGCCAAGAGCCAGCAAACTTGATTCTAGGGTCTTTGTCTGGGTCAAAATAGAGTTATCGAACTTGGAAGGATTTACCTCTTCCATGGCCTTCCATGTCTCGACAAAGTCTACGTCGCTAATCCTCGTCGTCTTATCCTCGTTCAAGGGGAAAATCGGGCCTCCTTCTTCATATCCCATGGGCCAATGCATCAGCCAGAGATCAAGGTATCCGATGTCGAGGTCACCCATTGTCTTGTTGAACGACTCGATCACACGCTCTTTGGAATGGAAGGTGTTCCAGCACTGGAATTTACGTTGGAGCTCAAATAAACTCCACCCCTCATGTACACGCTACCGATAGAAGATAATGCCTTCATTCCGAAACCTCGACCCCTCCGGTTCTTTCCTCAACGCTCTCCGGTACCTTGCTAGTCACGAAGATATCCTCCCGCCTAATGACTCCGGCATGGACCTTCTCGCGGATGGCTTTGCCCACCTCATGCTCATTTTGGTAGGCTAGAGCGCAATCGAAATGCCTGCAGATTCGGATAATAGTTAGACACTCCGCGATTTGATTCAAGCCTCCCCAAGAGCACTGATCAGGTAGAACCTACAAATATATTGATATCTCGAACTTCAAGCTCTACTTGAAATACTAAGTTTGCCGAGGACTCACCGGTAACCAACGTCGATCGCATGGGAGACCGCTTTGTACACATCCCCAGGAGCGGACTGCGGAGAAAAAACTCGGACTATTCTCCCGTTCATCGATGTGACTGGGCCTTCAGATCGGGGGCATAAACAGGTAATCCGACAATCCTTTCCAAAATTGAAATTTTCCCCTTACTTTCCACGTTCCTAGACCCAGGATGGGCATCTCATGGCCATCGGACAGCTTGATTTTCGGGGCTTGTTGGAGCGGCATCTTCGAAGTTACCGAGCGTCGCAGTGGACTGGAATAAGGAAGCTATTGAGCTTCGGGACCAATTTATCTCCCCAGAGCTGGGAGGGTGTTACCTCGAAGGATTAAGTTTATCCTCCACCTATAGAGAGTTCGAATCGAACGGAGCATGTTACCCAGCGAGGGCTTGTGATCTCACGAACCCGCAGAGGCACACGCCGTAGATGAGAATCTTATCGAATGTATCACTTGTGGAGGAGCGTCTGCAGGCCCTATTAGTAGGAGCATCCGCGTCAAGCTTCATAAAGAAGAAAAACTCCTCCGTCAATGCTGTTCCAAGCGATTTACGAGTATGATTTCTTCACAAACGATTGGGGAGACTCCGATTTCTCAGGAAACCATGGAGAGGAGGAAGGCCTCGTTGATTTCTGGGCCTGGTGCACACGAAAATCCACGAAAGGATATCCCTATCCCACCAACCGGTCTCTTAGGAAAACCGGTAAATTGACGGAATGTGCGCAAAAAGGAGCGGCGACGCGTGACGTGGTGGAAAAAGCAGACGGTCGCGCCCGCGGCTCATTTTCCGAGAAAAGATTCTCCTATTCTAGAGCACATGGGATAGAACAGTTGACCGGCAGACTTGGTTCCAGATTGAAATCCTGAGATGCCCTGGGAAGCGCCAAAAACTTCTAGAGCTATTCAGCTGTACACACCTGATGAGAACGTTGGAGGACGGTGTCTATGAGTGGTATGCCGAAAGACGTTGGCTGACGGCGAGCGCGCCTCTGCCGACTTGGTGTCGCTTGCCGTTGGCTTTATTCCACGGTGCGCGACTCGCGCAAGCAACGTGAAGGCCACCCGCTACTCCACTGGCTCGCTAAGGACCTGTCCACGGCCCTTTTTCGCGTTTTCCCGATCGCCGCGTCGGAGAAGTCTCTCAAGGGGAGGGAATCGAATTCGATTACTGGTTCCCATGTGTTGATCTCCACGGAGACTTTCCCCATATCTCCGGATGATCAATGTGATTTATACGTCCATTGAGTTCGCTCAACGGCGCGGGTTTCGACGAGTGGATAGAATACACCCGTTTTGTCATTCTACAGAAAATACAAAATTCCCCTCCATTCGATAAAGACGACAGAACTTCCGAACCCTGCATCCGGCCCGAACCTGTTGAGCGACCACACGGATCAATTTCTCTCTGAAGAAAGATTTTAATCGCTTCCTCAGACATGTCGAGATTTGCCTATATACTCCCTGGGGTGGCAGACTCTGGACTTCATCCATCGCCTTTCTCAATCTGGAACCGCGAGAAGATCGCGGCAGATGTTCTGCCGTTCCTGGTTGCGATTCGCTGCATTTTTAGCAGTCGAGGAGCGGCGTTCGCCAGCGACGGTTGGTGAGTGGCGATTCTGTGAAGATCACAGATCACCGGCAGCCGGCAGGCTTTTCACTGTCCTAGCTCAGGGCCTTCGGAGCATCGAGAAGAAACAATGACTGTAGCTCAGGAAAGTGACCATCGCCCGTCTGGCGATCCCAGAGGACAACATGCAGTCAGCTGGATCCCGCGCTCCTCATAGAGGATTTTCTGATTCTTTCGAGCATGGGAGGGATGGCATTCAACCTCATTCATCGCAGGTTTTATCGTTGCTCCCTTTAGTGTACGTTCCACCGGTACCGGGTTGGAACTCGAGGTTCCCAGGCTGCGGATCTTCCCTGCGCTCTTCGATACCTGTCAATAGGGAGCTCGACTTTCAAACGACAGCGAGCGGCTGTGATTGTGCTGGGCAATGTGTGACCGATCTCCGGAGGATTCATTCCTGCCGCAGCCTTCCACGTCGCGACTAAGTCAAGTTCACTTAAACCTCCACCTACAGTCTCATTCTCCGGGGAGATTCGGAAATGCCGTTTTCGTATCCTATGGGCCAGTGCGTAAGCCGAAGATCGGGGTGTCGGGTGTCGGGTGTCGGGGTCGCCCATGATTTTGTTGAAAGACTCGAGATTTATGGGAGTTATGGAATGAAAAATGTTCCAACGCTGGATTTTCTTGTGCAGTCGACTCTCGAATCGATCCCGGCTCCAGGAGAAAGCAACGAATGGAGATCGTTCTTCGTTGACCCCTCAAATGCTCGGGATTTTCCCTCGGACCTTGCTGGTCCCGTAGATACCTTCTCGTACGATGACTCCGACTTGTATCTTCTCGCGAATCGCTTTGCAGACTTCGCGGACGTTCTGCTGGGACAGCGTGCGATCGGAATGCCCACGATTCCGAGGAGAAAGTAATCAGCAAACGATTCAGCAGAGCCTAGGACTTTCTTTCAGGATAAAGCTCCAGATCTCTTACGAATCTCAGGGGCTAATTAGCAGCCAACGTCGATCGCGTGAGAAACCGCGAAGTAGACATGTCCAGGAGCGCACTATCGACAAATGCAAATAGAGGGCACTGGCTCGTCGATGTCATCCATGCATCAGCTTCCCAATCTGAGACCTGTAAGTAATTCGCTACCGAGAGGAAGTCGAAGTTTTTCCCGCCGTCTACGTTGCCGAGAACTGGTCTGGGATATCTTACGTCGATCGGGGAGCTCGATCTTCGGAGCTTTTCGAGTGCCATTTCTTCATGGTTCATCCAGCGCCCGAGAGAAGTGGAATGGACAGCGAAAATCGGATGTATGGTCCAATGCTTTGGCAGTCTGCAGGGGGACGATTTTTTAGGCCCGCTTATGAATGGGTGGAAAACAGGGACGGAGTTCGCGGTGAGGGATGCCTAATGTTCTCAGATTCGCGCCGCATCGAACGCGTCCAACCAAGAGAAGCAAAAGAACGCTCCGCATTCTCTTGTCATTTATGCACGACTATTCACACCTCAAGTCCCTCATTCAGAGAGGGCTCAGTGCGCTGCGCGATAGATCTATCGAACGATGAGGCTCTCTCAGAAAGGTTTTGATGATTCTTCCTCGAAGGATCACCTAATGGCTGGACAAAGAGAGCGATCGCGAGTAGCTCCACGAGAAGCTCCACTCCTCTCTGCTCCTCTCTGCTCGTCTTCGGCCCACAATGATAGTCTTATGGCGCGAACCCGTGGCATAGGAGAAGGAATTCAGCCCACACCCGAGAGACCGTTCCACTAGCGAATGATCGAGCCCGAAAGACAAAATCCACGGAACTTTCGCGCGAAGAGGAGCTTCGATCCGTGAACTCAATCGGCTCTGTCCCTGAAATAAGTTCCATCGATTCGGATGATGATGGTTCACGTCAGCCCCTCAATGAATTCGGCTGAGAACATCTCCCGTGCATCGAGCCGAACGTACCTGATGTAACGGTTGAAGAATGGATCCTCCGTGATTGACCGGGAGACATTCACAGGCCACAGGCTCGCATCTGACGACGGTGTTATGAATCTATCTACAGCCTCTTCTTCTCCTTGCATCCAGATGATGTAGACCTGGGGAAATTAGAACCGAATATCGTCTCCCCTCAAAGTCGTGCTTCCGCTTAGAGAATAAAAATACCCTGATACCCCACGCAAGCTAGGCATGGGACCGCGTGCTCCCTAAGAGGGCCGACTTGCTTTCCAGGAATCAAACGACTCTTTCTCGATTGAATTCGAGGTATTTGGAGCTTGGCGCGGAGCTAAGGATTGTCTAAATCTTGATTGATTCCTTCGTGGAGAAGAGGATGGTCGCTCCAATTGTGAACCAGATGATTTGCGGGATGGCGGGGGGATTCCGTGGGAGCACTCACTGGATAGATTGGTGCCCTTAGTGGAGCTGACGAGAATATCTTCGTCACGAGTAAAGGACTCGAGTTCTCTCTCTCTCCGTAGGCTGACGCTCAGAGGGATTGCCAATGAGCTGATCGTAAAAACTTCTCCGTGCTCCTCCCGCGTAGTAGAAGGCAGAAATAATGTAGAATACACTACATGATCGGTAAAAAAAATTACTCACATACAAAAAGTTTTCAAAGTGATTCTTCCGTCCCGTCCCGCATGTAGGGGTCGATTTTCTTTCCCTCTTCTCCTCCGACCCTCCTGTCGAGGACCTCCACACCGTAAGAGTTGGAAAGGGATTCGCGAGCGCAATTGGGTCTGCTTTCTGAGGAAGGGGCGAAGGGGGAAGGAGGAGCATCTGTTATCTCCGAAAAGGAGAAATGAAATGAAGCTCCTCGTTGAGCCAGAGCAAACGATCGATAGATGAAGTATCATCATTCGATGTTGCTGAGGCACGTCCTCGGGGGGTGAGGTGGGCGCCTCCTCCAAGCCCTCTATGCCCTAGGAAACGATTGACGCATCAAGTTTGGAAACTATTCTCTAATTGGGAGGGCTATGCCCGGGTTCGTGGCGCGGCACAGGACCTCTGCTTGCACTTCGGAGTCCCGTCACAAGCGGAACTCCCGTACCGAATGCTTCTGCCCTCATTACACGAGCGATCCTCATTCTCTTATGGACTACATCTGATCTGCAGGGAGCCATTGACGTCCCTCGCTCAGCCATTCCGGCTCACGGAGGCATTCCCAACAGGAGCCAGCGCCAGAAATGAACCGCGAACGAAATATCCGACTCCTGGAGATGCTACGAGTCGTTCCATCAACTCCGAAACGAATATCCGTGTACAGAGAGACCAGAATGGAGCTCACATACGACTCGTCCAATCACTTCATGTTCTGAAAGCATAAATACAATGTACCTATCCTCCGTCCACGCGAGCGTGGATCGGACGGGCGAGAGCAGGGCTCTTCCCGCTCGGGAGCGCTTTTTTTCGTGGCATCATTCCGAGAAACGCCCGCGCGCACGCTCGATGCAACACCTCCAGGAATCGCGGAAGCCTCTACGCTGAGGTTTCCTGTGAAACACGTGATGGCGACCATCCCAGTGCCGCCCAGAACTCCGAGAACTCGGGTCGCACGGATGGGTTCGGTAAGATGTACCTACATTCCTTAGTGGTCGCCGTCGAGGCAACATGGGATGCGGTCGGTGAAGGTAGGTAATTGAGATGAGACCCGGAGTCAGCTACGAAACCAGACGGAACTTTTGCTCACGGTTTTGGCCCCGTCGCAGATTAAGAACTCAATGCCAGAGCCCCTCTCAGGCCTCGAAGCAAAAGCCGAGTGCGTTTCGTTCTGATCAGTATTCGACCGACTATTTATTTTGTGGTCTCTTCGCGCCGTCGAAATCGCTGCCTGGCTTACGCACGGCTTCATCGGCGTCGTTGGGGAGGAAAATGCTGACTAAGGATCCGGTCGGTTGGCTAAAGGCGGAGCTAGCTCCTCGATCGCAGTGATTTTGGGATTTTCTGAGACACACAGCACGTCGCCGCATCGGACCCGCTAGAGGTGTGAGAAGGCGTAATTATTCCGGGGAGCTGGCTTCCGCTCGTAACGCTTCCGAAGCCGACGGGAACTACGGTCATCGCATCATCAGTCGAGGGGGAGATCGTTTCGCTACTGGCGTGTTCGCGTTCTACCTCAGGATGGAGTTTTCTCTCGTTTGTCTTATATGTTTTTCTACCTCATGCGTTATAAGCTTGCCCTTTTGAATCTGGATGCCTTGTTCGCGACTTTTTATCGACGCTCTTCAGCTCCCTCATTAGGGAGGTGTTTCTTTTTTGTGCTGTTCACCGCCTCGGTGTGGCAGCCGGGCTACCGAAGTTGCGTCGCGGGGAATTCGGTCTGCTTTGATTCAAACGTGATTGAAGAAGAGCGGCCCGGACAGAAGTACGTTGCCGGAGTTTCGGTGCCTCGAAAGCCTTCGCGTGAGCCACGGGGGATCCTCGTACGGGGAAGCTCTGTGTCGAGTCCTTTGGACGGATTTCAGATTTGCGGAATAATCCGGATCGCGAATACTGACAGCTTCCACAGCGCCTGCTTTCGCT